CCCTAGAGTCACCTTTGAATATAAAAAGAGCTAATTACTTCTTTTAGGAAGAGTGTTAGTTTATTCAAAGTGGGTCAGATTGGACAGAGTATAGGCAAGAGCTTTCTAGGAAAATAGCATATATAACAGTTACTGATGTTTCTGAGTCTAATTTGCCATAGAGATTAATATCTCTTCCCCTTTAGTCTCGTTGATCACAATAAGCCTCTTTCACTTCGCTTTTGTACCTAATGTCTGCAGGTAAATCAGATCTTGAATTAATTATTGGGATTATACCCTCTATGATGTTCATGAGTGCTGGAAAGTAAAGTAATTTTTCCGAAAGTCTTTCCGAATAGGTTTTCTGACTTAATGCCTGGAACAAACCCTGCGTAGTCTGGAGATTAATCATAATCTAAATACTTGGAATGTGATTTCTATTGCCTTAAATTTGTAATAAATCTTGATCATAGTCTTGACTAGGTATAAATCTAATCATAATAAATAAGAATCATTACCCTGTGTATCCAGGGATAGCATTAGCACCTTTCTCTGCTTAAAACATTTTATTTTTATTAATGTAAAATCAAGAACTAAGTTAATTTGTTAAGAATAATTGGTTTTCTTCGTATATATCCAATACTCAAGGTAATTCTTAGAAATGAAAGACACGAAGGAATATTATTAGAAATCAAATAACTTTTTGCAATAAAAATCTAAAATAAGCAAGCAACTTGAAAAATCTTCAATTGATTGATTCTCTGTTTGCAAAGAAGAAGATTGATTTGAAATTGAACAAGGCATCAGAAGACTCAATTAGAACTCATAAAGTAGAATATATCCCACTTAAAACTCTTGTGGTCGAAACTACTGATATTAATCTATTATATTAGTTTGTTTATTTGTATAAGAGCATAAATAATTTTGAGTCATACATTTATTAAAATAATGTGGAAATAGGAACTCATTAAAATTATTAAACAGACAGGACTTATTTAAGGTAAATAGATCTTTAGAATGTACATGAGAATATATATCATAATAACTGATAATAATTGATAAAGTTAGATTTATAATCTAATATCAAGATATATTGAAATGATAAATGTGTAGTCTGAAAATAATGTTAAATTATTCATCTTGATATATTCTTTGATTAGATTTTTGATAATAATTGATTAGATTATAACAATTCTTTTTTCTAATTGCTCTACTATCTTCTTTGCTCTCGCTAATTAATATTCATCTCAACTCTTTTTTCTATAATAGCATACTTAAATTATTCCTCGAAAACATATTGAGTTTTCATTTATCCAATGGCTTCTGTCCAAGATAATATAATTCAGTATAATGGTTTTCTTAATATAATTTTTCTCATTAAAACTCTTCTGGAAATTCAACTCTCTCTCCATTCTAAACCTGGTTTCTGTAAATTTATTTCATATCCATTGTTTAATATATGCATCCACTATTTTTTATTCATCTAATCGATACATCCTAATTAGCTTTGTAATAAATGTTAGGAAGAATATTAATAGATTAGATATCCAATTCAAGAAAAAATAACTCCTTTTACTAAAAAGTTTAGTATGTGGAAGACCATTTATTTATATATATATAATTATTATGTTTATAATATTATAATAGGTATATATTTGGTATACAATAATAATAAGTAAATGTTGGATATCTATATAAAATATATATTTAGGATGGTAAATTGAGTAGTAATTTTTAATAAAAATATATTATATAAATTAGTACTGCATTTTATTTAAGAAAATGAAACTTGCCTGACTTACTTTTTATTACATTAGAGAGAGAAGTAACATCGGATTGTAATTTGCTATATAACAATGTCAGCTAGACGAAACTGGATTTCAGTTATACACTGATATGGATTTATTAATTTCTATTTTATTTTATCTTCGTGTAGTAAGATCAATTATTTTGTGATATAAGAAATGTAGTATTATATTATTACTCATTTTCTGGTAAGAAAGTAGCTTTAATTTAAGCAAATAAACCGATTACAAGTAATTTTAATTAGTTTGTTATTATCTAATTAATCAGATTTGAAAACAGTTTCAATTTTATAATGTTGATTTAAACTACAAACAAGAATTTATTAAATAAAATTGAAACTTCACATGTCATAAGTTTCATCTACTAGATTTTCACTTCCCAGGATTGCAGAAAATGATCCTAAGTCTAAATAAGTCCTAACCACAAGAACAATGAGACCTTCCCTATTTCTAAACTAAATAGACATAATGCCTAATTCTCTAAAAACTGAGGCAGAAGCAACAGAAAGAAGTGTTTGCAAACCGATTCACACTGAAATTGAAAGCGATCCTCTGATTGAGATCTCTTATCACCTCAAACTACCGATTTTGTGCAATTCAAGAACTTCAAAGTTATAACAATCACTACCTGATTTGCCTTTAGAAAATAGGGAATCAAAAAATGCATCTCCTATCGAATACAAGAGACCTGTCAAGAGAACGAGGTTGTTCTTAAGAAGATAAGAGTCTAAAATAGATGCTCCAGTAATCAAATTTTAAAGGAAGAGAGTGGAGTTCAAGAAGTCTTTGATTGTGATAGATTTGGAGACTGGTGTCTAGGACCGTTAGGAATTGAATGAAGTCAAAAAACCATTAAGAAGGATTGTCCACCAAAAGACCAGATCTTATTAAAAGAAATAAGAATGAGCAGATTGCTTTGGTTCTGATGTCTCTTGGCATCACTTATTTATAAGTCAATGATGAGAAATTTTGATTCATTATTTATGTTTATCAAAGTTTTTCATATCGAGTAAGATATAAGAATTTAGAAATATCAAATAATAATTTTAATCGAAATATAAATAATTTTCATCTTTATGAAAGGAAGGCCTTGATCTTCTAAGAGTCGATTGATTGAGATAGGGAAATGTCAACATTCTAATAGGAGGAATTATAGCTTTTTGTGATTAATGTTTATAAATGAGGTAAGGGAGTAATTCTTTTAATAAGACTGTCATCAATTGATTTTGCTAGTTTCCTTTCCTGTTCCTGATTAATCTTCTCTATAAACTCATATTTTTTCATCACCATATAGGGAGGAGACTTGATTTTCTTAGCGTTTAAGTACCTACAAGTAAATCTTAATTAATCAGACTCTTTATTATTCAACTTGATCTACTTGTCCCTAAGTTAAGTTCCTTTTCTATATTTCATGGCTTCAATTGATCCCGATTTATAAACCTAAGTTGCATCCTTAAGACTACCACTTAAATGAGGTTGGAGATTATCAACAAAATCATTTTCTGATATTTGATATCTTACACTATTGACATAGGGTATAAATGGAATCTTGGGAGTTTTAGGCTTATTAAAACAGTTAGCTAGATTCACAGGCTGAGATGGTTTTACATCCTGTTTTTTTTCTGTTGTATTATTGTTGATTAAGACTTTTCCTAATGAAGTGTGCTTAACTTTTTAATTAGGGCATTGGCAATAACCAAAATATTTATTCTAATGGGGTGTGTATGAAATAGAGTTTCTATATTTCAGATCAAATTTTCTTTGTTTAGAATTACAAAATCCCTGTAGTTAAGGAGCCAAAATATCAGAATTTATTCCTTTTGAATTTGTTTGCTTGCCCTCCTTATTAATAAAATCTGACACGTAAGGGTTACTATTTTTAAGATTATATCTAATATAATAGATAATTTAATTACTCAAGCTCCTTTTCCATTTAAAAATAAAATTAAATCGGATCAGAAACTTTAATGTTATTAAATTTGTAAAGAAAGAAAGAAGAATGAGATCGAAATCAAATCTATATTGCAATTTAATTTATTAAATGAAATCATTCATTGCAATTTTGGAATTAAGAATATTTTATTATCACATTTATGTACTATAATTTGAGCAGTTATAGTAAAGATTGAATCAAAACAACATTCACTCACTTTCATTTATTCCAAAAATAAAACTTAGTTGATATTTCTTTGACTGGTTTTTATTTGATATATTTTGTAATCATCTTTGGATTTTACATTTTAGTTAATAATATAAAATTGTTGAACTAGAGATCCTAAAAATAATTTTCGCTTAAGAGCTTTGAATTAGAAATTAGATAATTAGCATTATTTTTTTAATATTATTTATATATTTTTGTAACGTTCTTTTGTACTTTCTACTTGTAATTATAAATGAGAAGGAGAATGGATGACTAAATTTTATTTGTATAATTTAGTTGATAAATACTCTTGATCACCCAATAATACTGTCATTTAGTTTTTTAAGGCTGATGACTAAAATATTTGGGATTTGAATATCAGCATATTATGAAAAAAGACCATTCGCAAAATGCGAATTAATTCTGGTTCTAAAATCATCCAATTAAATTTCTGATACTAGCTTCGGATGTCAAATCTTAGAATATAATGATTATCATATTGATATTTAATATTTCAATTGTCATCATCTTCATTTTCTTACTTTTACTCCTTAATTTCCTTACTTACAACATCCCAAGTCATATAATAGATCAATGACATAACTCCAAATCCAGTTCCTCCTTTTGTATAAATTCCTTCATTCTTATCAGTAACAGCCACATTAGCGATATCCCAATGCATCCATCTCACCTTCTTTTCAACAAAGTACTCCAAAAATGCTGCTGCAGCAGATGCTCCTACTTTACCAGAACTTGAGTTATTGATATCAGCAACACTTCCTTTGATCAGCTCTCTGTGTTGGTCTTCCAGTGGTAAAGGCCAAAATGATTCTTTTGTTACTTTTTCAACTTTTTATAACAATGAATAGCATCCTTTTCTATTTGTAAACACTCCGCAATATCTACCCAAGGCACTTTTAATGATGCCAGTAAGTGTTGAAAGTTCAATCATCTCGTGAATAGCAAACTTATCTTATGCATAAGACATAGCATCTGCTAATATCAATCTGCCTTCAGCATCAGTGTTTAAAATTTCAACAGTCAATCCCTTATAAGATTAAATCACATCGGAAACTCTATAAGAATCTGGTCCAACTGAGTTTTCAACCCAAGCTGTAGAACACACAACATTAATTGGCAGTCCTAATGAGACAACAGCCCTGAATGTCTCTAATACANAGAAAGAAGAATGAGATCGAAATCAAATCTATATTGCAATTTAATTTATTAAATGAAATCATTCATTGCAATTTTGGAATTAAGAATATTTTATTATCACATTTATGTACTATAATTTGAGCAGTTATAGTAAAGATTGAATCAAAACAACATTCACTCACTTTCATTTATTCCAAAAATAAAACTTAGTTGATATTTCTTTGACTGGTTTTTATTTGATATATTTTGTAATCATCTTTGGATTTTACATTTTAGTTAATAATATAAAATTGTTGAACTAGAGATCCTAAAAATAATTTTCGCTTAAGAGCTTTGAATTAGAAATTAGATAATTAGCATTATTTTTTTAATATTATTTATATATTTTTGTAACGTTCTTTTGTACTTTCTACTTGTAATTATAAATGAGAAGGAGAATGGATGACTAAATTTTATTTGTATAATTTAGTTGATAAATACTCTTGATCACCCAATAATACTGTCATTTAGTTTTTTAAGGCTGATGACTAAAATATTTGGGATTTGAATATCAGCATATTATGAAAAAAGACCATTCGCAAAATGCGAATTAATTCTGGTTCTAAAATCATCCAATTAAATTTCTGATACTAGCTTCGGATGTCAAATCTTAGAATATAATGATTATCATATTGATATTTAATATTTCAATTGTCATCATCTTCATTTTCTTACTTTTACTCCTTAATTTCCTTACTTACAACATCCCAAGTCATATAATAGATCAATGACATAACTCCAAATCCAGTTCCTCCTTTTGTATAAATTCCTTCATTCTTATCAGTAACAGCCACATTAGCGATATCCCAATGCATCCATCTCACCTTCTTTTCAACAAAGTACTCCAAAAATGCTGCTGCAGCAGATGCTCCTACTTTACCAGAACTTGAGTTATTGATATCAGCAACACTTCCTTTGATCAGCTCTCTGTGTTGGTCTTCCAGTGGTAAAGGCCAAAATGATTCTTTTGTTACTTTTTCAACTTTTTATAACAATGAATAGCATCCTTTTCTATTTGTAAACACTCCGCAATATCTACCCAAGGCACTTTTAATGATGCCAGTAAGTGTTGAAAGTTCAATCATCTCGTGAATAGCAAACTTATCTTATGCATAAGACATAGCATCTGCTAATATCAATCTGCCTTCAGCATCAGTGTTTAAAATTTCAACAGTCAATCCCTTATAAGATTAAATCACATCGGAAACTCTATAAGAATCTGGTCCAACTGAGTTTTCAACCCAAGCTGTAGAACACACAACATTAATTGGCAGTCCTAATGAGACAACAGCCCTGAATGTCTCTAATACAGTACAAGCACCACCTTTATCGTCATACATTTATTCCATGCTAGAGGTGCTCTTAATACTCAAACCTCCACTATCAAAAACGACTAAGTTTTAATCAATATTTTACCTCCTTTTCCTACTAAAGCATAATACTTATCACTCTCTGCATTTCCTTTATAAGACAAACAAGAGTAAAATGGTTTATGTATTGAACCTCTTCCAACTGCATGTATGAGTCTTAAGCCCGCTCCCAAAAGATCATCTCCTTCAATCAGAGTTGAAGTGATTTTATCACCATGCTCTTTTACAATGTCTAAAATGTAATTCTTCATAAATTCAGTATTGGCAATATTAGGTCTTGTGGGTACAAGTTCTCGCAATCTCAGAATGGGTTTCACTAAATGATGCAAACTAAATTATTAAATATAATTGTATACTATTTTAGATTCCATTTCTATTCCACTTGATTTAAATAATCTTCTTAAGTGATTGATGTAATCAAATTTAAAAAATGGATTGGGAATGAAGAGGATTTATTTCCCTCCTTGATAGATTAATATGTCCATCTATAATTAGCCAATTAAAATCCAAAGGAGAACTCAGCTATATCATGAATTGTGTAATTATGAGGTAAAAGTACACTTATTGAGTTGTCATCTACTTTTTGAGTAGCGATCTTATTGGATGCTTTGCGAGCCAAATTTGCCCCATCCAACCGAGGACTCGTTGCATTCTAAATAATAACATATTCAAAGGGATCATTATCATTTAAAGCATAAATCTTAGCTTACTTCCCAGAATTAATGTCCTTGATCAACTCCTTTGATTTAAAATAAAATTGTAGCGCCTTGACAATTGGGTCTACAGATTCATTTATCGATGGGTAATACAAGACATAGACTCCCTTACTTGTAGCTTAAGTGGTATGCTTAATCTCAATATGGGGAGTAGTCTCCATTAAGGTGTGTTTCTACATAATTAATAAATATTTTATTAAAAAATTTCGCTTTAAACTTCATATTTCCCACTGAAGAAGTAGTGAAAATATTTATAAATTATAACCAATGATTCTATATAAACCATATAGCAAATACAAATAGAAGAACTTAAGTTGAGATTAATTTGACTTTGTTACAATAATTCAAATATTATAATAATGATTATATCTAACTTCCTGAGATATTTTCAAATTCATCTAATATTTCATCATATAATCATCATCATTTCTATAGATGAAATTAAATTTCACATTTCACAGTATATTACAACAAAATTCTTTTAAATCCCAGGGCAAATAAATTATTTTAAAGTCATTTTGGATAAGTTCTTACAATTTTAACATATACAAAAAATTCAGAATGCATCATTATAAAATTCTATCCTACTTAGGTTTATTAAAAATAGAAAGGATGAAAGGTATTCAAAAAGTTCATTTTTTGATTTAATTTATTTTAAGGTTTCAATGTCACATTTCTTTAAACAAGAGTTTGAATTCATTCGAAATCTATTGAATAAATTATTTGATTAACAGATGCACAAAGAATGAAATATACTATAATTATCTTTTTAAATGGTTTTATTTGTAAAGCTTGTATTAATATAAAATAAAATAATACAACTTAGAAAATAGATGAAATTTAAAAGCTTTAAGAAATTAAATTCATAATCTTTGATCTCAGTCAAGAAAACCAATGGGTGCATATATTAATATCAATCATCCTAATTTTGGCAAAAATTTAGTTTGCTGTCTTTGTTAGACCCTCCTAATAAGTGGTTTAGCACTTCCATCAATTTTATCTTTCTTCATGACTTAATTAACGAAATCAATCACCAAAATTGAAGCTCTGAATTCAACTCTTTTCTTAACAAGGTTACCTTCAGTTAAATTTTTTCTATGCTTAGATTCGATTTAGGGTGATATATATTATATTTGGGGTAACTTTAATTATTCTCCACAATGGACTGTGGCCTTCATTGACTATGACTAAGCCATAGCATCATTTAAAGGAGTGTTTTCAAGTGATTCTTTATTACTGATTGATATTATGGATTTTTCTCTTATTACAGGTAGCTTAGTAACTTGTCTCTTCTTTTAATGATTCAATTAAGTGATAAGGGGAGATTTTTCAAGATCGGAAGGATTTAATTTTGGTGATAGTAAAACTGTGTTCAAATCTATATTATTCAAAAACATAGATGGCCTTATTTGATTTGTTTTTTTATTGGGGATTTACAAGAGCATAACAATTTATAAAATAAATTATTTTGTTGAGCATTATAAATTTTACATAAATAGGAGCGATATACAAAATTTATCGAAAAATAAATAAGTTTTGAGTTTAATTATAAATTTGAATGCTAGCTAGAAACTGAATCATATTAATTATATCATGAAATTAGCATTATATTATAGATAATCAATCATTGGATGAATAAAATTTGGAAAAAATAAATTGGAACTATCCATTAGCCGAATTCAAAATTTATAAATAATATGAAGGTTTTTTTGAAAATATCAAATTCTTAAGAAAATAACAATAATCAATAATAAACAATTATCATAATTATTCAATTACCCAAACTTCAAAATGCTGGATTAAAAATTTTTCGTTTTAGGTGAATCTTGGATTTTCAAAAGTTGAACATGGATTATTATAACCAAAATATAACTTTGAATCAACAAATATTCCAAATGAAGGACCGCAACCAACACAAAATCCATCTGAATCACAATAAACAAAATCACTGTTTGTCTCCTTCCAATAATATGGAATCATTTGCAACTCGTCTTACTTGATATCATACACATTATTACTTAAAATAAGAATGTTTCTCCAGTTCCATGGAATCCCTTCTTTGAACCCTATAATTCAGATGAAACATATGCTCCAAACACCTTTCCATCCTTATCCTTGATTGTTAAAAAAAATGGATTCTGATATTACAATGACAGTAGCAATTGTTCATAACTAGAGCCATCGTTATCTATAGTAAATTTGATATTCCAATTGGACAACCTATATATAGCAGGTATCAATTCAATTAATTATTTATAGAGACTTTCATTTAAGCATTTCGAATTGGCTTTATATTTGGGAACATATGAAATACTTGCCCATAATCCTAAAAGATATTATCATTATTTCATTACTTCCCATTCTCTTTCCAATCACATTATCCAATTCTTACTTTTAGATTAATTGTTAATAGCGATTACTTTCATCAATTAAATCTATATAAGGAAGTTTAGTTAAATTGATAACATTCTATTGGTCCTTTAAATTTTAGACTGAATGATTGATAAATTCAGTGATCGACTTACACATATCTCTCTTTACCTCTTCTGGAATTAGCTGTCCTGATTCATATCTCTCTTGATACTAAATATATAAATATTTTAAGTACTCTGAAAAATATAGTTGCAATACTCTTTTTTTGCTTTTTGAACTTCTAGAGTTTCTTTCTGAATTTCTTCTCGAATTCTACTCTACCAATCCCACTCAATAAAATTTAGATTAAATAATCTTTTTGATCATTTGCATTAGGTAAGATATGAACTATGGCTTCATTGATATCATTAATAGAAATGCATGCATTATTCAGTATCCTCTTACCTGCGTACTGTTGAACCTGATTGGTATCGAAAAGAATCATATCTTCTCTTACAGTCATTTATCCTTTAACATTCTAATCATCCATACAATAATACATGGGAATATTATTGTATTGCTTGATTTACTGCTTCCATATGTCTTATTCCATTTATTCCACTTCCTCTTCTTCACTATACTCCTCCTCCTCACTATCCACATGATCTTATTTAAAGACCTTTAACACCATTCCTTGAGCAATGAATTCGCTGCTCAAATTATTTATCCTTTTCAAAAGCTCCACACTCATATCAAATTTTAAAGCAATCCCAATCAGTGAATCCTCTTACTATACTTCATACTCCTCGTACTCTTTGTTCTTCGAAGTATCAATAGTGCTTTCCTATGTGAATTTCGTTTTAAGCGTGTCATCATATTGGATAACTGTTGTTTTACGCTTCAATTCAAAATCCTCAGAACTAGATGGCTTTTATTTTTTAGGTTTTATAAATCTTAACACCTTTTTCACCTTTTTGAACATATGGAAATTAAATTTAATAACAAAAATAACTCGAATCTATATATAAATTTCTAGTTTAAAATGACAATTTAATATCTATATCTTTAAAATCATTAGAAACACTTTCCTTCAAAAATAAATTTGTTTGATAATTTATCTAATTCACATATTTATTAAATTCTTTAACAATTCAATAATAAAACTCTTAAGAAAATTATGTTAAATAGTACTATTAATAAAAATCAAAATTTATTAAAGAATTTAAAATGAAATTCCATCTTCCACAAAATTTCAATACTCTCACTTTATTAAAGATATTTATGAAACGATTAACTTTGATTTTATTCAATTAATCATATAAATTGAAAACCTGATTCAACAATGATATTAAATAATTTAATTTATAGTAGTAGTTGAAGATTAGAAAACTAATTATTATATTGGAATTATCTATTCAAAGCCTCATTATCTAGATTCTGTATGACATAGAAATATATATAGTTTTAATTACAAGTAAATCTTAAAAATCTTGTTTACCCTTCTAATTTTATTACTAAAAAAAGTTTGAACTGAAAGTACAGGTAATATTTTACACAAAATTTAATTATCTATAATTTCTTTAATAATTTTTATTATTGGGTAAATTATTTGAATAATTTATAAAGCAAAGCATCTTTTTTTTTGAAACAATTAATAATTTTATAAATTTAAATATTAGTCTAAACAGATATATCAAGGGGAAATGATTGATTAATTAAGTATGACATATTTGTTGTGATTAATAATTGAGGAATTCTGAAGTGGAATTGGATTTTTGCAATATTTAGTGAGATTTGGAAATATTTTAGGAATTTAGATTAATAAAAATGGAGATTGAAACATTTATAACTTTTTGATTTCGATCAATTTAATTATTATGAAATCAGAAATTAAAAAAAGAAATGAAATGAGATTTTTTTGATATAATATTTAAAATATTAAATGGGTTCTTGTGCAGGATCAGGGTAAAATAAATAAAAGCATTCGAGAGATGAAAGAATCAGAACAGAACCAGATAAGGGAAGAGGAAGTGATGCTTTCACTGGTGGGGTCAATGTCTCTAATGCATCCGGAAAAAGTGCAGAATTGAAATGGTTGGATTTGCCGAATTAGAAAAAGAAGACAATGAAAAAGTAAGAAAGTCTCAAAGTCACACTTTCAATTACGAATGGTCCTATATCAAAATACTATATTCGAAAGAACCTTCGTTATTTAGAAGGCGTCAATTTTAAAGATAATATGTTTGTTGTTCAACATATCGTTACTGGAAAAATTCGAGTGGCAGAAAGATTTTCAATGAATACAGTAACGAATGCATTCATCAATAAAATAATCTACTTATAATTAGTAAATATTTGATTTATTTTAGAACCATCCTAATTTGCTAGATATTTATGGAATATTCTTAGAAAATAATTATTACACAATTATAACTGATTATTGCAATGGGGGATCACTTTTATCGCTACTTTCTGAGAGGAATACTCATTTTGAAGAAGGAATTGCTGCTTAATGTTGCAGATAAATATACGAATTAATGAGCTATTTACACAAATATGGACTTTATCATGGTTCCTTAAGTTTGAGAAGTTTTGAAAAATACAATTAAGGAAAGAAACACTTTAAACTAAAACTTGTAGATTTTAGCAGTTTATTTTGTAAATCAGATATTAATGAAAGCAATGTGCAATTTTTATCACCTGAATGTTGCAGTGAAAAATAAAGCTATACGGCTGCTAGAGATTAATGGGCAGTTGGAATAATTACCATGGCTATAGCTTTTGGTAAACTCCCGTTTGATGCAAACTCATTGTAGGAATGCTTGGAGAATATTCAATCATCTTGTAAGAAGGAGGGCTTTTTGCAAAAAGAATTGGACAAGTAAATTGGCAATCCTTTGATTAAAGATTTAGTACTTTAATTCTTGCAGGTTGTTCCGTCGAAAAGGATAGATTTTATTTAAGCTTTAGAGTCTAAATGGATGAAAAACTATGAGCAGATTTCCAAATAGTAATTCAAGCAATGCTTAGATGAATTAACTAAAAAAGAGGCAAACTTTCTTCAATCTTGCTTTCTTTTAATGATGATTAAATAATTCGATGATTAATACTCTTAAATATAAGAAATATTTAATGGATTGGATATTGATAAGAATGGTAGACTCACGAAACCGGAATTAGTTAAACATTACACCCAATATTTTAATGCTCAATACAAGTCTCATGAGATCCATGACTTTGTGAATGAAATATTTGCAGCTTCAGACATAAATAATAGTGGTGACATAGAACTTTCTGAATTTTTGATTGCCCTATCAAATCCTAAAACTATTATAACTAATGAAAACCTAAAGTGCATTTTCAATCAAATCAATCAAGGTCAGCCTTTTGGTTTTAATGAATTACAACCATTATTTAGAACCAAGGAAGCAGAAATTCAAAGCTCCCTTCAATAAATTCCAAATCAAATTGTAAACCATTTTATTCTAAATTTTAGATTAATTTTGAGGAGTTTTAAAAACTTATGTTTGAATTAATAGAAGATAAGTGATATGTATAAAATTTGTTTAGAATTTCTAAATAACAAAATAATAAACAATCAATTGCACATTTTTATGTTAAATTTAGAATACCGAATCTATAATGTTTATTATTTTGTTTGCAATTTTGTCTTGCATTTCATAATACTCTGGTTTAAGTAAAGAAGTATATGTAATCACAATCCATCATTTGATTTTTCTAATTTCAATAAGATCCTTAATCCTATGTTCTTTTTCTAACAGATAAATTTAAAGAAGCTTTTTCATCATAAAATATTGAAATATCAGTTTAATTTTTAATTGTATGGTTTTTAGCACGAAAACTTTGCTTTATGGGTATGTAAAATTAGGGGAAATGTGCATTTTGAAATACTCAATAGATTTTTAGCAATATCTTAGCAATCTTATGGTGATTAAGAAGTAAAATGAAATAAGATACAAAAAATGTGATTTATTTATGTTATAATTAAAACATGTTATAAAGCACTTCAGAAAAATTGCAATAAAAAGTTTCCTCTTATAAGGACAAGATACGGACACAATTGAAGAAAAAGATATCGGTGATTAAAGATCAACAAAAATTGAGACATTCTAATAGCGATTGTAATCGAAATAGTTAATATCTCCATAGTGCAAATTGACACACCATTCTAATAGTAATCAAAAATAGCTGCTGATTTTTCTGATAATTATGAATTAGGTGTTAAATTAGGAGAAGGTGCTCATGCCATTGTTCACAAAGCAATCAGGAAAAGTGACAACCAGGAATTTGCTGTAAAAATCTTTAGATCTAGTGACCCTGAAATCATTGCTTCAATAAGAAAGACTTATTAGATTGGATCAATGCTGTCTCATCCGAATTTAATTAAAGTGAAAGAATTATACATAAATTAATAAAATGGATACTCATATTAAATTATGGAATTGTGTCAATATCCAAATTTAGAAAATCAGATAGCCAAATTGAATCTTAACGAGATTAAGACGGTTATGCGGTACATTATAAATTGAAGTAACAATAGTGAATTATTGAATGGATTAGTTTACATGCACCAATAAAAAGTATGTCACAGAGATATAAAACCTGACAACATTCTATTTGATGGTTTAAATGTAAAAATCCTTGACTTTGGAGTCAGTAAGAGATACTACATTAAATAAAAATATATAGATATGTGGACACCCACAGGCACTTAATTTTATTGTGCACCAGAGATATACACCAAAGTTAGTTACACTTACAAAGTTGACATGTGGGCTGTTGGTGTATAAATTCATATTTATATTTAAGGTTATTCTCTATTAACTCTTAACAAAACAGTTGCCATTCCAGGATGAGACTGCTCATGGAACTATTGAATTAATATGCAAAGCATAGTTCAAAGATCATTCAGCTTTAGATAAAGTTAGCAAAGATTTATTAAGCAGATTGCTATAGATTGACCCAAAAAAAAGACTTAATGCAGCAGAAGCTTTACAACATATATGGTTTCAGAATAAGGAGATGATACAGCAATGCATGGATGATATGATCGTACATGATGGTCTAGTTAATGATTCCTCATTGTTTATCTAACTTAGTTAATCATAAAATAGGAATACCTACGCAACTCATCATTAAAATACTAAAGTTGAGGCTTTCAAGCCGACAATACACGTCAAGCAATCTTCATTCAGAGATTCATCATGATATACTGGGTTATTTCATATTAATATTCACAACAACCAATATCATAGTAGTTATTTAAACCTTGAATCATTTTGTTATCAAAATCTTACAAAGCCTTTTCGAATTTTAATTTAATATTTTATTATCTCAATTATTCTTTGATGTTTTATGAAACAAACAATCTACTTATTGAATTATTTTATTAATTCAACTTCACTTAGTGATAGACAAACTTAATCGCTGTATAACTATCATTATAACTCAGATTTGCCAAAATCAAATAGCTTTCTTTCTAATTATGATTTGTTATTAAATTTTATAATGTTTTTATGTCTAATTACTTCTCATTGTGCAATAAATAAGCGATCTGATTAAGCGAATAATCTTATTATAGTTAAGCATGTATTCGTAATTGTGTATTAATGCGCGATTATTATTTCAAATTATAAGACTTTCAAAAAAGTAATAAAATTAAGAATCATAAAGACGACCATGTGGCATTAAGTACTCTTCTCATTATTCTTTTGTTTAAAGCCTAATAGCAACTTAAGATATATAAATTTTAATTGACACCCAGTTTTTAATACTCAATCTGAAGTTCAACAAATATTATGCTTATAAAGTACTAACCTTAAAGCAGCTTTTCGGCAATGCAAATATTATAATTTTATTTTGATATAATGTTCTCAAGAAAACAAAATATTGTAACTTATATTAATTTTTCCATTATTTTCTTTGTACCTTATTACTCAACTTCGAGTGCTTAAATCTACTTGTTTCTTTCTAAATTAGTCACTCATGTTTAAAAACGTATTATAAGAAGAAGAAGTGTAAGAATCCATCAAATCATTATATTTTATTTATATTAAATTAATTCATTCTTATTGATACAATCCAACATGCCAAAATGGAAATAAAGACATTATATAACAGTAGATTAACTCAAAAATAGCTTTAAAAAATGAAGTTATTGTCATCTTCTAATCTAATATATATATAAATAAAAAGGATTACTTTATAGTTATTATTTAAGTCTTCGCATTTCTTCCTCTAATTCAGGCTCTTCATCCTATTCAGCATTTGGCTATTTTTCAAATTATATTTCTTAGGTATTTTCTTTAGCATCTTATTTTTCTTGTTGAACATCCATTTCTCTTTACTCTTTATTTTACGATTCAATCTATGGTTCATCTATTTAAATCTCTTTATTTTGCTAAGCATTTTCTATCTTAGGTGGTTCTTAAATATTTTCATGAAGTTATTTTTCATCAAATACCAATTCTTCCTCTATTTTTTCTTAATTATTCTAAAATTCGTTTTGTTGTTTTTCTTTTTTAATTATGTTTTAACTTTCATTGTCTTAATTGTTTGTTTCCTGCTTAGTTTCTTTTATTTCTGTTTTATTTTATTAGAGATCTCTTGATAATTCTTAAGCTTGCAATAGTTTAGCCTGTCTAATCAAAAAATCCTACAGGTGTTCTTAAGTTTCCAATTACAAATCTAATTCGTTGTCCTGGTCATTAAATATATCTAAATCATCAAATTTTTCTTATTATTCAAATTATTATTCTAATTTTACATCTGAATATTAATTAACATCAGGTTGTACTTTAGTAGTATTTTTTTAATTATATTTTTATTATTATTGTTATTATTATTGTTATTACTATTGTTATTGTTATTGTTATTGTTATTACTATTGTTATTGTTATTGTTATTATTATTGTTATTATTATTGTTATTGTTGCTATTATTATTACTATCGTGTTTCTTAGTTTTAGTTGATGTCTCTTTATTGTTGTTGTTATTATTATCTCTATAATTATTGCTATTATTCTCTCAATTGTGCCTTAAATTCCTAATATTTGGTCCAATAGAATATTCCAATAATGGCCAATAAATAATAGTAATTCTAACCTTTAAAGTAGGAGCTAAATAAAGCATAGAATACTCCGATATAACAAATCATTTTGAAATGGAAATATATCTCTTACTATATAGGGGAGTCTTTGTCATCTGATTTATTAATAAATGATTACCATTTCTTCTTTATTATTATTATTGTGGTGTTTTATCAATTTTCTCATCAGAGTTTTACTAAAATTTCAATCCCAATATTGGCATTTGCGAAATAATGGGTTGGAAATTGGACACATTTAATTAATTGAATACCAATCCTCTTTGAATATTTTTAGTGTATTCTTGATAGAGTAATTATTTATTTGGTTGTGGGTGTTATTTTTTAGTGCCAATTACTGTTAAGAATACAATTTGCTCTTATTTTTTTGCGATTTCGAGTAACTTCTCATTGCCATACAATTCCACGCCACCATGATATAATTTAATTGCATCTGGATCATAGAAAGATTAGTTTTTGGCAGAGAAATATCGAATCTAGAATAAAGTTAAGGTATACTTATTCAGTAGTCCAATAGTCTGGACATTAGAACTCCAAGAAATGCCCATTGGGAAACTTAACTTTTATATTCATTTAATAATGTAATAATGGGATTTAGTAAATGAATCAAGTGATTAGTTACGATTGTTTAGTTATTGTTTTATAGTGTGGAGTGCCTTATTTATACTTTGCTACGATAGAATCAGATTGAATAACCTTAGTTCCAAAAAGCAAATAGATGTTTTCAATAGAGTGGTATCAATTTTGCACGGACAATTCACTTTTTGGGGATCACTCATAGTTATACTTTCTCAGACCCCTTACCAATTATAGGAAATGAATTCCTCTGAAATGCAATTCGTTATGATCGTCAGCGCAGGTTATTTTGCATACGACGTCATAATTTGCACTTATTTCGATTTGTATGACTATTGGCTGATATTCCATCACATAATTAGTTTGATGGCTTTTGGAGAAAGCATTCTGAATAAAAAATATGGACATATTATTATATGTAAATAGTTATACTCATAAAAACTATATAGTCGGTATGTTCATCACTGAAATATCTAATTTGCCTATGCATCTGAGACATATCTTGGGTTGTTTCGGATTAAGACAAACAAAGATATATGAATCAATTGAATTACTCTACTTCTCACTCTTCTTAATATTTAGAGGTATCTTGAGTCCGGTCTTACTAATAAGAACTTATGAGGATCTACACGCTCCCTTATTGATTAAAATCTCTGCATCTGGATTGCTATTGTATTCAGTCTATTACATCATAGAGTAATTAAAAATTCTACATCTATTTTTAGAATGATCAAAATTACTTAAAGAAAGATCAGATCGTACAGGGATCGGAAGAGAAGAAACCTCAGTATGTATTGGTTTGTTCAGAATCCTCTACTACCAACTCAAAAATATGTAGACTCCATATTATGATTATTATTAATAAGAATTATATCTATAATTAAAAATATTCTTGTAAAAAATGAGTTGTCTGAATCTGCTGATTTAACACAATTAATAGTTATTTGCAAGATAAATATTTTTATTTTGTTTGATGAATAAATTTACTTTAAAATTTGATGATAAAATATTAGAAGAATAATATTAAAAAGTTAAACTGTCTAAAATTAGAAAACCCATTTATTTGGGACTGTTGTTACTATGTTTTTGCATGATGAGTTCAAATGCCATATTAAGCTTGTTTACTTCACAATAACAGACCGTAAAAACATACATCAATTATTCTTACCTAATATTTATGGTCTTCTAAGCCCTAATTGTATACAAAAGACCTTATCTAATCAAATACTTGTTGGTATTATCAAATATTGCCACAGGGTTGTTGCAATTCAATTTTAATGAATCAACCCCAGCCTAAATATACTATGACTAAAGTTCTTCATTTACTTAATTACAAGCAGTCGCATACTTCATTTCTGATTTCAAAGATGGAGTAATTCAAGTTTTAGCCTTGCTCTTTATGCGATTGATGATTACTTCAATGAAAATAGGAAATGTAGATTTGCAGACAATTCTAATAGGAATTGCCTCTACCTCCTTTATTCTCGTCACCCTCTACATAAATGACTAAAATTCAAGAAAGGAATTCTTAGGCAGCATTTAAGAGGACTTATGGGATCATTCCTTAGCCATCCTCATTAAAAAGCCTCATTTCAGAGTTTAATATAATAAGGAATATATGAAGATAGATTTAGTTTCCTCCCACCAATTATGTGAATTCCCAGGCTACGATGAAAATCTGTGCGAAGGATGTAATAGTAGATAGATGTTACATTTATATTAATACAATAAAGTTAATTTATCTGATTTTATTCTAGAATAGGCTTAGACAATCTAAAATTCATTCAAAGTTCAATACAAGCATCACTCACTTTAATTGAGAATAGTTTGTGTTGGAATAAAGAATTTAAATATTGTTGTCATTTATGAAAAATTAAGAGCAGATGTAAGTGAAAAGATAGTACCGGTTAAATTGAGAAATTTAATTTTTCAATATATTCAATCTTAATCTCAAAGAACGATTTATTAAAGGTTATTTAATCAAGGCTTATTATCAATTTTGTTAATTAATAAAATGAAATTAAAAGAAGTGGAAATTACCAAAATGTTCAAAAAATTGAATAAATAGTTTAAATACACTATGAAACCTCTTAAAATACTACCTAAACATGTCAATTTTAAATTTTACACTTATTCTTCCTAATTGAAAATATTTTTAGTTTAAATCTTTCAAATATTTGATTAAATCTCGAAAAAGAGAATATCGATACTATTTCAAGATTTAGAAGATTGCAATTTAATGCAGATTAAATTTAAATAAAGTTAAGAAAGAAATCTGAACCTCTTATTTCTTAGCTTTTATAGTAAGAATATTTTTATACAGCAAATCAAACCACTCTTGTTGTTTAATGAGCTAAATTTAGATTTGCAGATACAATTTAAAAAACACATACCATACTAACTAATTTATTGATTTAAAATACAATATATATTTCAAAAAATCTTTTAATCTTTTTATAATATTGTATCATCCTCTCCCAAATTTAGAGTATTTATTCTGGTGTCAATATTTGTTTAAACCATCCTAAAAGTGTGAGGCATCAATAATTTTGAAGCTCGGTTTTAAGGCAGTGATCGAATCTTTTATTCAAGTTGTTGACTTTCAATCAACTTTTCCCTTTAATTTTTATATTGTTGATATGCTACATAAAAAAGAATTGAGAGGAGAAACGCAGCTAAAATGTAAAATAAATAATAAATTGGAATAATAAAGGGTTTTTGATTGAAGTGAACCATAAACTCTTTTTATTTCCAACCCTAAATGGTTCGATACGTTAATTTAAACTTCTTTTCGATTTATTTTGAATCAGCTAAATTACTATAAAATAAATAATCATACTCTCAATAAAGCACTTAATCTAATATGGCTAAAGGCTTGGTTGAATTTTAAATAAATATTTGGATGTAGTTCCATAGATATGATTATCAGCTAAAACAAACTATTTAACCGAAGTTAATACAAAAGGTATTGCAGTTTCTTTATCCTAATAATAAATTAGAAAATGAGTATGTAATCCCTGAACTAGTATAAACTCCTCGTTTACTTCAACATCAACAATCTTATTAGATATATTGAATCTAGCCACAGAACCCCACTTTTTGTTTAGTATCTCAATGTTGAATTAGATGACATAATGCTGATTTTTGGTTTTGTAGGCAACAAAGACAAAACTATCACTATTAATAGCTAGAGCAATTCCATCTGTTTTGGGACCAATATTCTTCAAAAGTAATTTGCTCATAACTTTTTGATTCGTAATTTTCAAATCAATAACTACCACTCCATTTATTCTACACAGTACATAAAGTATATAATTAGTATCTCTTAACTTTGAAATAGAAAAATCTCTAAAATCAACAGCGGATAAACCTAAGGATTATTTATCGAATAGATAAGACTAATAATCTTAATCCACTAAATAAATTTCTAAGCCGTCTGATCCAATAGCAGAAAATAAATAATAATCAATTATTTCTGAGTAATACCTACTTTATCTACTTTACCAATTTCTGATTTCTCCTTAATTTTTTGTGTTTCTAAAATCCAAGTAGTGAGCAGAGTCAGGATATGCTAAAATTAGATATTCAGTAGATCCAATAAGTTAAGGCAGTGAAACCTATTGATGTGTGAAATTAAAAGAATAAATTTTTGCGATTTCATCAATTAAACTGATATGGAAAAGATGATTATTTATTGTTAATCCGTAAATTTCACTTTATCCTTGGATCACCACATCAATCAAAAGATCAGAGTCCTCAACTAATGAATCATTATTTAATTAGTCGTAGGGCAGTTAAAATGTTTATCCTTCTGTTAATAATGTTCGATTTGAGAGATAACAAAACTAAGAGTTATTGATTAATTAATTATCGTCACTAGGTTAATTTTAATCAATACTCGATCAAAACAAGCTAAGCATCTAAAGCATCCCTTACTTCAAATAATGTCTAAACTTCACCAAACTTAACAAAATAGGATTATATTGCTTTGCTCAGAATAGGAAGGGTTAAATAAATGAACAATAGCATGATTTTAGTAAAAATTACAAATTTATTTTATATTATTAATATATATTCATATATCAAATTCCTATTTAAATAGTAAAGCATATTTCGCAACATCATCCTATTTGTAGGATAGTAGTTTCTGAATTACACTAACTCCATCCAGTTACACAAAAATTCTGAAGAATTGGTTAGATTTGTTATCTTTGGCCTTGATTTCTCCTTTTCTGATGATTTTAATGAGAATTTCGAGTCCCTTCTTAAGATGGATTGGTGCAATCTCTTTTTCATTTGCTATTTCCAACATTCTAAGTAGATATTAAATAAGCCCATTTCCAACAAGCCTGCCGACATCCTCATTAGTCCCTTATTGAATCGCATTTCCAATCACTTCAAGGGCGTCCCCTCTTAAATTTGAATTATCATCACTTAATGATCGAAAAAGAGAGACCAAAAAGTTTTAATTCGATAAAACCTTAAACAACGTTTCCGTTGCTGCAAAAGTTTAAATCATATCTCCACTTTTATCTCTACTTTTAGGATCAACGATCATTCTGATATGAGCAATAAATCCACATTCTAATAAATATTTAATTTAGTCTTCAGTTCCATAAAATATGCACTCAAAAATTCGTAGAATAGATACAAAATTGCCCATTGGCAATAGATTAATCAATTAAGGCACGACACCACTATTAATTAAGGCAGCAATTCTATTGGGCTCACCATCAATCATATAGCCTAACGCCCAAATGGCATCGTTAATCATTTTTAAATTTTGTTGATTGAACTCTTCCATAATTACTTATGCAAAAATCTCAAATGCTAGTTGTATCCTATCAAACTTAGGACTTGGACGGCCTATACACAAATTAGCCAAACACCATATGTAGATCGATTTGTATTTGGATTCCATTTTGCTTATTATTTTATCCATACTGCAGGCTTACAGTATAGAATCTCGATATTTCACAGATTCACCAGCCAATTTTCCTAATATAGTGATGATTAACATAATCAACTCACTTTAATTACCATCCAGCACACTCAAAGATAATTAAAGAATTCCATTTTCCATAATTATTCTTGTTATTTCACTTCTCCCACCTGCTAGAATTGAAATGATTTCTAAATTAATAATAAAATATAAACAACATGCTGCTTCTAGTTTTAATATGTATGTGCTTCCATATTAGATGAGGTGAAATAAAATAGGTATGAGCTCATTTTCTTTGGCAATTTCTTACTCAAAATTCTTTGTATTATAGAAAAATATATACAGCCAACGTTCTCCTTAATTTAATTATTGCTTTGTGGCTTTCAATAAAATTCTCTGATCTCAGTGCATTTATGGAGTCCATGACAGTAATATGATCTTCATCCATTCTTAAGATCTAAATTATTTCATCCTTCAGCTCTTGACATAGTTACTCCTATTGGACTAAGTCTTCATGGTTAGAATTTTGTTACAATTTTTTAATGCCTCCTAGTTTCTGACTATTTTTCATGGTTTTCTGTGTTTAATGTAGGAATAATAGAAGAATTTAATTATTTATCTCGACAGAATAGTTTATTCATAATCAAATATAAATCATATATCAACTTTTTATTCTTTCATTTCGATGCACATATCAAATAGTATATAATTTCAATTCAATCTAATTGAATAATTGTCATCCAATTGTGACTTGAAAGAAGCAACTCCCAATTGAATAGGGTAGGCTACTTGCCAAATGTTTCAAATTCAACTAAGGCATATTTTCTTGAACTTTGCATAAACTTTTTCAGAAAGCAAATTAGCTTGATAAAATAAAAGAAACTTCATAAAGGCAATAGCTTGAGAAATAATATATAAAATTTAAATTTTTATTTTATTTTAAGATTTCCATTTATAGGCATTATATATTTATGTCTATATAATCAGTTCCGCATTCTTTATTTGTTTATCAGAACTTCGTTGCAAAAGTATTAAATTTTATATTTAATCTAAAATGAATAGATTTTAAATTATTTCCCTTATGCATTTTAAAATAATTATATAAATAAAAATTATAAAGAATATCATTTAAATTTGAAAAATTAACATTATCCATATTTAGCAGATATTTTAGTTTTATCAAGTAGAATTATTATTTAATAATGATTTTAGAATTTATATTTCATGAAATCTTATTCATATAATAATAATCGATTTCATTATAGATCTCTTCTGAAATTAGCTCATAATTTCTATCAAAGTTTGTTCTGTTGAAATTTAATATTTCTGCATCATCCTCGTTAAGGATATAATTATTTTCAAAAGATTTTTCTGACTTAGGAGTTAAAACCATTTCACTATCTTTCTACTGAAACAAGCTTATCTTTATTCCTATTTAATGGGATTTAAGAAACTCATTTCTAAATTTGGATGATCTCATAACGAAATACAGCCTAGATATCTCATACAATAAATTCAAATAACTTAACTTTTTTTGCATCTAGCCTGAAACTTTCTCATAAAATTTCTTGTAAATTTTAGGATCTATTTTTATCTTATTTAAGCTAACTTCAACCATTTTTCCCCTCCAATTCTTTTTAATTTATATTCGTTTAAATTCTGGATAATAAAAACTTATGATCTCCTTTAATACCTTCTTATTTAAATAATATTCATTTAAAAACATAATGAAGTATTTCATAATAAATAGTATTGATACAATAGATCCAACATTTGCTAATAGATCTCCTAATCGTGGATACTCTAATATTGTTTTTTCTTGAGTTCCTCTCATAGCAAGATAAACTACTCCAATTGCTTGTGTCTCAAATAGGTTTGAGCAATACTCACGAGAATTTGTTTAGGTTTATATTGAAACATCAACTATATATTCCTTGAATTGAGAAGGACCAAATAATAACATATTTTAGAGCTCAAATAAAGTTGTTTTAAATAAAGCCGCTACTGAATAGCAAAACTGCTCCTCTAATTATATAGTATATTCTTAGTAGCCACGTTATTCTTATCCATCCCTAGGGTTTATTGTTGTCGAATAAAATTCGATTATAACCTAATTGCCTCGTTAGGCAAAGAATTGTTCTTTTAGTTCTTGGGATGCGCATTTTTCACCAGGTTGTAAAAATATCTCTTAACATAGCACTATTTCTAAATACATTTCGTCAGAAGTGTATATAATACCCTCATAATAAGTAAAACCAAATTTCATATCTGGTACATAGAGATCTCCATAGGATTCAACGATATGATTTTTGATTAAATGAGGCTCTGTTAATTCTGTGTCTTTTGAGTACATTACGAGGGGCAATAAAATATTGTTTAAAAATGGATCAATTCTGTCCTCAGTACCTTTATAATAGTAAAGTCTTATCACATCCTAACTTAAATCTAGCAAAGAATAGTCAGAAATGTAATTTTAACGTGATATTTTTGGGCTCATCTAATTAGTTTGCCAGAGGTAAGCAATCCAGATTACGTAAGCTAAACTAACTGAAAAGATTGTGATCGTTATTAATCCCCCAAAAGTACTTTTGTATTTTGTTTATCCATGATCTATGTTTTATACACCAGAAGTAGACATTTATTTTATAAAAGTTTAAAAAAGTCTTGACCATATGTTTTAAGGCATTGTACATAAGAATGACGAAATGAAGGAAGAAAACAAGAAGAGCTCTTATTTGAAAGAATAAAGAAGTATATTGTGAGTTTGATGGAATAATGGCCAAAGAGAGTTTATAATTTTAAATGGAATTGATTTTAAACATAAATAATTTAAGAGTTATTTGAAAAGGTCAAATTCTCTACATAAGATGTTGATATAAAGAAGGCTAAGACCTTTGTTTTGAATACTTTAGGATCTTTGAAATCCATCAGAGTAAGGATAATGAAACATTAATTAATTGTTTATAAATTATAGCAAGATATGTTAATGGAACAATAAAACATGAGAATAGAATAATAATGTATTACCATTGTATCTATCTCTCCTTCCAATAAATAGAGATTTTTAAATACTCACGTTAATAAAGTGTAGATAATTAATAGTATATCAAACCTTTAAATCTAAAAATCAATATAAAAACAAAGATTTATATTTATTAGAATAAATTTTCTATCTCTTTCAAAATAATGCAAATAGTTTGAAGCTTTAAAAGTTGTTTTCACAATTTATTTTAAAGGATAGTTATTATATTAATTTTAAGAAAAAAAGTCATAAATCTTATTGTACAAATGGAACACCAAAGAAATCTGCCTTTTTTAGAGTTTTCATAAATTAATATCTAATTATGAATAATATATGATTTGATAGGTCAAATTAAAGATATTTTGAGCAAATCATAAGCTACCTTGCCCAAAGGTGGCATACTTTCAAATAAAACAGCTAATATGATTTTTTTCAAATTCTATCATTTTATTAATGTTGGATTTAATAATAACTTTATAGTTAGAAAAAAATTATTTTTAATAAAAAGAAAGTTATATCAATAAAATTTTATCATTGAATTAAGAAATTAAATAAGAACTGATGAAGGTAATTAAGAGTAGGTCAAGAGTATAGTAGGATGAATTTCTAACTTAATATGAGAATTCAATTCTCTTATAGTAAAATGATTATTTACAACTTATCCATTAGATAAATTAATGTTAAATTTTTCATATTGATATTAAATGAAATTTTGTGTAAAGGTACTCACCATTCCATTTAAGTCACTCATCTTTGAGTATGAAACGGTAGAAGATAAACATTATTTAATTCTTTTTTATATTCTCTACAATTTTCTAACAATCCTTGAAAGAATAATCTTACGATTTTTTAGAGTATTTTTGAATTATTTACCTTAGATTGTCGAAATACTTGAAAAAGGATGGGTTTTTATAACAATGAAAATAAGTGTTGCTCTTAAAAATATACTTTTCCAAACATTTTTCTAAAATTAATTAAATTATATATTTTCAATAAGAGCATAAAGTTATTGAGACTATCTAAAACTTTATTTGATAGTTGTAAATTTTGATTACAACCAGCTATATTGTAATATTAGATATAAAATAGCATATCTGTAAAGCAAATGACTATGAAACCAAAACTATCAAAGTAATCAGAAATTAAAATAAAATTACAGATTAAACAAAAAAAGAGTTTAAAAATAATAATAAATACTTATGAAGAAAATGGAAGTCAAATTTGTAAAACCAAATTTTATAAGAAAAGTAGTTTGGTCTTAAGGGATTTTTCTATGCTATTTGAAATTGAAAAGGTATACTGTTCATAAATTGAAATTTCAGATATTGTTTATTTTATTAGTCTTTTTACCTCCTTTTCATAAATTAGATGTATTTTCTACATTTACATTATCTAACAGGTAGTTATCTACACTAAATTCAATTTTTGTTCCTTTACAATTTCACCACAAATCTCGAAGTATTTTTATGTTTATATTCTAGAATAATGGGTGATTGGATTAAACCTTTGAGATTATTTTTGAAAATAAATAACAAGAACTTTAATTTTCATATTTAATCTATTAATATAATTATCATTATACTCCATAATAAATTAGATAATCTTATCATTCTTAATGACTACAAAAATCAATTTTTGCTCCCAGAATAAAAAGTATTTTGATTGGCATTTCTGTATTTTATACTACAGTTGAGGAGTAATGGGCTACATATTCTTATTATTGATAAAATAACTCCAATCAATAATACTAGATTCTCAATAAATATTACGTTTTCAATGATGCAAGATTTTTTCGTCATCATAAACAATGGAATGATAAAAAATAACAATATTATTGATATATCATCATTTTAAATCAGGTTCAAGAGAGACTTTCATTAGGACTAATATATTTTTTGCTTTGTTTGATATTTTAGGATTTCTTTTCAAGCTATTCAGATTATTCAATATAATTTTTCGAGAGTATATTACATTACTCACCCTAAATGCCTTATCTGTAGTTGTAATTCTTTGACTTAAATTTTGAGTTCATCACTTCCAAATTATGATTTACTTATTTAATCAATATAATAAAAACTGAAATAATATAATTATCATGGCAATAATAATTTTTTAATTGCAACAGATAATCTCTGGGTATTCTATCTACATTCTTCCTGCAAATTGCATTCTGAGATTTTATACTTCTACTTTATGGAATACATAAACTCAATTAGTTTTGTGAACTCTTCCCCTTGACCCAAGTCTCTTGTTTATTGGGATTTCAATACGCACTAAGATTATACTTTGTAAATATACTTTAGCGATAAGATCTTAAGCGACCTGTAAATCATTCTTTTCAAGGTTGAATCTATCTTGTGGATAACTCATTGGAAGAATCTTTTGTAAATGGAACTTTTGAAAATATGAATCTTTCGCTTTGAATCCTGTGTAGAGTGCAAGATTTTTCATGCAAACTTAAGTTTTATAAAGAACATCATTCCCCAATAGAATATGATCATCTCTAACCAATAAACGATTTAAGATAGTAATTGCATAATCATAACAAAAGGGTGTGTTTTAAATATTGCTCTCCTACACAGGAAATGTGAATCCCACGTTGTAGATTTTGATAGAAACTCCTTTTTTGAGAGCTATGTCAGTCTATATGGCTTTCACATGATCGATCATATATAATAGAGTGTGAGGGACACAGTTTCGATCGACGAACAACACAGCCTTTTCATTATTTGAATTGATAATTTCGTTAATCTTTTTGTGGAATTCCTGCTAAAAAGCTTCTTTGATATATGTAAACACTTTTTAGAATTAGATTGCCAAAGAATCTGTGTTGTCTCCCAACTTTTCTTTTATTAATTGAAGTGTGACTTCATCAGCACAAATGTCATAAAAAGGATAGTCCTTATAATTCTATTTTAAATAGTCAACCAAGGTTGATTTGCCAGAACCAGGTATCATTAATGGATAGATGATTACTATTTTTTTTTAAGGCTTAACATCCTCATCAGATTCTTCCAAGTCTAGATCATCTTAATCTTCTATTTGTGGCTATTCTGCACATTCAAATTATTTGATTATAGACTCCAACTTTTATAAATCAAATTCTTCCAAGACAAAGGTTCTATTTGGAAAGTTCTTCTAACACTCTTTCAAATATACTTAACCTTTTTCTAACCATCTCTCCAAACTCAACTATTATACTTTTGGCTTTGCAGTTGTAAATTGAACACCAAAAGAACTTATAATTGGATTTTAGTCTTAAAATGTTTTAGATTATAAATTCTGTAATGATACCTTGAATGCTTCTTAATTCATACCCAAGAATACAAAAATGATATTGGAGGGTTCTTAATTTTATAATGTTGAATTAACTAAGTAATCATTCAGTTGTTGTTCATTATTTATATTGTATGGTAATTTAGGTATCATATGTAAAATTGAGATTGCTCTTTATGCGAACACCTTTTGATTTCTACACATATATTAGCATTCAACACATTGTATATTTAGATTATCTTTCAAACTTTACAGCACTTTGTCTTCAAAAAGCATTGGCAATGTTAATAGAATCACTCTTACATGACGTTAAAAGTTCTTCTATTTGACCTCACCTAATTCATCTATTTCACTCATTTTGTCTTCTTGCATATTCTAAATTTGCTCCAGAAAATCTACGAATTTATATCTTATCTTCTCAAAGGGAATTTTATTATTGTATACTTCTTCAAAAGCCAATTTTGAAATATGAAGATAGTACCTTATAGGTTAAGGTGGTGAATATTGTTTGATGATGATTTGCAATTCATTCAGGAATTTCCCTAATTAGACTGACAATTGATAATGCTCATTCAATGTTATTTTTTAAATCAATACTTTCAACATTTCTCTTAGTTTTCTATATATTAAATATTCCATTGACTTCAATTTACAAAGACTTATTGTTTAGCTATTTCCAATCTAATCCTCAGCCACAATATAAGCAACCGACCCTTCTCCTTCTAATTCCATTGGTCCTTCTCCTATGAGTTTGGACCATATTGCTAATTGTTTAAGGACAGCTTCATAATTATCAAAGCTTTTGATTGATTAATTTTTTACGAATTGCAATTTAAATTAATTACAAATTTATTTAGTGTGCTCGACTGGTAAACAAATATCAGGGGAATTGTTATTAACAATGGCATAAAAGATGAGTTGAAGGTGTGAGTACTTTGTTATATGCTGATAATCAGGATTACCACAATACTCTCCTATCAGAGTATTTTCAGTAAGAAAGGATTTTAAATCATCGAAATTTTATTCTTTAATAATTTTCAACCACTATTTTCCAATCAATTTAGCCCACGTATGTCTTAAATCATTATATAAATTTAGATCATCCTCTGTTTGAAAAAGAATTGTGCAGTTTTTACTCGCCACCAACCAATATCCATTTGTAAAACTTATTTGGCAGTGTTCACCATTTTCTTTGAATAATTTGTACAAATGAATCTTTTTCCCTTCTTGAATGGCTTGTTTTATGGGATGCAAAATATTGAAACATGCTTTTTCATGATACCTTGACAATTTAACATTTTATTATTCCAATTCATAATCTATGTACTTCCTTTCAAGATCGTAGAACTTTCGCATTCCTCTTCTGCAGATGCGGACAGAATCGTCATGTACTAAAATTGAATTGCCTCTTCTAACATTCATTAGAAAGAAGGGATTTTTGAGGTATAGCTTGTCTTCCATTGGACCCTTCTTATGTAAAGAAATATCATAAAGTTGGAAGCCAAAGATATCCTATTTTACAAGTAAAATCTTTTTATGCTCTTTCATTTTCTATAAGTATTCGACAGGATCAGAAATGTAAATACCTTGTTACATAATTAAATTAATAATTTATGGAGTAATTTTAAAATGCATATAAAGAGTTGGGAAAAATGGTCAAAATGAGTACCTTTTACCAGGCATAGAAGAAAGAATAAAAAAATAATGGAAAGCAATAAAAGATAAGTCAGAAATCAAAGAAAATTAAAGAAGCTCCATTAGCATCCAGAGAAGAGTTGATGCAAAAACTAAAAAACAAGATAGATTCATTGAAAGCTGACAGAACTACAAAGAAAGATTACGTACCCCTTAGAAAACAACGATAATAATAAAAAAAATGATTATATATAATTATTTCTAAAGGAAATTATATATTTATTAAATAATATAGCACTGACAAGTATGTAGTGAATGTGATCCTCACTTCAAAAATCTGAAGGACTAAATTACTTCTAGTAAGTGAGAGATTCGATTTTTGGAGAGAGTTCAAATATGGAAAAAATCAAATTCTTGAGGGACTCTAAAAATCTGTCCTTCTTAAAGAATTAACCAAGTGTCATCGAATTGAAGTCATTATTCAATAAATTATTCATCAAAACATTCACAATAATATGAAAATTATCCCATTCATATAATATAAAATAAATACTTTTTCTAAAGAGGCCTTTTAAAATAAGAATATTTTTAGTTCTATTAGATTTTATACAAACTCCCTTGAATGATGCATCAATTGATTTACTGCATTAACTCAAACTTGATAAATTCTTAAAACACCTTTTCCTCCAATTTGAAAACTCTAGTTGATAAGAAAAAAAGAAAACTTTTTTCTGGGCTAGATATTTTCATTTTACTGTTAAAATAATTATTATAAAATATATTTATAATAATTTATTTAATTGTGATGTTCAGCGTTATTCTTGTATTCAAATTTCAAAAAATTGCTCCATCTGATTTAGATTAATGAGTTTCTTAACACTCATTTATTATTATACAATAAATAAAATTAATAAATGACGCTATAACTTATTGCATATTGAATCACTAGATTTTGAAAATAATATATATTAATGATGAATTATCATAATTCAAAACCCACAATATCTTTATTACTCAAATCAATATTAAATACACAAAAAAAATGTAAAGGAAGCAGTAATACGAAAGTGATTTCAATAATTTTTAAGAAGCCAACAAAGTTTCACTTGATTAAATGTACAATAAACAAGACCTTAATGAAAAACACAAAGAGACATGCCTCAAAAATGCCAAGACTTTTGAATTGTTTGCCACCTGTAAGAATTCTAGATTTATGTAGGTATGGAAAGACATGAGGGCAAAATAGATAATATTGCTAAATACCTCTCAATGAAGATGCTCTTTATTGAAAAATAAGCACTAGAATGCTATAAAGTAAACACAAACGACCGAGAATACGAAAGTTGCCATCAAAGAGTTGAACAGCAGCTTCATGATGTCTACAGTGAATACTACCAAGGTTTACTTCACCTTTGACTTCATATATATTTTTTTATTAATAACCGATTACCCAAATCTTATTTTCCAAAATTTCACTTTATAAAAATTTTTACATTTTTATATAATTATAATAATAATTATAATAATTTTCTCAATAAACGAAAAATATTCTCTAATAATTTACACAATTTAATTAAATTCACTCATACTAGCTAAGCAATTACTAAGAGATTGATTCATTTTTGAATAAAGGAATAAATGCCTTCCATCATTAACTAATGTAAAATATCCTCCAAAGGATGTACTTGATATGGTCACTATAACTATATTAAGTAATTATGAAAAGAAATTCAAAAGTTTCAAGCTTATTAATCTTAAGATGTATCATTGTAAAATTACTCTTTCTCTAAATTATTTCAATATATTCTATAGAAATCACTCTAAATTAATTTTGAATAAATTAGCATTCTTCTAATTTTATTCGTTTTTTTTTTGTTATTTTCCAACTTAATCTTCTCTATCACTCTAATTTAAATAGTCCTTCTTAGCTTAAATTGAACGACTGTGTTTTTTTATATCTAATGAAAATTATAAATTACTTTATATTATGATTTTTCTATTATGATTTTTTGATTTAATATAATATAAAAGTAACATTTTGATTGAATTTTCTATCCAATTGTAAGAATTCATAATGGGAAGTCGCTACTTGTATTATGCAAGAATTCATCTTATAATATAAAGTTATATTTAAAGATATTATATATTCTCAAACTTTAACATCATTTTATAGAATTGATTATTGTGAATATATTCTAAGAATTTTAAGTTTTGAATTTAGAATGCCCTTAAGTAATGATAATTGAAGTTCTAATTGATAGAATAATCAAAATATCTCAACTGATCTTTCACTTTAATCCCATTTAGCTATAGTGATAGATGGTTTGCACTCAACTTTGTTCTAATTGTAACTGGGCTATTCATTATTTGATTTTTGTCTTAGACAACGAGGTACAATCTTGTAATTGAGCTTAGTTTTCTCTTACGGGTAGCGAATGCTCATGAGGCATTTCTCGATATATAAACCTATCGTATCTTTTATTTCAATAGGTTTTTGATGTTTTTTAGACTTTCTCATGACAGGTGTTGCTGATTGAGTTCTTGATGTTTGGCTTCGAGATTCAGTTTATTTAAATTTAAGAGTGGCCAGACTCTTAATTTGAGGGGCTTCCTTAATTTAAACTCGAGCACTAAAAGTTCTAACCTTTTTTGGTAGATAGGTTTCTTCTAAGATTTTTTATTTATTCTCTATGCTTCGCCTTATTTACGTAATTTGGTTGGAGTGCTGTTAAGTGTTTTGAATCGTTTCTCTTTAACAAGACACGGATTATTCAAATGGTTAAAAGTTAAATTGCCTTCCACTCGGAGTCCAAATGTTATGGAAACTATTCCAGAGAGACATTCGATTTGATTTGAAATGTTTACGTGTCTAACTAGGCTTATCCTGAACTTGTAAAGTCAATAATTTAGTAATCTTTAAATCAAATAATTATTACATTTAATGGCATTCTCACATTTGATAAATTGTCTTTTGCTAGCATTTGGACCTTTCTTTGTTGTGTATAAGGCAAGATCACTGTAAGATTGACGTATTAATTCTAGTGCTGAGCAAGGAGCCTACAAGACTGTATTGATTAGCATTTTAGGATGTTTGCTGACATAATTTTGTAAATTGTTTCTGTTGGCCTCTTTGTCGGTGATTACTGAATAATTGATTCATGTAAGGGATGGCACTTAAATTGTAGATTAAATTGCTATTTGATTTGATCGATTGCTATGGAATCATCCTAGTAGCAAAATAAAAGACTAATATCGATGATAAAATAAGCAGAATATTTGCAATTGCAATTGGGTGGGCATTGATGGATTGTGTGATGAAACACCTCTTCACTTTCATTCCAAATGCTACAACTGACGAGTTTACATGGACATTCATTTTGAGAGGAATCACAGCCAACTTAGAGTTTGTACACACATTATTTTAAATTAGTTTGAAACCTTGTTCTTGGTGGGACTACTGCAATCAAAAAACAAAATTAGTTATGCCTTGATCTTGTTAAAGGTTCTTGTGCTCCCCAATTTCCAAGATATCATCACCAGAGGAGGATTGTCTTCAGCATACATGCTTGTGTCTAGATTTGTTATATGAGTATTTTTACAATTTACAAATATATTATAAATGCTCCAAGAATGCAAATCAGAATTGGCCTCATGCAAAGCCAAACTCATCTCCTTGAGTATAAAGGACATGTCTAAACTACTGCCTATGTGTAAGACCAGTACAAGCAAGAACGAGGTTTTCATTTTGAATGACATGATTGAAAAATTTGATTTTGATGAAGAGAAGGAGAGGGTAGTGTGTTAACGTGATTCTTTAAGGACAATACTAAGACCAGTCTCAGATTGTTAAGAAATGATGTACAGAGATACATCAAGGAGTTGAAAGGGTTCACTAACAGTCACGAGTATTATTAAAAAATTGAAAGCATGGCAAACAACATTACCAAAGAGTATTAATTTATATCCATGTATTCATAGAATAACAGAGTACAAAACAAAGATGTCATATTTATTTGATGATTTAGCATAACAAGAGGAGGCATTGAATGATGAATTGAAAATGATTGAGTAGAAAATGGACAATTATGACGTCGTTCAGAAACAACCAGTTATAAAAAGAAAGCCTATGCAAAATAATGAAGAGACTACAAGTGAATTGGGATTGATCAAATAGAAAGTGGATTAGATAGATGAAAAAATAGATTAAATTAAACTCTTAGAACCAGAAGATCATAGAGAATTCTTGAGAGTAAGGACTAAGCATAAAGGTAAAATCACTCAGAACTTTGTCAATGATTGTCTCAAGGCTATCCCATTTATAACAGAGGATCAATTGATGGAGCAAATCGACAATTACAATTTATTACAGTAATTGGAAGATGAAAAGAAGGAACTACTTACAGAATATAAAAGAAAGAAGGAAGAAAACAAGTAAATTCAATTACAACAAGAATAATAATAATAAGAGATTGAAAGGTAGAAATAAGTCAAAAAACCCTTGGTTCCTTAAGAGGAGAGAGACAAATTGAAAGAAGAAATAAAGCAGTGGAAGATTAAGAGGGTTACATAGAAAGCAATAGATGAAATTGAGTATGATACAAGAAAAGATGTTGAGAAATAGAAATCTGAAATGTTAAAGAAGGAGAGAGAAGAAAAGAAATTACAAGTCTAATATTATAGGGAATAGAAAATGATTGAAAGGTAGAGAGAATAGGAGTTGAAATAAGTAGAAACAATGTCTAGAAGATATGTTAGTTAAGAAGCAAAGGAAAGAATAAAAATGAAAGAAAATCAATTACTTGAAAAAAAGAAAAGTATTCTTGAATAAAAATAAAGGAAATAATTTGATCAAGAGATGAAACAGTAAGCAAGAGAGGAAGATAAATATATTAAATTTGCTTATGTTGAATCAAAATTAAATGAGACTACTAAAGCTGCGGAATTGTAGAAGAGACAGAAATTTGATCCCAAGATTGATAATGGGAAATATGCAGATACTTTTGGAGGAAATCTACTAGGAGCTGGCAGAAGAGCCATTCCTGGTTGGAGATAGAATTTAGGTTGAATGATCCTATTTATGATATTGATTTTATGTTATCAATTTAGTTATATTTCTGCAATTGACTTTCTTAATTCTTAACTTAAACCTGAATTGAATATTATGAGTATTTGATTGACTGTTTCCACTTATCCAACTCTAAAAGATTAGATACACTGAATTACCTGCTATCAAAGATGGCTCTGAGATTCTTCTCTTCGTCTGAGCAAGTTTTGACCCAATCATTAAGTTCCTTAGTTTTGATGGCTGCAATTTATTTGTTGGTGTTAACATCATTGGTAACTTCAACAATGTCTTATTGTAAATGCAAGACTTAAGCCTTCAATTCTGCAACAGATGCAGCCAAAGTCTGATTGGCTAAGAGTAAGATCTCTCTATCTATAAGTTATACTAAATACCTTTGTCTAATGAATTCGACTTCTCTTGCATCATCAACCAATAATTCTTATTTTTGGAGTTCATAGATGGAATCAATTAATCCCTGAATTGTAGCAACGAGTCTCTCAACTTATTCTGGAGTTTTTGCTTGAGCTGATGCTTTTAATAACAATTCAACCATGATGCCATAACCTCTGGGTGTTGGATGTGCTTCCTCTAAAAATAATGCATAAGAGGTATACTGAATTTGAGATAGTGTTCATTTGAATTGACTTGCAAGAAGCTAACAGAACCTAATCCAGAAACGATTGATTTGGCTTCTCCCAAAGCTGCCACATAGTTAGTTAATTCATTTCTTCTTTCTTAGTATTCTTGTTTTTGTTATTCTCTTGTAGCCGTAATGAGTGCAAGTTTGTCATTGTTTCTTTGTTCTTCAGAGTCTTTCACTAATGCTTATTCCTATTTATTAATCAATTCCTCATTGAGTAATGGTACTAGGATATGAATGCAAACATACGTTTTCTCTCATCATCAGCTCTCTTGGCATTTGCTCTATCAATAACACTCTAAGCATCATCTTGTCTTGTTTGACATTAAGCTTGTCTGTTTCTCAAATTAGCTTGAATAGCTCCTTTTTCTTATTCAGCTGAATTTAATATTTCATTCAATGAGTCAACTACTGAATCTACTGCTGATCCATTTGATAATTCCATTTGGACTGTTTGCAATATTGTTCTTCCGAAATCTGTTTTCGGTAACTAAGTATTACGTTGTTTGTACTGTATTAAAGAGGTCGATGGCTTCGGTGGCTGATGACAAAGCAATCACAACACAGAGAAATGCAATAATCTTCATTTAATTTATTAATCTGCATAGAAAACGACTTTTTGTATTTTCATCAAAATTTTTATATTATTAAATTGCATTCATTAATTATATCAAGGAGTGCCTTCTTTCACAGCTTATTATTAAATTAACCTTATCGATTTGAATTCCTCCATAAAAGTAGGATTTATTGTACTTGAGTACGATTTGGATTTGGTCGAGTTATGTTGTTCGAATACCTGCTAAAATACCCACTTAAAACTAGCCACCTATTCAATTTGCTAAAAGGAAGTACATCTATAAGGATCAAATTCTTACATTCAATGAAATACAGATTTTAGTCACTGAATCCGACTTCTGTTCAGTGATAAACAATTTTATAGCCATAATCATTATTGTCGCCGATGTAGTGTGGTCTTTTGATTAGAACACTGGAAATGCTATGGATCTCATTTATCGGGCATTTGCCTAACCTTGATTCAATTGATACCATCTTCAGACTATTTTGAATGGTCTCATATATTAATTGCCTCTCCTCATCCTGCTAATCCTAGAAACTCATTTCATTATTTTCTTGAACAACAGCCAATATATAATTTTTTTTGTTCTCTAATCTTTTTAATTAAGTAATTACTTTTGGTTGATCCTACAAAAATGCAATTCCCATTCGCTGGTATAAATGTAGGTTTATCATTCTAAGGAACATTTGAAAATTGCTAATCAGTTGGCCAAACTATGCAATCTACTGACTCATTCTCTATGTTCCCCGCCGTTAAAAGCACATCACATCCATTAAATTTCTATTCGCATAATAATTGAGACATCGTGGACTGCATTCCACTCTTGGTATAACAAAAATTATTTCCCATTATAGTTTTATATATTATTATACTATAATTTATAACAAATTAATTTATATTATCCTACTAATAATAATATGTATTTATATCTTAGTTAAAAGAAACATTCTAAGACAGGATTATTTTGATTATTAAAATGTCTTTGATTCTTTAGTTAAAATTTTATTCAAAAATCTTGATTGAAATATTTTTGATAATTCTAATTTTATTAATCTTCCATAATTTTACTATTACCATTATTAAGGATCTTAATAAAGATGATATTTTAAGTAAAAATAATAGATATTATTAATTTAAGTCTTATTTAATAATTAGTTTCTTATTATTTGCTTTTGAATGAATGTGAGAAGTTGATTGATATTTAAAATATTCTAATTAAATTTAGTGTTTTTTTTAAATGGCACTAAACTAGAACTTGGAATATATGGTTAAATCTCTATTAATGAGAAACATCAAAAATATTACTCCGTTCCATGATTTATATATTAATTGTTAAGGAAAATTAAATCTTGAAATTTGATTTTATAACTCAAAATATGTAAAATAACCAATCCTAAATGAAATTCAAAAAAAAATTAAATTTTTCAGATTGACAATTTTGCTAATAAGATTATCTAATTTATTAAGATTATCTAATTTATTATGGAATATAACGATAATTATATTAATAGATTAAATATGAAAAATAAATTCTTGTTATTTATTTTTCAAAAATAATCTCAAAGGTTTAATCCAATCCCATAATTCTAGAATATAAACATAAAAATTCTTCGAGATTTGTGGTGAAATTGTAAAGGAACAAAAATTGAATTTAATGTAGATAACTACCTGTTAGAGAATGTAAATGCAGAAGATACATCTAATTTATGAAAAGGAGGTAAAAAGACTAATAAAATAAACAATATCTGAAATTTCAATTTATGAACAGTATAGCTTTTCAATTTCAAATAGCATAGAAGAACCCCTTAAGACCAAACTTATAAAATTTGGTTTTACAAATTTGCAAAATTTAACTTCCATTTTCTTCATAAGTATTTATTATTATTTTTAAACTCTTTTTTTGTTTAATCTGTAATTTTATTTTAATTTCTGATTACTTTGATAGTTTTGGTTTTATAGTCATTTGCTTTACAGATATGCTATTTTATATCTAATATTACAATATAGCTGGTTGTAATCAAAATTTACAACTATCAAACAAATTTTTAGATAGTCTCAATAATTTTATGCTCTTATTGAAAATATATAAATTTAATTAATTTTAGAAAAATGTTTGGAAAAGTATATTTTTCATAGCAACACTTATTTTCATTGTTATAAAAACCCATCCTTTTTCAAGTATTTCGACAATCTAAGGTAAATAATTCAAAAATACTCTAAAAAAATCGTAAGATTATTCTTTCAAGGATTATTAGAAAATTGTAGAGAGTATAAAACAGAATTAAATAATATTTATCTTCTACCATTTTATACTCGAAGATGAGTGACTTAAATGGAATGGTGAGTACCTTTACACAAAAATTTCATTTAATATCAATATGAAAAATTTAACATTAATTTATCTAATGGATAAGTTGTAAATAATCATTTTACTATAAGAGAATTGAATTCTGATATTAAATTAGAATTCATCCTACTAGACTCTTGACCTACTCTTAATTACCTTCATCAGTTCTTATTTAATTTCTTAATACAATGAAAAAATTTTATTGATATAACTTTCTTTTTATTAAAAATAATTTTTTTCTAACTATAAAAATTATTATTAAATCCAGCATTAATAAAAAGATAGAATTTGAAATCATTGCCTAAGCTGTTTTATTTGAAGTATGCCACCTTTGGGCAAGGTAGCTTATGATTTGCTCAAAATATCTTTAATTTGACCTATCAAATCATATATTATTCATAATTAGATATTAATTTATGAAAACTCTAAAAAAGGCAGATTTCTTTGGTGTTCCATTTGTACAATAAGATTTATGACTTTTTTATTAAAATTAATATAATAACTATCAAACTATTTGCATTATTTTAAAAGAGACAGAAAATTTATCTTATAGAAACCTTTGTATTTATATTGATTTTTAGATTTAGAGGTTTGGTATACAATTAATTGTCTACACTTTATTAAAGTGAGTATTTAAAAATCTCTATCTATGGGAAGGAAGGTAGATACAATGATAATACATTATTATTTCATTCTCATATTTTATTGTTCCATTAACGTATGTTGCTATTATTTAGTTAATGTTTGATTATCCTTACTCTGATGAGTTTCAAAGATCCTAAAGTATTCAAAACAATTTTTTTAGCCTTCTTTATATCAACATCTGATGTAAAGAATTTGACCTTTTCAAATAACTCTTGCTTTATTTATCAAACAAAATTTTTTATAAGTTTAAAATCAATTCCATTTAAAATTATAAACTCTCTTTGGCCATTATTCCATCAAACTCACAATATACTTCTTTATTCTTTCAAATAAGAGCACTTCTTGCTTTCTTCCTTCATTTCGTCATTCTTATGTACAATGCCTTAAATCATATGGTCAAGACTTTTTTAAACTTTTATAAAATAAATGTCTACTTCTGGTGTATAAAACATAGATTATGGATAAACAAAATACAAAAGTACTTTTGGGGGATTAATAACGATCACAATCTTTTCAGTTAGTTTAGCTTACGTAATCTGGATTGCTTACCTCTGGCAAACTAATTAGATGAGCCCAAAAATTTCACGTTAAAATTACATTTCTGACTATTCTTTGCTAGATTTAAGTTAGGATGTGATAAGACTTTACTTTTGGAGATTTAATGAGGAAAGTATTGATCCATTTGTAAATAATATTTTATTGCCACTCGTAATGTACTCTAATAACAACTCATTGACTGAGCTTCAATTAATAAAAAATCATGTCGTAGAGTCCTATGGAGATCTCTATGTACCAGATATGAAATTTGCTTTTACTTATTATGAAGGTTATATATACACTTAGAATGAAATGTATATATAAATAGTGTTATGTGAAGAGACATATTTACAACCTGGTGAAAAATGCGCATCTCAAGAATTAAAAGAACAATTTTTTGCTTAATTAGGCAATGAGGTTATAATTGAATTTTATTCGACAACAATAGATCCTCGGGATGGAAAAGAATAACGCGGCTACTCAGAATACTTTGTATCAATAGAGGAGTAGTTTTGCAATTCATTAGCAATTTTTTTGAAAACCACATTATTTGAGCTCTAAAATAAGTTATTATTTGGTCCCTCTCAATATAAGGAATATATTGTTGATGCTTAAATACAAACCTCTACGAATTCTGTTGAATATTGCTCAAAAGGATTTAAGGCCTAATCACTTGGAGCAATTTATCTAGCTATGAAAGGGACTTAAGAAAAAATAATATTGGAGTATCCGCGTTTAGGAGATTTATTAGCAAATGTTGGATCAATTGTATCAGTGCTCTTTATTATAAAATACTTCATTATGTTTTTAAATGAATATTACTTAAATAAGAAGGTATTAAAGGAGATCATAAGTTTTTATTATCCAGAATTTAAACGAATATAAATTAAAAAGAATTGGAGGGGAAAAATGGTTGAAGTTAGCTTAAATAAGATAAAAATAGATCCTAAGATTTACAAGAAATTTTATGACAAAGTTTCAGGCTAGATGCAAAAAAAGCTAAGTTATTTGAATTTATTGTATGAGATATCTAGGCTGTATTTCGTTATGAGATCATCCAAATTCAGAAATGAGTTTCTTAAATCCCATTAAATAGGAATAAAGATAAGCTTGTTTCAGTAGAAAGATAGTGAAATGGTTTTAACTCCTAAGTCAGAAAAATCTTTTGAAAATAATTATGTTCTGAACGAGGATGATGCAGAAATATTAAATTTCAACAGAACAAATTTTGATAGAAATTATGAGCTAATTTCAGAAGAGATTTATAATGAAATCGATTATTATTATATGAATAAGATTTCATGAAATATAAATAGTAAAAACATTATTAAATAATAATTCTACTTAATTAATGAAGTCTATCAATCAAATATTCTATTTATAATTCTGAATCTTCTAAAACAATCTAGGATTTATTGTAATGGCAGTGATAAAACTAAAATATATTAGATTTTAAAATTTAAATGATATTATTTATAATTTTTATTTATATAATTATTTTAAAATGTATAATGGAAATAATTTAAAATCTATTCATTTTAGATTAAATATAAAATTAAATACCTTTGCAACGAAGTTTTGATAAATAAATAAAGAATGCGGAACTGATTATATAGACATAAAGATATATTGCCTATAAATGGAAATCTTAAAATAAAATAAAAATTTAAATTTTATATATTATTTCTCAAGCTATTGCCTTTATGAAGTTTCTTTTATTTTTATCAAGCTAATTTGCATTCTGAAAAAGAGTTTATTCAAAGTTCAAGTAAATATGCCTTAGTTGAATTTGAAACATTTGGCAAGTAGCCTAATTTCATATCTTAATGAAAGCAACTAAGGTGCCATACTAAAATATACCTATAAAAGAACTACCAACTATATATTTTCTTAATTTCAATTTTCTAACTAACTCAGCTAGGGCAGTATAAATTCCCTCCACAGTCTTCCTTGTTTTGTTATACTTTGTTTTCTAATTTCTCAATATCCATTCTAATCTTATTATTAAATTGTCCATATATAATCTTAGATATTAATGAATTAGTAAATATTATTGTTACAGTAATATGAACTATTCACCTATTATTAGAATTGATCCATTTATATTTAATTAACAATTTTCATTTTAATAATTTTTGAATGTGAATAATTTTAACAATATATTGTCTTAACTTTGTATGTAATTCTGATTCTTTATATAATAATATTGATATTAAATTTATGAATTTTTAATCTTGAATAGATTAATGATGTGAGTGTATTATATTTACATAAAAGGTGCTCTATTTGATTTTTGATATTGAATTTCTTAGCATATTTAGTTGTCTATTGGATTTTTAAAAAGATAATTATTTTCTTTTAGAGAACAAAACATTTGAACAAATTAGATTCAAAAAGGTAAAATATTTGATATAAATAATTTAATATACTTTTCTAGATGAAATTCATTATGTTTTCCAATCTAATTGGAACACATTTTGAGTCTCTAGAGTATATGAGGTAACAGGATTATGATTTGGAGGCAACAACTGGAATCGACCTTGAATCTCCATATTGATTAACCTCCTCTTACATATACCTGATTGCCAACACTCATTCTATTATAATCTCACTTTTTACATTCTATTATTTTTAGGAATGTACAACAGAAGACCTGAAAGCAAAAATTCACAAATTACAATTTTACTACATAAAGTACCAACTGGGTATGAAGTACTAGAAGTGCAAACAGAATAGCGAAAGTTGATTCCAAAGCCTTAAATATAATCAATTGCACCACTTGTTAAAAGAGAAAACACCACTACTAACATCCCCTAAGAAACAACACAAAGCAAGGTAATAATTGGACTTCAGCCTTTTTAGAAAGATTGGTTTCTTCAAAATTGGGAAGCCATCATCCCAGCTCCTGCTCGTTGGTTTCAGATTGATTCAATCCATGAAATCGAAAAGGATTCCCTGCCAGAATTTTTCCATCAACATTTTCACAATGACATTTCATATTATAAGGGCAACTATAAGACTCCTCTCACTTACATGAAAATAAGGAATAACATCTTATAAAAGTGGATAAGCACCCAAAGTAAATATCTTAAATTTACTGATTGTCTCAATTTCATAAGTGGAGATGCTTCATCTTTATTGAGAGTCTACACTTTCTTAGAACATTGGGGATTAATCAATTTCTAATACAATCCCAACAATCTTCCAAATTAAGGACAAGTGTATCAATAAAATGGCACTTTCTTAGAAAGACTTAAACTCAATTTCCAAAGCAATCAAATCAATTTCCATAGTGAACCTCATTATGAGTAAGCATTTATGTTCATTACATAGATGTCATATATGTGATATGAAAGCTTATCCATTCCACTAATAGAAAAAGGATAATTTAGCATCCTTTCAATTACAACCATTATTGTTGTGCAATAATTGTTTCCTTGATAAAAAATATCCCAAATTTTTGAAAAACGAAGATTTCTGTAAGTATCTTTCTTACTATTCTTAGAATAATTCCAATAAACCTAGAAATATGCACCTTGGACTCAAGAAGAGATTTATCGATTGCTTGAATTGGTTAACAAACACAATTAAAAATGGAATGAAATTGCTAAATACTTTACAAAACGATCTCTGACTGAAATTGTTAAAATGTATCTGTAACTTCCATATTCAAACCTATTTCCATCTTTGGATAAAGAACCTTCCATCCCAAAAAAACCATAAAAAGTAAAATATCTTCAGTAACACCCTTAGGAACACATCACATTCCATAATGATATGAGTAACCCTATTCAATTGGGAGTTGCTTCTTTCAAGTCACAATTGGATAAGCTTAAACTGCCCAATATTGAAGTCATTTAGAGTTAGGAACCAGATAAAATGGATGAAAATTTAAAGCAAATGATCTCTGTGTAAATGGAAAAGATTGAGGAACAATTATTATATCTTGAAACTTATGAGCAATTAGTCAACCAAGAAAAATAATGTGTTTAAACTATCCAAAAAAAGAATTTATAGATGTAAGTTTAAGTCTAGACTAATGATATTGTAAGTGATAATATGATGTTTTTATGAAACCAATCAAATATAATAACTATAATCCATTACACCAAATTTATATTACATAGCCATTCCCAAATCATTTATAATACAATAATAAATGCCAGAATTTAAAATTAATAATAAATCATAATTTCTACACATTCTCATATTTCATATGATAATTGAAATCATCGAAAAGGTTGTTAACCCTCTTTAAGCAAGCTTGCTCTTCCTTGTCTTTTAGACAATTCTCGTATTTTAATTCACAAAATCTAATGAATATTTCAGATTTCATCTATAATTTCTTAAATCTCTTCTCTTTAATTAGCATACAATCAGCAAATGCATCCATATTCTTTGAATGTTGGTAACATAATTCTTCTTTTTGTTTTATGAGTTAATTGGCTAAATTAACGTGATTGTTTATTAATTCTCCTATAATTGGTTATGAATGAAACATTATAATTATTACTATTTAAATCAATTCATAAATAACTTTGTATACTCTAAATTTCTATTCAACAATATATTTTAAAATAGGTGCTCTTAACATTTCTTAGATGATTCTTAATTGTTTTGGGTCCATAGCACTTAATGATAAATGCTAAATCTTCCTTAATAGCGTAATCATTTGCCTATATTGTTGTTGATCACAATAAAGAGGTAGAAAATCTACAGAGACTATATTTCAATGTCTAATAGTAGTTGAATCCATAGATCGATCAGATGATCCACCTCAGAATGGCTGTACTATGTTAAGTGTCAAATACTTATTTAAAAATTCAATTCTAGATTTTGTGATCATAATAAGGACGTTAATTAAATTTTGGCGAATAATTTAAATCAATAGATAATCCATAATATAAAATCAATTTCTCAGTTGTAAGGTCAATTTTATTTGATGAGTCAATTATTATATATAACATTATTATAATACGAATGATAATTAATAATATCGAATTTTATTCAATATTAATGTTATATATTTATCATAATTTGCATTATTAATTACTTTTTAACATAATTTCAATATCTAAAAAGAAAATTATTTTAAAATAGAACATTATGATTATAATCCCCCTCTTCATAGTGATTAGCCATGCCTGTTCTAACTCAGCAAACACAGGATGGAGCAACAATTACTCGAAGATGTTGATTACAACAGCCAATTCCATAACAAATGTGGATCTCAATACAGTCTGTCCTAAAATTGATCCAGCTAAGGTTCCAGGTTTACCACCCTATCAATACCTGAGTTCTAGCAGCTGTCTTGGATATTTGGGACCATTGGGCCCTTATGGACCATTATCTTCCCTGGGACCTCTCTCCAATCCTTTTTGGTACCCCTCCAACTATTTTGGATAAATCTAATTGCCTACTAATATATAGTAGATAATCCAATGGAGCCAAATTTAGTATGGAGCTCCCATGTCAAAAGACGGTCCATTGGGTTATAAAGGTCCTTTGGCCACAACTCAATATTATGGATAATAAGATCCAGGGAAAACCTTATTTGAATCCAATGACTTTGCTGTACAATTAAGAGCCTTTGGTTTATGGTCAGCACTTGGCCCAATTGGACCATTAGGGCCTCTAGGACCCTTGGGACCCTTAGGACCAATAGGAGATCATGGATACAGTGTAGATCTTAATGGAAACTATCTTAATGGTACTAAAATAGTGAAGACGGTTACCATAGATTATGATGGTAGCAGTACTAGAACATATCCTTTGTACGAGTTTTATTAAAGCAGTTATGCTAAGACTATTCAATTGGATACATCATTTTTAGTAGAGAGTGATGTTTGTTAAGGGGATGATGCCTATCAAATTGGTGGTCTTCCGTTTAATTAAATAGTCACATTTGTGTTGACTCCTCTTTTGGCTTTGGATTCGTATTCTTTGATTTTACAGGATCAATTTGGTAAGGTGCTAGCCTAATCAAATGCTGATAATTACATTCAAACAATTTAAGTGAATGTTAAGATGAATACTAAACTAAGTGTGATAGTTCATCCAATTTTCCTGTCTACAACAATTGGATCTTACAGACTATTCGTCACAGGGTCAACATAATACATTACTTAGTACAATATATCTGGAAATCAAATTTAATCCAATTGATTTTATTAAATGTTATATAATTCATTAGTCCTCAAACTATTTTTTATGCATGGCATCTCTAATTAAATTCTTCTCATTGTAGTGTTATTTTCTTTTCTTGACAAAATCTTCATGTTTTTTTCTTTTTTCCTCTTCTTCTGCAGAATCATCATCATCCATGTTTTTTCTTTCCCTCTCCAAATCCTCCTTCAATCTCTTATTCAATTCTTCGATATCCAATTTCTTTTGATGTTGCTACATTTAAGGGACCCTACTTTACTTGTTGCAATTTTTGTTTATTCAATTAAGCCTATACCAAATCTTGCTCGATTTCATCTTCTACTTCAATTTTATCTTCCTGCTGATTTTATTGTATAATATCATCTTCATAAGGTGTTTTAGGTTCATCAATTTTCGTCTTGTTTCCTCTCTCCAAGTCTTGTTATCTAATAAATTTGGAATATTCCTTACTGTATTGTATGCTCATCCCAATGCAATTCTTTCTTCCTACAATAAAATTCATTTCAATACATATCTATATCTTGTTGTGATTACTTCTTCAAAATCCCCTTTGATGATGATTTCATTTTCAAGATATTAATATAAATTAAGAAAATTATTTGATTCAAACTTTTCAGAATTATACAATGAGTAAAAACCATTTATACATAAATTAATAAAATAAGTGAATTTAATAAAGATTAAAGATTATTTTTATTTTATAAAAAGCCAATAAATTTTTATGATAATTTTATTAATAATTTAAAACAATATGGAAGTCACTAGTATATTCTCTGGGCTCATCTTGTAAACTATTTGATAATGGAATCGTTCTTTCCAATTAATTTATTTTTCTCATATATTTTTATTTGTTGCAGTATGGGTCCAATATAGTTATGCTTTAGCTGTTTCTTGGGAGAGAATTACGCCTTCTTGATGAAGTTTCCTTGCAAGTAATGCTGTTTCTAAGACAATACATAGCCATTGTCTATGACCACTGAGTTCTTAACGTAGCATTGAAAAATACGACGCTTTTTGGGAGGAAGTGATTGGTGTAATTTAGAGTTATTCTGCGTGGGTGCTGTGTTTACGCAGTAGAGGGATTCGCTCAAGAACTTGAGCTAATTAGTGGGGGTGTTGGATGTGGAGTATTCTTCCCATCCCTATAAATGTGAGTGTTTTTTGTTCATAATTCTTTTAATTAAATAATGCAACCGGTCTAACCTATTGCAGAGGGATAGCGAACAAAAATCATATATACGCTGATCAAGGATCAAAAGTACAGGGAGGCTATAAATTATTTGAACTACGAGTTGCAATTTTGTCCGAAGAGCAGGGCACTCTCTTTACTTGCATATTGTCACTATATGAATTAGGATTTCACTTCTGCGGTTGGGATGTATGAGATAGTTTAAATAACATAGTTATGAGTAATTAGTGAAATATTATCCTGAGATCGACGATTACAAGATTTATCTGGCACAGTCGTATTACAAAGATAGTAAGAAAGCAATTTGAAAAATAGGTCTTTACGATGAGGCGTTGAAAGTGTGTGCTTCGATTGAGAATCCACAATATTAGGGCAAGATGGTGTAATTGCAAGCTCTGATTCGATACGAGAAGAGCGAATTTCAACATGCGAAGACATTGTTAAAATAAAATAACATGGACGATCCAGACTCAGTCATCAATGAAGGGTGCATTTTATTCAAGGAGAATAAGTTCGATGAGGCAAGACAACGATTTCAGGATGGAATGAATCTGACTGGGTACTCTTGTGAATTGGCCTACAACATAGCTCTGTGTTATTACAAATAAAAACAACTGGCTCAGTCTCTCAAATACATCGCCGAAATCATCGAGAGGGGAGTGAGAGAAAGACCAGATCTGGGAGTAGGCTCAAATGCAGAAGGAATCGAAGTCAAGAGTGTTGGTAATTCCTAAGCATTGAAGGAGTCTGCTTTGATTGAAGCCTTCAATTTAAAGGCAGCCATCGAATACTCTATCAAAAATTATGATGCTGCAAAAGAAGCCTTGGTTGACATGCCTCCAAGAGAAGAGGATGAACTGGATCCTGTTACTTTGATGAATCAAGCCTTGATGAACATTGAGGATAAGACAGCCGAAGGGTTTAAAAAGTTGAATCACTTATTACAAAATCCGCCATTCCCTCCTGAGACATTTCCAAATTTATTACTGTTGTATTGCAAATATGGCTATTTTGATATGGCAGCAGACATTCTAGCTGAAAATGCAGATCTCACATTCAAGACAATTAGTTCAGATGACTTTGAATTTGTGGATGCCTTGATTCTGAGTGCAGCCAGTCCAGAAGAATCCTTTAAAAAGTTCTAAGTCTTGGCAAACAAACACATTGACACTCTGAGAAGAATAACCAAGTCAATCCAAGATGCAAGATTGAATAGAGACAATGAGGGAATTAAGAAATCTCTTAAGGAATTCGATGATTGTTTGGAGAAGTTCATCCCTGTATTGATGGCACAAGCTAAAATATATTGGGATAAGGAGAATTATTCATAAGTGGAAAAACTATTCAGACAATCAGCAGAATTTTGTGCTGATCATGATGTATGGAAATTAAATGTGGCTCATGTGTTTTATGTGCAAGACAACAAATATCGAGAAGCCATTCGTTATTATGAACCTATTGTTAAGAAGAATAGTGACAATCTATTGTCATTGACTGCAATTGTGGTTGCAAATTTGTGTGTTAGTTACATTATGGTCAATCAAAATGAAGATGCTGAAGAGTTGATGCGTAAATTGGAAAAGGAAGAAGAGAAATCACAGTATCAAGATCCTGAGAAATCAGTTTATCATCTATGCATAGTCAATTTAGTTATAGGAACACTTTATTGTTCAAAAAATAATTACGAATTTGGCATCTCCAGAATTATCAAATCACTTGAGCCATATAACAAAAAAGTAAATAAATATAATCTATTATATATAGATTAACACAGACACATGGTATTATGCCAAGAGATGTTTCCTTGCTTTGATTGAAGTCTTGGCAAAACACATGATTATTCTAAAAGATACTTCATATAGTGAGATCCTGGATTTCCTAGATGCTTCTGATTAATGTGGCAAAGCTATTCCTTCTGTATTTATTTATCGTCTATTCATTAGGTAATTAACCCATTAGAACAACTTGATGAGAAAAATACAGTTTCCTATGAAGCCAGAATGATTAAGAGGATGTTTCTAAAATTAAGAACATGAAGTTATATATATATATAATATGTTTCCAATATATCAAAAATAAGAATGGACTCAGGGTATTTCTTATTGATGATAGTTATGAGAATGCATTAGATATAAACTTAAATCAATAAAGGATATTTAAGAAATCTCATCATGATTATCCAACGTCTATGTACTGAATTACACAAACAGAATTTCTAAAAGAACCATAATTAAGAGGAAATGATATATATTTAAAATGAGATTTATAATTTTAGAGTTAAATTATGAAATATTACCGAAATTTAATAGGATGATTAATTATGTCCTTTCTTAAAATTTGAGAATTACATTTATAAATATAAAGTAAATTATAAAGCAGTACTTGCGATAGTTGATGAGGAGAAGGAAAATGGGATAAAATTAGACTCATATATATTTATTTTAATTTTGATTAAGTACTCTTAGTAATAAATAAATTATTTTGGAAGGTCTAATTTTACTTTTTTAAGTATTTATTATAGTATTTTAAAATGCAGAGAATGATACAATACAAAATGACATTAATTTACACTAAAATATATGAGTTTGGTACTATATATATCTTAAAAATTAATATTAAATTATTTTATATAAAGTTTAAACACAGATGTAGGTATTATGCTAATACGCTCTACCTCAATTCTACGCTGTATCAAACATTGTTTCTTCTGTTTATCTAATGACTAAAATCTCAAGGTACAATTACTTATATAGCATAGTTTAAATTCTGACTGGCCTAACTTAGTTATGGGAATCTTGCAATTTCTCTTGAGTCTAACACTTCTGACTATGATTGCTGTCAAAAACAGATTAAAAATACGAAAACCCCATGTTCTAGCTGTAGCATGCTGTTTTTCTGCTTTGTCAATTATTTTGGCCATACAAAAGTTTGATCACTATTATCTGCTGTTGATTATCCTGCAGCAATTGGTCTGTTGTTTGCTAATATCCTTATTGGTTTTGAGCAAGAACAGAATCGGACTAGGTGTGGTATCACAATTATATTTGATTGGAATTTTCATTGACGCCTTTTCGATAGACATTTGGTATCAATTGTCACTATGGTAATAGGGTTTTCGAGGACTAATTCAGTTAGAGTAGAGCAATTGCTATTTTTGGATCTGGTGGATTTGGATTACTAACCCTATTTCTGATTCTGTTATGTCATTTTAACCGCAAGGGGAAACTCTAGAATGAATTGCACATCATAATAGGATTTTATATTTTTTGCGAATTGTTCACTTGTTGCAGTATAACGGCTGAACTGGTCAATGTAAGATTGAATACTATATTTAGGGGGTTTAGAGCATGTACTTGGTGGATTTGTTGCTCTTAAAGATCTCGAATGTGTTTTTGGATATGCTGATATACCCATTTGTGAAATTTCGCGAAGTTAAATTGGAGAACAAAATGGAACACTTCGAGAATTGCAATGAGAGACAGGTCGAAAGTGGTGGGATTCAGACGAAGGAAAGTGAGTGTGAATTGGATAGTGCTCTGAAGATTAGGGGGGCTAGGCAAACTGTGGTTAGGAAGGAGGAGGAACCGGTTACAAACAGGTGGATCCGATGTCTCTTGGAAATTAATTGATTAATTAAAATCTCATCTATATTATGTTACGATTTGTTTGGGAGAGTGTGTTGATGTCTGGATTGGAATAATTTCGTGTTTTATAGGGAGGAAAAGAAAGGCGCAAAAAATTAAAAGAATTTTTAAATCTTGATAAATAAATCCAGAGCAAAGTAGCGTGTTTTTGTTTATTGATTTAGTGTTTAAGTTACCAGGCTATTAGGATCAAAATAGACAACCCCAAAATGGACTTCATATTGCAGATTTGGAGGACGGAATCACGGAGGAACAATTGTATGTGGAGTTTCGAAAGTTTGGATAGATCAGCTTTGTTAAATTGCACAGGTATGTGATGCAGCTATGTTTAGATTCCCATTCATCGGTAAGTCCAAGCATTATGCCTTCATCTATTTCTCCTCTTAGGAAGAGGCAAGGAAGGCGAAGGAAGCCATGAATTACAAATAGCTTCTGAGAGAGCCCATGCGTATCACCTACATTCAGGATTATGATAAAGATGCAAACTTATTCTTCGCAGGATTCGAGTTGACAGTAACACTCAAGTAGCTGGAGGAATTCTTCATCAAATGGGGACAAGTAGTCAGTGTCAAATTATCAGTGGATGAGAACAAGAAGAGTAGAGGTACTTGAATGGTGCTAATTCAAATAGGTTATGGGTGGGTGCAATATGAAAAGAAGGAGTAAGCCAATGAGTTGTTGGCTGAGAGTCAACAAAATGAAGGAAAGGTGCAATACAATGAGAAGACATCAATAATAGTGAAGAGATTTGTAAAGAAAGGCACAACTGAACGTGAGGACAAGAGAAGTAACTTATACATCAAGAACTTCTGGACTTCATTGGATGGTTTAGATTTGGAAAACCCTCAAGTACGAGAATAGTTGGTATTTATACTCGATTTATATGTGATCAGGAAGCTGAAATGCGTACCAAATTGAATGAATGGTTCATCACTTATGGTCCAATAATTAGTGTCTTGGTCAAAATAGATATCGAACGTAAGGCTCCCTTTGCCTTTGTGAGTTTCAGTAGACATTAAGATGCCAAAGAAGCCTAAAAAACATTAGGTACTACCTTAGGAACCAACGCATAGAAGGATCCATTGAATACTGGTAGAAAGATGTATGTTGGATGGGCACAAACAAAAACGGATAGAAAATAACTCAGAGATAATAATGTCTATTCAAAATATATTTATGCTGATCACTTGAACAGAAATGTTACAGAGGAAATGATTAGACAAACCTTAAAAGAGGCTGGATATGGCGATATCTCAATGGTATTTAGTGAATCCTATTGTATAATAGATTAGATTGGAAAAGATGCAACAAGGATTCTAATAGATCATCAGAATTGGATACATTGTATTTGATCAAGCATCAGATGCAAACAAGTTGATCAAATCATTCAAAGAGAACGAGAAGTTCGATGAAATCAAAAAACTCTTCGACCAAAATGTAGAATAAGCTGGTGGCAAATACTTCCAACATCTCTTCCCTCAACAATCCCAATAGAGAGGACAGAGAAGAACTAATCAAAGACAGTCTCCAACTAGAAGAATGTATCAAATGCCTCCAGGCCCAGCTTAATTTGCTGCCAGAATGCCATTCCCATTCCCTATGCAATAATAGAGAGTCCCAGGCGGTGGCATGAGAAGACCCTACTAATAACAATTCCCAAATCCCATTAGACAAACTCCCTTACCTCCTCCTGTACAATAGATTGCTGATTTGGCTCCAGTCCAAGCTGTTGCCTTCGACAAGAGATAAGATTTAGTCGATTTATTGGCTAACATAGAAGCTTTCAAGGCCAAGTCTGAGGAAGACCAAGTCAAATAACTCTAGTAATTTCTTGTAATTTAATATATCTAGAATTATGTTGTATTATAGAATCAAAACCAAACTAAGCTAAGACATAGAACCTCATTGGAAGAAAGTGAGTGAAGTGCTTTCAGATCCTTCCAATTACACAGTAGATGAAATCCTCGATATGATTAAGAATGAAGATCAATTTAATGAATTAGTAGATGATGCTGTTGCTCAATTAAAAGAAGAAGCACATTGGTGATAAATTTAATGTTTGTTCAAATATAAATATATTTCAACCAAATCTATTTTTGTGGCGATCTCAATTTTACTAAACACTCTACATTATAGAGAGAATGATCAAATGCAGTTCTCAGATCTCCTTTATGAAAATGACAAATTCAATTGATTTAAGGAATAATAATATTAGTGTATCACTAATTTATACGTATGTTTATAAATGTAACAAAATCAATTGGCACTTAATATAATATTGTTTATTGGAATGAAAACCAACTTAATAAAGTATCCGACTGCTCCCATAACTGCAAAGCCAATAGCACATGATGTTGCGATTTTAATGTACTCTATTTGGTTATCGTGCATTCATTTACCTCTTTTATCTGGTTTGGTGCATTTTCTCATAAATCTATAACTCTCCTAGCCAAAACTTTGGACATCCTACAATATTCCATTGATTCCATTCAAGGTTTCTTGACTCATTTTAAATTTATTATTGAATTCTCACTCAATCATTTCTCAATTTTATAATCACACTATACGTGTTGAATTAATTTATATAATTATTATGCAATTATATAATCATTTTGGAAATATGCCATTGTCAATCATATTCCTATTAACGAACTTCTGCTCTCTATATTGGGTTTGGACTGGCTCAATCGGATTCTTGTAAAACTAACCTAAAAGAACCATCAACTCACATATCATACCATATCCCTTGTATTGAGTATCATCCATCTCCTTTCTTTTATTTAAGACCCTGCTATTTTGCCTATTGTTGTTAATGTTCTCAGTCTCCTGCATATCTGTGTTAAAGATATTTGAAGTTTTGTTCTTCATCGAAGTCACCTTGTGTTATTGTACTAAGGGAGATAAGCATTTCGATACATTAACTAAATTAACTGAGGGCATCATCCTACTACTGCTATTATTGCTATTGCTCATAAGCCCGTTGATTAGCATAAGCATTCTCGTAAGCGATGCCTGTGATAGGATTATATTAGGCCATTGGCGGTTTACCAGTGTTCTACTATTTGCTACCACTATTTCCTTGTTTATACTAGAAATGTTTATATTATAAATAAGATACTTTGGAATAGAGTTCCTCATCATCATTTGGTTGTTGATAATGATCGTATTTGTTGGATTATTTTAGCAATTGGGGTTGTTCGTAATTGTTATTTGAATATGGTATTCCATTGTTGTAATTATCCAAAGCATCCTGGTAATACTAGTCGGGTTGCTTGTACAATGCAGCCAACTCTTGTTTTTTGTTCATTTCTTGAATGTATAACTACTTCATGTAATCCTCGTCTTGATTTTACTGATTATGTAATAGAATACTTCGGCAACTGGCATGAATGTTTGAGCTTGATATGAGGGGATGTACGAGTTTCTTTGGTCTTGACCGACCTTTCCTGCAATTTTGGAGTCGCCCTTCCTGGTTTGATCAATGTCCCATCCAATTTTGAATCCTTGTCTGTTGTTTGAGTTGTCTGTGAGGATATTAATATGCAGATACCATTGTATGTTCTGATCGAGTTTCTTTTATCTCCATCGTAAAGTACTTGATTTTTGGGTGCTCCTCTCGACTAATAAAGACTTATATATTTTTAAAACCATTGCAATATCTTCTGAGTTTTGAAATTTAATTAATTAACCATCTTTGATGTTCACATTAAAAATTCAAATATGTATGTCGTTAATTATAAATAATAAATAGATTCAAATATCCCAAGATCATCAATCACTTTATTTATTAATTTATAGTTTTTAATTCAATATTAATTTTAGCAGTGGATTAGATTTCTGACAATCGGTTCCTCAAATTGACATCATCAGCCCAATCAGTATCGTTCCTAAGTTTAGTGAAGAACCCCTTACTTTAAGAAGTTGACGTGCAGCTCCTTCAACTCAGGCCAAGACCTGATTGAGGACAGCATCACCGTCACCGAATTCCCAGAGCCCTGGACACTTTCTAGACTCAAGAACAATCTCTGTAAATCCTTCAACTTACACAGACCCTTAAACAAAGTGTGTACCCCTTCATCTCCTAAAGGATTGCTAATTGTTTATCAAACAATTACTGATCAAGAATCAAGTTCACAATCTCCAATTGAGTGGCCTAACCGAAACCGTTGTACAACAATTCCATCCCATCCAACCCTATCTGATTCGACCTGAAATTCAAGTTGATGTTCCTGAGTTTCCTTTGAGTTGTCAAAAAACGATTGACATATCTCAATCCGAAAGAAGTGCAAGATACACTAGCTTTTCATAAGATACGTTACTTCTCAATCCAGAACTTTAACTCTCGCAACTGTTGCGGCATCTCATGAAAAGCCTTAGCCAAAAACCTTACTCCATCATCCTCTATTCGATTTTTGGATAAATCAATTACTAAAGTACTCAACTTCTGCAGTTTCGATAACACAAATCCCAGCGATTCGCATCCCTTCTTAGTAATTTGATTGCTCCACAGAGTCAAATTCAAGTGCTTCAACTTATCGCACTTTGACAAACCCTTAGCGAATTCCTCAACTCCCAAATCCTTGATTTACGAACCCCAAAGAACCAACTCACAATTCTCCAATTCCGATATGCTTTCTCCAAGATCATAGAAGCCCTCGTTGTGCATTGGATTACTTGCATACGTAGAGATTCACAATACATACTTCGAAAAATTGATGGTCAACTGAGTCAGGAGTGGCAATCTTTTCAAAGATTGATTCAACAATTTGGAAAGCACTTAATTCATGTAATTGCTTTCCAGGTTGAGATCCACCTTCTTTAGTTTGGGCATGGCAGAAATCACGGTAAAGAATGCCTCGCAACACTCCATTGGTAAATGATTACTAGATTAAATTAGAAGTTATACATTCCGAAATCCAATCTCAATTCCTCCATCTGCACCAAGCCTTCCAAAAGCGGTAATGCATTGTTGATCCCTTCATCCGACAGCAGATTGTTCGATATTTCCAAGGTCAACCGTTTCAAATCGCTCATTCTCATTATTGCCTTGGTTAAGAACAACAACCCCAAATTCCCCAATTTATTGCTATTGCATATAGAGTTTAAACGGTACTTCCATAATTGTAATTTTAACTCCTTCAATTTTTGAGCCCTGCTCAGTATCTTTTCGATGGGGGCAATGGTTCTCACATTCAAACAACTCATCTCCAATTTTATTTGTAATGTAATCATTTAAAAATTTTTGACTTGCTGAGCAATGGTCTCCAAGAATTTAAGCAATTCATCTTGCGACTTGTTTTGCATCCCATTGAGATCCAATTGCACATCCTCCTTATTCTTAATGTCCAATTGGAAATCCTCCAGATTATTGATGGATTGCAGATGTTTGTGGTTGATTTTGGCAGGCTATTTTAAATGATAATCGGTTACAGATTTCACTTCCAAATAGGATCTCTCCTCAATAATTTGACTTAGTTACGAGAAGTCGAATCGCTGATCAGGAGAGATCTCCAACATCAACTTCAAAATTTTGGAAACTCCTTTGATTCGAGGATAGAGTTCTTTGACTTTCTTGCGCTGTTCCTTCAAGTAAGTCTACAGTTTTGTGTCATCATCAAACAGTTCTTCTTTTTGCTAATACGAAAGTTATTGGGCATACATGTTTAGTAATGTTCTGAGTGGTAGCAAACAACAGGAAAACCAATCCGAGAGAGAAAACGTCACTTTTGTATGGGTTGTATTTGGCCTGAGGCTTTCTCTTCTTAAAGGCTCTGTAGACCTCTGGGGATTGGTAGGTGACTGTGCCGCCGATGGTTCTGGATCTGGTCTCCTCATCGATGATTTCAGTGCCGAAACCAACCTACGTAGAAAGGGAAGTGTCTTACATCGCAAACCTTAAACAGCAGATTCTCGTCATTGATGAGTATGATGTTCTCAGGCTTGATATCTCGGTGGGCTATTTTAATTTCTTGCAGATGCGAATGAGCTCGGATCATTGTCACAAAGAAATCCGCCACTTCGTACTCCTGAAATCTGAACTCCGGATCCGATTGCTTTTTGGATTAGATGTATTGCTATAAGTTGGTGATGCCCAATTCCATGACAATACAGCCGAAGGTGATGGACTGCATTTAAGAGATAAATCAGTACTTTATCCTGCGTAGTCACCTTCTCATAATAGAAGCTTTCCTCGAAGGATACTATATTTGGATGCGGATTAGCTTTTATTTTTTGCAGGATCTAAATCTCTTATTAAAACTTCTCTCTCAATAACGCGTCAATCAGCACTTGTTTAATACAACATTTTTGTTTGGTCAATAGATTCTCAGCCAAATAAACCTCATTCCAAGTCTTGGCAATAATGCTTATATATCGATATTCTGGGTTTATATTACCAGTCATCATATTTTTTTAATTATTAAAATATTATAATTTGCAACATTGTTCATTAATGTTTTCCTGGTCAAATCTGACCTGCATCCCCTCTCATATTCAATGATTCTATCACAATCCCTCCTCAAAAAAAATGCCACCAAATCCTGCTATTTCCATTCTCACATCATTTCCAAACCCACTTTCTCTCTATTAAACCGAAGAATTTCTAATTTCAGATATATTTAAACATACCACTGCAGTATCCAAATCTGGTTTATCAAATTTTCTTGAATCAATTAGTGTAACCTGATATTTTGTAGCAACTTATATATGCGGTTTCAGTTTTAAAAAACTCTAAATTATATTTAAACATTTAGACTTGCCTACTTAAATATTTGAAACAATCAGGGCCATTCAAATAGAGACCATTGAATTCATTTGTTAAAATAATATATTGTCTACTATATTCTGATTCTTGATATATTTCAAGTAAATTAAAGAATCTCTAATCACTTTTTAATTAACTAAAAACAATGTATAATCTCTCTTAGAAAAGTTTTTTCTTACATTTTTAGCTATTCAAATTGTTTTAATTAAAAAGTATATACTTTTAATAAACTATAGAGTTAAATTGTAATTTAAACAACAATAGAGTTAGAGATATAAAGATAATGTTTTGAAGTTCTTAATTTTATATGTATATTAATTGATAGAATTCAGAATTCATAAAAAATAATCTGGATTCTGATTCCAAATCTTGGTTTAGGCATTTTTCATCTGATTTTCACTTGCTTAGAATATTTTAGCCCTCATTTCCAATTTATCACTGACTTCGCAAACTGCTCCTGAATTACCACACCTATAACAGTAATTCGGAGCAGAGAAGATTGTCTTTAATTAATCTTTGTATATACTACGATACCCTTCCATGATCACTTAATGTGCTCTAAGAACACAACTCAAGTTGTTGGTTTACAAGAATTAAGCAAAGACATCCTACCCGAATTCCTTACCCACTCCTCTCTTGCTTTCACCAAACCCCTTTAACTCCTATTCATTTGGATCATTCCAAAGTAATTCACACATCTCACCATTATCAGGGATCTCTGACAATCTGTTTAGTGCTCTTACCTATAATATTTTAAAGCAACAAGGTCATACATCATCTAATAATTTAGCATCCTAGGCTATGCCCCCATGCACACACCACACTTTCTCATCAATCAATGCTGATAATGGCATGTAATCAAAGGATTCAGTTAAATATCGCCAAATGTTCAAGGAACCGTATTTCCTCATAGCCTCATCGTACAATCCAAATGTTTGAGTAAGAATTCGAGATTCGTGATTACCTCTTAGCAGTGTAATTTTGTCTGGATTCTTGATTTTCAATGCATACAGCAAACAAATCGATTCTATGCTGTGGAATCCTCTGTTAACGTAATCCCCCAAGAACAGATAGTTTTGATCTCCCACTTCTCCTGATTATTTGAAAATCTCAAAGAGATCATACAATTATCCATGAATATCTCCTACCACAATAACTGGAGGATCAATTCTTTGGACATTTCCTTCCTCGATGAAGATTTCCCTGATCTTGGCACACAATTGCTTTACGTCCTTCTCCTTCAATAGCTCCCCGTTCTTTAATTTCTCAATCGACTTGTCCAAATCGGTTTGCATTATTTTTATATATATTTATTTATATATATGAAATTCTGTAAATAGACAATTCAATTAGTTGGTTTGTCTTCGATGGCTTTTTATTGACTTGATTCCCACGTTAATCTTCTAATTAAAAGTCTTCCCTACAGAGTTGCATTAAACAGATGCATGCAGAACAGAATGTAGCTTTGAGGAGATATTCTTAATGCCCATCTCATGAACAACGATGAATAGCCTAATTGTTGAGACATGTCTTACAAACTAGCACACATTGCATCTCCTTGCTGATTTTTGCAGGATCTCTATTCCAATCGTATAATGCTTGAATTGGGAAAAACCAATTGCAAACTGGAGCCCAAAAGTGTGTAGTTTTAGGGCCTGTCGAAGAGTGTACCCAAGTCCAAAACATTCCTGATACCTTGCTAGCCATTCGATTAATATTATTATTATTATTAAATTCAAATCCAACCTCCTTATTAACCATCATAATATCTATATTAGACAAATTTCATAAGATCTTAGACGCACTATTGGATCGAAAGGTCTTAAGAAGCATTACCTAATTGTTATAGTGCAATTGGTATCCTTCAGAAGATGTGTGTATCTTCTTATAGAAATGTATTTATAATAATTAACAAATAAATTATTATAAATATAAGATACTAACTTATATTATAATATAACACATTTTATAATAAATAAATTATTGTTACCATTCCTTTTTTGTCATCTAATTTAATTATTTGCAATTGCAATTGAATCCAATTCTTTTGATTCCTCAGTTATGGATGAGGTGCGAATTTCACAACCAAATTTGTGAGTCTCTCTCTCTGAAATCCCCATGCACTCAGAAATCAATCGATTCAAATATGTTGGTATTCATCTATTCAGCAACATAGCAAATCTGCAAACCAATTGAGTATTTTGCTTCAAAGGAGGAGTTCTACATAATTTTTCCCTTTTATGGGTTCAGAAATTTAATAATTTAAATTATAATTCAATGAATTAAGGAGAGCATCTAAACAAGTATGAGGATGATCAAAAATTCACAGACGGGGATCAAACATTCATTAATGAATAGACTGACGATGATAAGCGATTCTCAAATACTGTGGTGGATAACAAGGAACAGAGTGGATTGGAAGCCTTGTTAGTAAGTTTGAATATAAATGGAAATAGGAATTGGATAATAGAAACAAATAGGAGTTTTTGGGTTCGGAAGAGAAGGGCGTGTTCCAGGAGTTCATCGTTATATGTTAGATCAGGAAAGACAAATATATAAGCGAGCAAGATCCACATCTTTAATTTTTGATGGAGAAAGCAGTGTACAAAGGTGTGCAAAAGATTCTGAAAGCTCAGAAGATTCAAGACAAGGAACAATGGCAAGTATTAATGAATTACGATATTAGAAAGAGCAATAACGATTGATGAGGCTATTCTACTCGGATATGAATATTGGTTTCATTACGTCTACAGGGCAACTGAAATCCACAGTATTCATCTATGTCCATCAAACTATAGCAAATTACTTGGATAATCGCCAAATCAATTTGAATTTTAATAAGGAAGATCTAAAAATCATTGCCAATTATTTCTCAATTGATGAACGCAATAAATCCAGCAAATCAAGTCCTGAATTCACATCACCTATTTTGACTAAAGAGAAATCAGAAAAAGAGTAATTTAAACAAAATAGTGCAGGTTCAAAGACTCTATCTCAAAATGAGGGAGAAGTGGAAAATCAATTGAAGAGAAGTCTGCCTCTCTGTCATCAAAGCAATTGGCTCAAATAAGAATTCATCAAGAAGGATTACTTCAAAAAACAATTCCTCATCCTTCAAAAAACAAATGAAAATGAACTCAAATCTGGAGTTCAAATCTTCTTTGTTTATAGAATAAAAGATGATCAAATTTATGCAGTCAAAAAAGTATAATCATCCATCTCTATGTAGTCCCAATTAGCCTCAAATGTCATTTCCTTCTTCGACGTATTCTCCACAGTCAACCTATCAGAAATCACAAACGACCAAAGAAAAATAAGAGAAGCCAAAATATTGTCCAAACTCAACCACCCCAATGTTCTGACTCTCTACGACTGGTGGATCGAAGAAGAAGAATCTGGCTACTCCCTCTACTTGATGTCTGAATACTGCTCCTATCCAGGACTTAAACACCAAACCAACGACCTACTCAACTACGCGTATTATTATTTGAATCCAATGAACTGCAAAGAAAAGATCGAGCAAATCAAAACAATCATGCTCCAAATCATGGATGGATTAGAATACATACACAAACGAGGCATCGTGCATAGAGATCTGAAGCCAGAGAATATCTTTGTCACCTACGGAATCGATTGTCAACTCCAAGTCATGTTGGCTGATTTCGATTAAGGAAAAGATGTTAGGGAATCCAAACTCTCCATTATCACAGATGAGAAACTCAATGACCAAGATCTCAACTCCATCAAATCAAGGAACACGATCAACTCTGGCACCAGTGGCTATGCTACTGCCAATTCTTAGATCAACAAGGAGTATGACAAAATGGATGAGTTCTACGCTTTGGGTGTCACTCTACTTCATCTGATATTGGCCTTCCCTGGAGAACCTAAAAATCGCAATCTTTACACAAATACATTTGCCATCAGTGATATTTCAGACGTCCTCCTCCTATTCGACAGTTGGGCTGTTAAACTAGTTCAAAACAGACATCCAGAATTCAACTTCTAATAATATTTCCATCTTATGGAACTTGCAAAGGCACTCCTTGATAAAAAAGTCAAGGAACACGATCACATAAGAAAAATCATACAAAGCTGGTGAATTGTTGTGTATTATAATTCATCTTTAGATTTTTATTAGTATGTTTATATATAAATCTAAATTATTATAATCATTCTTCTATTATATATATATAATAACTTAAAAGACTTCATAGCATTAGTAGTATGTTCTATGATAAATCTTAGACTTATTATAAAAATTATTTTTATTTAATAAATTAAATCTTTAAAAAACATTTACTTTTATCCATTTGTATTTTAGCTATTGTAATGATATTTCTAAAAATGCATCTAAATTGTCATTTCTATATTAATTTAATAGTATCTTTTAATATTATCCCAAATATTAAAATATTTTCAAGATTTATAAAATCAAATCAATTCATTTTAATTTCCCAAATTTCTCCTAGAAAATTCCAATATTTTATTAGAGATAATTAGATAAAAAATGGATTTATCATGTTTAATTTAAATCATTAATTGATAAAAGGATATTAATAGGCCTGTAATATTATTTTAAATCTGAAATCGAGAATAAAAATTATAAATTTTAATATTTTTAAATTAATCCCAATTCTCAAACATGTTGGAAATGGGTTCTAGTGAAAATAAATTGAGGGGTGAAATAGTTTTTTAATATCAACACCCAATTCTTCCTGTAAATTCAAGATTAGTGTCCATAAATTATATAAAATATTAAATTATATGACACCAAACCAATTAAAAATGATGCTGTGCGTATTATTAGTTGCTTTCCTTTCATGTGGGCTTTACTTCTATATATTCTGGAAGAAATTAGATCATGTAAGGATTAATTCCCTTAATTTCAGAAACCTTATTATGAATAGCTGGCTTTTGCATATGGGTTGCTTTTAGGATTCACAGAATTATTGGTGGCCATAATTTTATACATTCTCATTAAAACTAGGGCGCAAATCACATCCCTGGGTGAGATCGGCCGTTATATTAGACAGAACTGCTACAAGGAGTATTATGCATTGATCATAATAAATTTGGTATAGAACTTGATAATTAGGTATTTCTGATAACCTTCAACATAATAACCATTTTGGATCAAGAATCAGTGAGCTTTATGGATATTTAATCACTCCACTTCATAGCAGCATATTATGTTCAATCGGTTCTTTTCGCGTTATTCTCGAATGACCTGTTAAAGAGAAGAGCCTTGATTCCGAATGAGTACATGTTCGAAAGAGAAGGGATATTTCGATGTGCCTACGAGGTTCTCTATTACGTGGTGTGTCTATTCATAGTATTAAGTAAATTTATAAATATGAAAAGGCTACTTTTTGGTCACCCACTTTGAGAAAATGCCAGAACCTAGTCAGACATTATGCCAACTGATTATTTTCACATTGCTCTACCAATTCTACTCAATAACCAAATTGGGTATCTTGATAAAAATATTTCTGATAATAACCACAACCAGACTGCTCTACTCTGCAGTGAATTCCATATAGGACTTGAAGGAGACTACGCAAAAAGGTTGTCAGATCACTTTGGTGGTGATCACAGTCCTATTTTTAATTAGAATGGTTCAGCAGAGTATATTGGGAATTTTAAGAGCAAGAGAACAGTATTTGAATTAGACCCAACATCAAACACCTGACATATTGAGTGCATTGAATTTAATGCCTCCCAGAGACCCATACATAGGAGGATCTACACAGATAATAAGTGAGGAGTAGATACGAATGATGCCTCAATAGAAGTTCAAGATGGAGAATGAATTTGTCTGCTCAATATGCGATATGAATCTACTAAAGAATGAAATGGTGATGAAGTTAAGTTGTTCCCACATCTTCCATTCAGAATGTCTGAAACCATGGATCAGGATAAAGAACTCTTGTCCGAATTGCAGATAGCAGGTGTTGAGATAGGGCAATCAAGAAAATCACAACCAATAACCAGTCTAAGAACACCCCTAGGATTAGCAATACTAAGTTTAACATGTTTAAGTAGAAGTCCCGCCATCTAATGAAAACAATTAAGCAGTGTAAGAATTTCAACAGAGGTAGTTGGAAATACAAGAATGAGTTTCTTTACATTAATTAATTTGTTTTTATATTAACTTAAAATCTTTTTGACAACAGATATTATAATTGCATCGAAATTTCGTATTGTGTGGCAACTCATAAATTGAGAATTAATGGCACAAAATATTGATGTCTATTTTTAACAGATTTTCATATTTTAATTAACTCTAATAAGATATTAAGGAGTTATTAGGAATATTTAAAACAAAATTAATTAATTAAATTATATCCCTCTAGATGATTTGTGTGAGACATCACACTTTTTTAAACTAAAAATATGGAATCTTTTATGTAGACAATCTCTTAATGATTGGAAAAGTATCAACCCATTTAAATCTTAGTCACAAAGGAATCCAAAATATCGTATCCCCTGTAATATTGAAAAGGTTATTTTTTGGTGTATCAGCGACAATCAATAATTACAAGGGTTCGAGATAGCTGTTAATGGAAAGAAGAAATGGTTTGACATGTCTCACCATCAAACGAAGTCACTGATGCAATTATTGAACGGAAAGTTTCTATACAAAAATATACATGCCTTCTATCAATTTTAAGACATTATAGGGGTGGGGAGCTTTAGTAAAGTAAAATTGTAAAATGTAAATTAGGTAATCAAACTATTCAACGTCATAGAGAAGGAGTTCTATGCTTGCAAAGTGCTTAAGATGGCATAATTCGATGTATCCAATTTTTTATATAAATTCATAGGATTTTAAAAACGAACTTTCTATACTTCAATCTTTGGATCATCCCAATATCGTCAAAGTGAAAGAAGTGTACCTTGAAGACAAACAGATCTGGTTTATCACAGATCTAGTGGAAGGAGGAACTCTGAAAGAATATTTGGACAATTTAACTGAAATAACCCAATTCGAAGTTTATATAATTATGAAAGTACTTGATTTGATTAATTAATTTTAGTAAATCTTAGATGCTGTTTAATATTTGCATTCCAAAGGGTACGTCCATAGGGACATCAAACCAGAGAATATCTTATTGAGTCAAAATCGTGATCCCTCCAAATTGTACATGATAGATTTCGGATTGGCAACAAAGAAGGAGGAGATTACCATTCGATATCCACATTGTGGTACTCCAGGCTATATTGCACCTGAAGTCATTAACTTCGATCCCGATAACCCATATGACTAATTGAGTGACGTGTTTAGTTGTGGAGTCCTCTTACACAAAATGTATTCAATCTCATTAATATTTAGACTATATGGAACTGATCTATTTAGTGGTTCCTATTATAGTGAAGTCTACTATTAGAATTAATCATTTTGTTTGGAATCAAAGTAATTTGACAATAATGAATTTGATCCACTCCTCAAAGGCATGTTGAGAGAGAATCCAAGCACTCGATTGTCTGCTACTCAAGCTTTGGAAATGTTGGAATAGCTTTTCGTTATCAAGAAGGATGATTTCATAGTGGATGTTTCTGATTCATCAATCCAATAGGTCAAGACACTGTCCATTTAAACAATGAAAAAACTTGAGAGTTTAGACCAATATTGATTTCAATATATCTATATTCTCATTAACAATATAAATCAGAGAACAAAAGCACTAAGTCCATTTTTGCTTGATAAAGAAAAGTGCTTTGGAATAACAAAATACAATGAAGGTTTAGAGTGTATCTCATCTAGGAAGATCACTCCATTAAGATGCAAGCCCATTCAGATGTTGAATGATCCTAAATACATTTAGACAGACTCATAAATATACTGGGGATCACAGAATCAGAAATTTATTAAATAACGAAATGCTAAACAGTGTATATTAATTCTTTCACAATTCTGTTTTCTAGATGTTAATTAAATTTAGAGATATGACAATAATTTCTAAAGAAGTGCTAGAAATAGGGGAACTCATTTAAAGATCAATGTGTTGATGTTTGTTTAAATTTAGGGCATCCTTAGTACCTATTAAGATTTCGATCAATCCGAAATCAAATCTTGGTCTTTAGATGATGTAACATGATTAACAATACTTCTCTCCTCATGATATTTTATAATTATTTGTATTATCCTCAAAAGTTACCAATTAGTATTAGAATTCTAACCAAGAATCCTTATTATAATGTGAATATTTCGGTTTAATTGACAATAAATACCAATTAATTTCGATGTTTACTCTTGTGGTCTGTACTAATACTAGGAATAAAACATAAATAATACTTATTCTAATCTGAATAAACGCAGTCGGATATCTACTAGTTAATTGATATTTAAATTTCAATTTAATTATGATTTGCATCCGTAAGCACGCTCTCATCGATTAACATTATGTATTATTTATTGAGAATGACAGAATATGCATAGGAAAGGTACTTGTTAAAATTTAGACTAGAATTAAATAAATCCTAAGTATGTTTTGCCCATAAATTTGTAGTCCAAACTTGAATGGAGTTTTGATAAAGAACTATGCCAATTTAATGGGTTTATAATTGAATGGGAGAATAAGAAAAAGCAATTTCATATGTCAGACGGTAATTGCAAAAAGCTGAAATCTCAAATTGATGGAAAAATACTATATAATGAAATAAATTCACAATATTTTCCTGTTTAAATAGTAGGAGAAGGGACTTTTGGCAAAGTAAGTGTTTAAATTAAAATATTTTAGGTTATTAAAGTGGTTAGCCTATTAGATGAGAAGGAGTATGCATGCAAAGTAATGAAATTAGATAAAAAGTTTTCGAAAAACGTAATTTAAAAATATAAAAATAGGATATTATTTATGAGTTGATGACAATGCAATCATTGAACCATGAGAATATAATCAAAATTAAGGAAGTGTATTGTTCGAACTCTCATTTCTTTATCATAATGGATTATTGCAGAGGAGGAACCCTCAGAGAATATTTAGCCTATAGAACATTGAATCAGGATTAAATAGTGATGATAATGAAGGTAATTTGAAACAACAATACATTTCTAGTAAATTTTAAATGCAGTCATCTACATGAATTCCAAAGGATACATTCACAGAGACATAAAGCCAGAAAATATTTTATTAAGAGAACAAAGTGATCTATCAAATGTACTAGTTTGTGATTTTGGATTTGCTGCAAAAGTCGAAGATATTTTAACCAAACATCCCAATTGTGGGACTCCTGGCTATATGGCTCCAGAAGTCATCAAATATGATTAGACAAATCCTTATAATGAATAATGCGATGTCTTCAGTTGTGGATCTCTGTTGTATTCAATGTAAATGAAGTTGTTTATATTTTAGATTGACTGGATATAATCTTGAAATGCAAAGTGAAGAAAGCGAAATCTACAATATAGAGGCTTAGGTGTATGAGGAGAAACAATTCACTTCGTACAATAATTAATTCAAGAACATTCTAATTAAAATGCTAGATCCTAGTCCTCATTTAAGGATTACAGCAAAGGATGCTCAAAAATACTTTGACAATTTTGATTCATTCGTTCTAGAAGAACTGAACTCACTTGATGTTATTCAAGCAGTGAAACACATTTGTATCTAAAAGCGTGAGTTCCACTCATTTTGATTCTCCTTTTTTATGTTGATCGAGTTAATTTTGTTTTATAAATGACTATAGTATGTTGTTTTAAATCAAATATATCACAAATATTAGAGATTATTATTTATAAGATTTTATCAGCAAAATAATTCTATACCCTCACACTTAACATCATGTTGTGTTATCGTAAACACTCTCTATTTACCAAAAAGTACCACATCTTCAAAAATGACAACGAAATTCACTTAGGAGAAGTAAATTTGTTTTTAAGTTTTAGACCACTACTAAAATAAAATATACTATCAATCTTACTCCTTAAACCATGATTGATTGGTCAATTAATCATCAAACCAAATAACTCAATGGATTTTGGTTAAGTTGGAAAAAACAATAGAAGTTCTTCTTGATGGATGCAACGACTTGCACCATGTTCAAATCAACTCTAAATGGCATTGTGACCTATGGAAAACACCAAATTCTTTATGAACCCATCCAACATCTGTCACACAGTTCTTTTGGTTCTGTAATTATTTCTATATTTCATAGAACTTCTAGCTTATAAAAATGAAATATCTTAATTCAAGAGATTCATACTTGTGTAAAACGATTTAAAAATGTCTACAATATACTGATGATGTAAAATAACTCAATCATAACCTAGGATTTCTATTACTAAATTGAAATCCTACGATCATTGGATCACTCAAACATAATCAAGTTAAAAGAAGTCTACAATAGCAACAAGAATTATCATTTCGTCTTCGACTTCCCTCTAGGAGGTTCCTTGGCAGATCTAATCAAATCCAAATAATTATAATTCAAAGAAGTGTAATTAATTATTAGAGTAAATATTATAATTACACTAGCAATTGATGTCCACAATCTCCTTCATTCATTCAAAAGGCTATGTCCACAGAAACTTAAAACCAGAACACATCTTCTTCAAAGAACCCAATAGTTTGGAAACTCTCCTCATTTCAGAATTCGAATTGGGATGCAGACTAGTTGATTTCCCAAATAAGTATTAATTTCGTTTTTATTACATTTAGACATCCCAATTGTAGAGTTCATGGTTACACTGCCCCTGAAATCAAGTCCAAAATATTCACTTAAAAATGTGATATCTTTAGCTGCGGTGTCATTTTATACAAAATGTATCTTCTTTTTATTTAAAAATAGTTTAACTAGAAAAGATCTGTTTGATCATGAGTCAATCAATTATGATGAAAAAATGATGTTGCATTTGATCAATCAATCAGACATCAATCCATAATACTAGAATTTATTAAGACAGATGCTTCAATTCAATCCAGAACTGAGGGCAACGGCAGATCAATGCTTAACTATTATTGATTCAATCTTAGAAAGAACTCCTACATTCTCCAATTTTCTCGATAGGTTCAATTTAGATAATGATGGAATAAATGACGAAATCATTTCAATTGATTTGATTTAGGATTAAGATGAATTAACTGAAAATCAGGATTTTATACAAAAACTGCCAATAATCCAGATTAATAAAAGAATTGAAATGTTCTATTGATTGTATATAATTTTGTATTTAAGACTTTCAACTTTTTTATATAAACATCTAGTCATATCCAATCATGGCGTTTCTTATTTTAAATGCTTCTTTATGTTAATGGCAGACTATGTGTTGTGATATCTATTTTAAATTTAAGACTTACAATTATACATTTTTTTTTACTCTGAACAATATATATATTTAAGTTGTAATGTGGTGACTTTTATAATTTTCTTGAAAACTAGTATTAGTATAAGATAAGTCATATTCTTTGTAAAAATCTAGAACTAAACCCAAACTTCAAGAGTATACTGTTTTTAGTTAATTTAATTCGTCTGAAGAACACTGATAATTCTAGTAATACTTTTTATGCATTTTGAACATTTGTATCTCTCTCAATGTAAGTTAACGCTTATGAGCTTTTATTAATGATATCTTAGTTATAATAACGTATATGCCTAAGCTAGTTATTTATCCATTATAAAAAATTTAAAGTTCCTTTAATTTAAACACAATATACTGAAAAATTGATAGTAATCATACACTTTATGAATTTCATTTTTATTTTCTTTTTCACAATTTCTTGTTTATTTATAATATAAAATTATATTAATATTTAAATGAATGGAATGATTAATTGTCAATTATTGATCAGGCGGAAGAGTTTTTTCTGTTGAGAGGCTCGAAGTGTGTTTCATTCTTTTAAATATTAATTTTATATAATAAAAGTAATTCAATCTTAGAATTGGGAAACTAAAAAAAATTACACTAGAAAGACAAAATTGTATAAATGATTTTATAATTAGAAGCTTTACATAATNATTGGGATGCAGACTAGTTGATTTCCCAAATAAGTATTAATTTCGTTTTTATTACATTTAGACATCCCAATTGTAGAGTTCATGGTTACACTGCCCCTGAAATCAAGTCCAAAATATTCACTTAAAAATGTGATATCTTTAGCTGCGGTGTCATTTTATACAAAATGTATCTTCTTTTTATTTAAAAATAGTTTAACTAGAAAAGATCTGTTTGATCATGAGTCAATCAATTATGATGAAAAAATGATGTTGCATTTGATCAATCAATCAGACATCAATCCATAATACTAGAATTTATTAAGACAGATGCTTCAATTCAATCCAGAACTGAGGGCAACGGCAGATCAATGCTTAACTATTATTGATTCAATCTTAGAAAGAACTCCTACATTCTCCAATTTTCTCGATAGGTTCAATTTAGATAATGATGGAATAAATGACGAAATCATTTCAATTGATTTGATTTAGGATTAAGATGAATTAACTGAAAATCAGGATTTTATACAAAAACTGCCAATAATCCAGATTAATAAAAGAATTGAAATGTTCTATTGATTGTATATAATTTTGTATTTAAGACTTTCAACTTTTTTATATAAACATCTAGTCATATCCAATCATGGCGTTTCTTATTTTAAATGCTTCTTTATGTTAATGGCAGACTATGTGTTGTGATATCTATTTTAAATTTAAGACTTACAATTATACATTTTTTTTTACTCTGAACAATATATATATTTAAGTTGTAATGTGGTGACTTTTATAATTTTCTTGAAAACTAGTATTAGTATAAGATAAGTCATATTCTTTGTAAAAATCTAGAACTAAACCCAAACTTCAAGAGTATACTGTTTTTAGTTAATTTAATTCGTCTGAAGAACACTGATAATTCTAGTAATACTTTTTATGCATTTTGAACATTTGTATCTCTCTCAATGTAAGTTAACGCTTATGAGCTTTTATTAATGATATCTTAGTTATAATAACGTATATGCCTAAGCTAGTTATTTATCCATTATAAAAAATTTAAAGTTCCTTTAATTTAAACACAATATACTGAAAAATTGATAGTAATCATACACTTTATGAATTTCATTTTTATTTTCTTTTTCACAATTTCTTGTTTATTTATAATATAAAATTATATTAATATTTAAATGAATGGAATGATTAATTGTCAATTATTGATCAGGCGGAAGAGTTTTTTCTGTTGAGAGGCTCGAAGTGTGTTTCATTCTTTTAAATATTAATTTTATATAATAAAAGTAATTCAATCTTAGAATTGGGAAACTAAAAAAAATTACACTAGAAAGACAAAATTGTATAAATGATTTTATAATTAGAAGCTTTACATAATGGTATTAGAATATTAATTGTGGTTTGATTATGTAAATAACAATTGGAGACATATGGCATCTATTACTATGAATTAGAGGCTTATTGATGAATATTATGATAGTAGAGTAGCACGTTCAATCTATAAATTAAGTTAAAAAATCTAATCTTATTTTTATTGTTAATTTAATGGGAAGTACTTGCTGCCATAAATAACCACAGCCAATCTCATCTTAGGGTAAACGATAAATACTATCTTAAGCAGAGTTAGTTTGTGATAATAGCAATCTTTCTATTATTAAAAAGTCGAATCACAAAGAAGAAAGTCCAGGCGAACCACCATCGAGATTGCCATCTTAAAGTTCCCCTATTCCTTAGGTATATGAGGGGGTATCTGCCCTGAATTAGATGAAAAATCAAGTGCCTGCCTTAAAATTCAGCAATACCAAAGGAACTTTTAAGGATGAGAGACAATTGAAGGATTCGAAGGAATCTTTTGAGCCTTCCGAAAAATCAGATTAAGTCGATGAAAGAAATAAGGACATGGATGTAAAGTCGCCTGAGGCGGAATAAACTCCAATAGAAAAAATAGTTTAAGCAGAAAAATTGGAGAAATAAAATGAAGCATAGTAAAAGCAATAATAAGATACGGGTACCAAGAAATCTCCAGCGGCTTCCTCAAAAACAGTTCCAAATGGTCCCAAAGATCAAAGTTCATGCAGAAAATCGAGTATGGCTTCAGTGGGTTCGGTGTCTGTAAAATTTGGAGTGGAATTATTCGTAAATTTAAAAAAACAATCAATAACCAAAGTATACACTTTAGGTTAGGTTTTGGGCTAAGGTGCTTTTGGAAAGGTTTGGAAGGTGACACATAAAACTACAGGTATTGAGATTGAACTAAATTTTGTTAGGTTTAATTAGAGCAATGAAACAGATTCGAAAGTCAGAATTAATTAAAGAAGATGAATAAAAAATGTTTTCCGAGATGAACCTATTAAAAAATCTTGACCATCCCCACGTTGTCAAATTATACGAATTGTACCAAGATTCTAATAATTATTATCTAATCACAGAGTATGATTTCCATGTAAACTAGATATTTATGCGGTGGAGAGTTGTTTGAAAGAATAAAGAAAATGAATTAATTCAGTGAGAAGAGAGCCAGTGACTTAATGAGATAAATATTGATGGCAGTTGTCTATTGTCATGATTAGAAAATTGTTCATAGAGACTTGAAGCCAGAAAATGTCCTCTTTTCTGGTACAGAACCAGAAGCCTTACTCAAAATAATCGATTTTGGATGTTCAAGAAAGTTTAATTCTCAAAAGAACATGACCAAAAGACTTGGAACAGTAATTATATGTATATAAATCATCATCTAGCCATATTACATTGCTCCAGAGGTTTTAAATCACAATTACAATGAGAAATGCGATGTGTGGTCATGTGGCGTCATTTTGTACATCTTATTATGCGGGTATCCTCCATTCACTGGAAAAAACGAGAATGAAATATTCGAAAAAGTGAAGACAGGCAAATTCAAATTCCCGAGTATAAAATACAAATTGATTTTGTTTAGTTGAGGAGTGGGATTCAATAAGTAGAGAAGCTAAGAACTTAATTCAGAGAATGCTTCAAGTGGACGTGAATTCAAGATATTCAGCAACTTAAGCTTTAAATGATCCTTGGATTTAAAAGCATGCTCCTAATACCTAGATCAATAAAAAAGTGCTTGAGAATCTGGCATAATTCCAAGCAAAAAGCGAATTTCGATCTGCCATCGTCCAATATATAATTAGTCAAATGACAACAAACAAGGAATTGGAAGATCTTTAAAAGACTTTTCAATCTCTGGATAAGAATAAAGATGGAGTATTAAATAAAGCAGAATTAGTAGAAGGATATACGAAGATATTAAAAAGCAAAGAACAGGCAGAAGAATATGTTGAAAAGATAATTTCTAAGATTGATAAGAATTAATCAGGTGTAATTGAGTTTAATGAATTTTTGATGGCTGCAATCAATGAAGAAAAGATAATCCCAATTAAGAAAGTCGAATAGGCATTTAAAATTTTTGATTCAGACGGAGACGGATACATTAGCAAACAAGAAATAGAAGAAGTGATGGGCGAATTGAATGCAGATGTTTGGAAACTATTTTTGGAAGAAACAGATGGAAATAATGATGGCAAGATATCCTATGAGGAATTCTCAAAATTAATAATGAGCAAATGAAAATATTCTGTTTTTTATAATACTTCCTATTAACATTTAATTATAGCTTATTAAACACAAAATATAAAGCTTCAAGATAATTCAAAAAAGCATTGATACAAGTGTCAATGAGCTGACTATTCCAACACTAATTTATCCTCTTCAGCATATTCTATATCCATGAATTAAAATTGTTAAGATATGTTTGAAACATAATCTAGAGATCGATATTCACTCCTACTAATATTACTAATCAAATCCTCAAGAGTTCTTATAGTTATTGGTTTAACAATTACTTCTCTCATTCCTGATTCTAATAATCTATTTATTTCATCCTCTCCAGAGAACCCCGTTAGTCCAAATATAGGAATTGGGGTAATGCACTTATCTTTGCAAATCTATGTGATGTATTTAGTTGCTTCTTCGCCATTCATGATTGGCATTTAATAATCCATTATAATACCTTTATATCCTTTACATTTATGTTCTTGAAATTGTTCAAGCATTTTCTCCAGTAATTGGATGCAATGTTTACCATTTTCAGCCTTGACCACTTGATGTTGCAATTTCTTTAAGAGAGATTCCAACACTATCAAATTATAAGGCTCATCATCTACGATCATAAAAGTGTTCTCGCATTAGCATTAGTTCTTTGTGTGAATTTAAGCTCCAGTTGACCAAGGACTTAACTTTAAATTAAAATTGTTATAGGAATGTATAATTCCCTCATTTTCTACACTTGACTCTTTCAATATCAATTCACTAGAGAAATTTTCACCTGAAATTAACCTTATTTTTATGTGCATTTAAATTGTTGTGCCCTTATCAATATCTGAATCAATAGAAATGTAATTTGAATTATCATCTTTTCCTGACACATTCTTTATTAATTAATTGGATGCTCGCAATCCAAGCATCATCCCAGAAGATGCATCATTTGAATTTCTCTCAACTTAACAGTCTTCCCCATTTAACAAAGATCGAATATACTCCAATCTTTCTGCAGTCATTCCCAAACCATTGTCTCTCACCTCAATCATGTATACATCAGCAAGGTTTGTAGACAAATTTCCATTCGAAGAAAATTGGCTGGCCATCTTGTATTTGCTAATGGTTCTGCGTTATTTATTATTATTCGATGAGTCATGACAACAATCGCTTCCACTCAATCTCTACTGCTGAGGAGAATATGAATGAGGAACTTGCAATTTCGAATGCTTATTATTTTATTACTTATTGTCTGGTATTTAAATGTAACTGTTCGTATTATTATTATTGGTACTTAAATCTTTTGATAATCTAATTGAAATTAATCCATCAGATTTACTAAATCTAATGCTATTAGATATGATGTGAATTAGTATGCTCTGAAATTTCTCGGAATCCAACAATTCATAGTTATTTGACTGTATTTTATCCTCATATTTAATCTTTACATATTTTAATTCTGCTTCGTCTTTGAATAAATCCATCACTTCCTAAATTAATACGTTAATTCTCACCTTATCTAATTTAGTAGGCAGTTTTCTTTCCCTCAATAAATTATAATCAATTATTGAACCAATAATAAAATTTTAAATTCTGCAGTTATTGAAAGCAGCCCTTAAGTATTTCTTCACTTCCCAATCAAAATTTTAATTGTAATTTTACACCATCTAGATCATGCCCTAAATTGCATTTAATCTAGTCCTCAACTCGTGAGATATGGATCTTATTACTTTGCTTTTAAATTAATTCAGATTCTTATAATAGATAGACTTTAAATTTGTAGATATATCATAAAGATTAATTAGAGTTGCATGTTTATTATCCTCATATTGCAAGAGTGTTTTCATCTTCACTTCAATAACTACTTTCTGTGATTCGTCGATAGCCAACTCTGGACGATCTATGAATTAACATCTTAAAGTGTATATTTTGCCTTAGGTCTTTTTGTCAGTCTTTACTATACATTGAATGACTTGATTTAAGTTTAATTATTCATCATCCAAAATATCAAGGTTGAACTTACTTGAATCTGGTGGCAATAGGTTCTTTACATCTTCAACATTTGCAAACATCTAAGAAAAAAATAAGAAAATCTCATCATAATTGCTCATAATTGATGGCTGAGTCTAGAACAGATAGTCCTATTTTACAGACTTGGTCATAAATGTTTTTGTCTTTGTGTGAGATTTTTCTATTAATTTCTTCATGTATCTATTTGAAAATAAGACTTATTCACAATCTGAATTTAATATACAAACCGCTGTTGGGATGCTTCTTAGAGATTGCTCAGCAAAATGTTTAATCTTACTCAATCTCATTATTTGCTGATCCCAGTAATAGACAAGGAGTAAATTCAAAAAAACAATATGGTAAGTGAATAAACAATAAAAGATGGTGAATTCAGTTTTGTAGCCTAAGTAAACAAAAAATTTAATTAGAATGATTAATCTTAATTTGAAATTGTTCATTGTTGCCATTACAATTTGCATTATTATAAATATTAAAAGAATACCTATTAATCTCTGCAAACTCTCATACTCCATTAGCAATTGTTATAAATACAGCTACAATAAGGTTTCGAACATAATAAAGAGTATTTGTGTAAGAGCTACCTTCTACCTTTTGGATAATTTTTGGATTATCCATTTATCATATACTATCGTAGCTAAAGGAAGCATAATTAATAAATATGTATAAAGAGTAACTTGTTAACTATTATATGATTAGTATTCTTCAATATTATTTATCATTATCAATACAATACTGTAAAACAAATAGATTTTCATTATTGTCACAAATAGAGGCCAGAATTGAGAGATAATTAACTCATTCTGGCAATCAATATAAATGGAGTCATTATAATCTTCGTATATTTCTAATGCTAATCTTTTTTATTTTCTTAACCATATTAACATTGTTTTAATATATAAAAAACTATAAATAAATTACATACTAATTAAACTTTCATAACTTAATCTTTTTTAGATTTTTTTCAATTCTCTAGATTTAAAAATCTAAAGATACTTTTCAATCCTACTTTGCTTTCCTCCCACTCCTAAAGAAATAAAAATTTAAGTAGAACTGATAATTTTCAAAAGACCTTTTTTTATGAGAAAACAACAAGTCCCACTCTCAAAAACATTTATAATTGAAATCATATAACTGAACCTAATAGTATTAGTAACTCTTACATCTAGTTTCTTTAAACTGATTTTCTATTTATGGAATTATTATAAAATCACATAATATAAATTTATAAGTTGTCTTATACTTTTGACATTAATTATAAAAAAGTTAAAATTCAAATAGAAATATTAATTTAAGAGCATTTATGTCTAAAATAAGAAAACATTATATGAAGACATATTTTTAAATTTATTTTCCATTTAAATTGGAGTTACTCCACTTTTATAATAGTCGGAGTATTATTTAAAATTTAAATATTCCTCTGAAAATATCATCACTCATTTGGCTGTGAATACAATATCAAGCATAATTAATATAATAAAATAATCAAATTCATAGTTGATCAATATTATGCATAACTTTCTTCTGCATGTACTAAACACCATATTTTGTAGAAGTGAACATTTTGCCAACATTTCCATTGTATTCTTACACAGTGGAATGTATTTACTTCTTTTATTAAGTCTTATCGACTGATCTATGTTGAGATTATTTAGGTTTATTTTCAGTTTCAGTATGTTAAATTATATCTTTGATTGCCTATTTGCAATTTTCTATTTCTTAAAACTAATTAGGTTTGTGTTGAACATTAGCTTTTGCTGGTGGAAGCGATTTATTTTTTTATTATTTATTCATTAATAATATTAGTCAAAGTTTATTATAATATTTAGAGATTTATCACAATTTTTACTAAAATGTTAAGTTTAATTAATTAGGTTGTATTCCGAATCAATTCAATATTGGGTATGTTAAATTTTCTGTGTTTCAGTCTTTACTCATATCAACTAGAAATCAAATATAAGTAAAATTAACGAAATATAGGTAAATTGAAAAATAGAAGGTCGTGGGTACATGCTTGATTGATTCAAAATAATTCGGTTAATAAGATAACAGAATCTGATTCTTATTGTCAATAATTAGAATGCAATTGGTTAAAGATTAATGTTTCTATATAATTATTTTTAACAGTTAATTTATTTTAAAATGACTGAGGAAATTGAGACTCATATTATGCAGAAGTATGAAATAATCTAGAAAATGGGAAAAGGAGCTTATGGTGTTGTATGGAAAGCGATAGTTCGAAAAACAAAATAAATAGTTGCTCTGAAGAAAGTATTTGATGCTTTTCACAATGCCACAGATGCACAACGCACATTTCGAGAGGTAATGTTTTTACAAGAGATGGCTCATGACAATGTTATTCGAATGACAAATATTCATAAGGCTGATAATAACAAGGATCTTTACATAGTTTTTGATTTCATGGAAACAGATCTTCATGCTGTCATTCGAGGTGGAATACTTGAAGAAATTCATTAAAGGTATTCTTATTACTATTTTAGATATATTATCTACCAGATACTCAAAGCACTTAAGTATATTCATTCAGCTGAAATAATCCATCGAGATTTAAAACCTTCAAATGTTTTATTAGATGCTGAGTGCAATGTAAAGGTTGCAGATTTTGGACTTGCAAGAAGCCTTCTCATGCCACAAGATGAAAATGCCATTTTGACTGAATATGTAGCAACTCGTTGGTACAGAGCTCCAGAGATCCTTCTAGGATCCACTTTCTACACAAAAGCTGTCGATATGTGGTCAGTTGGCTGCATCTTAGGGGAAATGATCAATGGGAAACCTATTTTTCCTGGGAGTTCTACTCTAAATTAAATTGAAAGAATTATTGAAGTTATTGGTAGACCCTCAACATCAGAGTTAGAAAGTGTACAAGCTCCGTTAGCATCTTAAATAGTCAACAATATTCCAAAAGGAGCTCGAATTGGATTTACTAATTATTTTCCTAAAGCAACACCTTAGGCTTTGGATTTAATTCGAAAGTTGTTGTCATTTAACCCTTATACCAGAATAACTGTAGAGGAAGCCCTGAGACATCCTTATGTCAATGCATTTCACAACGAATAGTAAGAACCCACATCAAACCCGATTAAAATATCAATGAATGATAATAAGAAATTTAGTATTAAGGAATATAGAGAAGCATTATATTAAGAAATAACTAAAAAATATGATTAAAAACATGAGACTAAGATTGAAAATAAATTTGAAAACTCTTTAAAAGCTAATGAGGTTCACTAATAATAATAGGAAAGAAGAAGAACCTAAAGCTTTTAATAGCCATCAAAAAAGCCAGTGGGACCTTCAAATACAACACTCCCAAGTGAATAACCTATAATTAGATAATCCGACACTAACATTATGCAATAAATCAAAGATTATGGAAACAGGGAAGTGTAATCAAAGGATTATTGTATAAAGGATTACCTTCCAAAAGATTATAGCTCAAAGGATTATTTTGCATAATAAAATGTGAATATGAGTAAAGAATTTATTAGTGGGTAATTTGGTAAAGAAGTAAATAAAGAAAATTAAAGATCCAAAAATATGGTTGAAGTCACAAATAATAACAATAAATTAGAAAGAGATACTTCCTTATCGAAAAAATAGATTTTGTCTATGTGGACATAACCTAATTAAAAACCATAAATATCTAATCCATAATAAAGACCACCTTCAGTAAGTGTGTACGCAGCACTGAATTAAAATTCAAATAATTAGTTAAAATAATAATAACAGTAATAATAATATCAATAATAATAATAACAACAACAATAATAATAGTAATAATAATAATAATAATAGTAATAATAATAATAATCAAATAATGTTTCTACTTAAAAAAGAATGAGTACTAAAATGCCTACTAGCGGTACAAGCACTTCTTTTTATTTTCCAGCTGAAAAAACAAATTCAAGCTTTAACTATGGAAAAAAAATATCCAAAGACAATAGTTTTTTAATTGATTAAAATGTCTAAAGCATATAAAATATACCATAATCTTCGATGCCTTAGTAGCCATAATAAAGTGGGATGTATTAAAAAGGTATTTATTTTAAATTAATATTTGTAGCCACTAGTGTGAATTATCAAACTTATTTGATGCAAAAAGGTATTTCTGATTAAAGAAGCAAATAAAACTTAGTTAATCATTAACGAACATAGTCTTAGTTGGGTGCGAATAATAGTGTTCTGATAAATAGATGCAAGGAGTTTTTGTAAAATATGCATGCCTTAAAATAATGAATTAGATCATGATCACTTTTCATTTTAAACTTAATAATTTTTCTTTATTTGAAACCATAAATTAAGATATTGCATATAGCAAAATTATCTAATTATTTTATCTTCATAAATATTTAGACAAATAATATAAATAGATTCATTAAATTGAACAGCTACAAGAACATTTAGAATTGTCCTTATTCTAGTGATATTTTTACACTATATATATATCACATAATTCTCTTTTCTCAATAATATCTCTGAACGAAATTCTTTTCCCCTTCACGCCTTTAATAATTGGATGATTGTATTTGTCAACTCTTGGATAGACAAACTTTTTTTGTTTTTTTTCAATCTCTGTAATACAAATATAAGTTTATGTTTGAGTTTCGATTCGTTCATTCATATTAATTTATTTATTTATAAACTCCAAATTTTATACTTCACTTATTTATATGAAAATTATTATATATTTCTTTGCATTTTAGATATCCTTACTGAATATCAATATGCTAAGTAATTATATTGTTGTTGTGTTAAATTCAAATTTAGAATTTTGAATTAAATAATATATAGATTAATTATAAGAGCAAAAGGATAAAACAAAATAGCAAGTTGCAAAGTTAATTCCACAAATTCTTGATAATTTAAGTGTAAAATAGACTTTGTTGTTATAAACTTTAATGATGAAAACTTAAACTATAACAATTTTTATTTGTGATTATATTAAGTATTAAGTTAAATTAATATGATTCGCTATGCAAGGCAGATGCAAAAATTCTGCAAAGCAGCAGGTGTTTTTGATGTCGCTGTGATAGGAGGGGGATCAGGAGGTTTAGCTTTTGCACTTGTAATTAGTTTTAAATATACATTAGGAAGGTGCAAAGTTAGGATTAAAGATTGCTGTATTTGATTATGTCACTCCTTCAAGCCAAGGTTCAATCTGGGGATTAGGAGGAACTTGTGTAAATGTTGGATGCATACCAAAGAAACTTATGCATCAAAGTGCTTTACTTAAAGAGAACAATGAAGGTTCAACTCCTTATGGATGGACTCCAAGTGAATAAGAATAAGTGAATTGGGATATTTTGGTAGAAAACGTCTAGAACCATATAAAAGGGTTGAATTATGGGTATAAAGGAAGCTTACAAAAATCTGGAATTCTTTATTTGAATGAATTAGCTACTTTTAAGGATAATCACACTTTGCTCTATGGCAAATTGGATGATTTTAAATCAAAGGATGCAAATAAATTAAGAGAATTGAAATTCAAATATTGTGTAATTAGTACTGGTGGACGTCCAACTAAATTATAATCGATTGAAAAACATGCCATAACATCTGATGATATTTTTTCTTAATAAAAACCTCCAGGCAAGACTCTTGTTGTTGGTGGTGGATACATAGCTTTAGAATGTGCAGGAATGTTAAAAGGATTAGGTTATGATGTAACATTAATGACAAGAGGAAAATACCTTAGAGAATTTGATCAGGATGTTGTGAAAATGATATTAGAGCATTATCAAAAATATTTGAGAGTCAATATAGTACCTGAGTCATTACCATTCCATTCTGAATAAAAGGATGATAAAATTTTAGTTAAGTGGAGATCTACTGTTAATTCATAAGAAGATGGTGGTGTTTTCGATACTGTTCTTATGGCAATAGGAAGATAAGCCAACACTTAAATGCTTAATTTAGATAAAGTAGGTGTCAAAGTGAATCCTAATAATAATAAAGTAATAATATCAATATAATTTAGATTATTGCTAATTGCAATGGAGAAGCAGAAAGAACTGAAGTTGACAATATATTTGCTATTGGAGATGTATTAAATGGAATTCCTGAATTGACTCCAGTAGCTTCAAAAAGTGGTTAATTATTAGCCAAAAGAATACAGCTGCTAATCAAAGGTTCATATTCCAAATAAGAATATGAAAATACTAAGTTAGAATACAATGATTATCCAACAACTGTGTTTACTCCTCTCGAATACAGTTTTGTTGGTTTAAGCGAAGAATAAGCAAAACAAAAGTTTGGAGAACATGATATTGAAATCTATCATTCAAAATTTGTTCCTTTAGAAGAACAATTATGCGATAAGCTTGATGAAAATTATGAATTATTGCAAAGAAAGGTGTATGTCAAAGCTATATGTCATGTTTCAGATAATAATAAAGTTGTTGGATTACATTACCTTGGACCAAATGCTGGGGAAGTAATGTAAGGATTTGCTGTTGCAGTGAAATTAGGAATGAAATTAAGTGATTTATAAAGAACTGTAGGAATTCATCCTACTAATGCTGAAGAATTCGTCCTTCTTAAAGTTACAAAATCTTCAGGAGCAGACTTTGAAAAACATGGATGCTGAGCTTGAGATTCTCATAATTAATACTCTCTATTAAATAAATATATACTTACGTATATATTTTAATGATGCATTATATCCAAATTGCTCTCTAAAGATATTATGCTGATGAAATATTTAATGGAGATGGTGAATTTATTTCATAAATTATTTGTTATTTCAACTTTAACATTTATTTATTAAGAGTTTCTTGCAAATCTAATTTCGATTAGATAATATAAAATAAATTTCAAAATTTAAACAAGGAAGATTTGCTGCTTACTTCATTAATAATCTTACAGCAATTGCTTATACTCAAGGAAGTTCAACTAAAATTTATCAATTTTATTACTCTATCGAAATCTGTTACTTCTGAAAACATCTCTAATAATTGCTATTCTTCGATATCAATTTTTTTAGTAATACTTTTAACAGTTATATAACCATTTTTATTTGATAATTACATATAAGATTATGAAATAACATTTTCATTTAATAGTTATTCTAAATCGATGGCGACTATTAAAAATTATTATAAGTAAATCTTTGATTTATCATCCTCATCTAAAAGTTCATAAATTTTCTCACTGCTCTTTTTATATTTATAATTTTATGTTGCAATCGAAAATAATTGGAAAAACTCAACCATATCTATTTTTCCATCTGCGTCAAGATCATATTGATTAAATAAACCAGTAAGTCTCAGTTTTTCATTGTAGAGAGATCTCTCAATTATAAAATAAGTTAAAACAGAAGTTAATGAATTAAATTTTATGCATTTTAATTTTTAAAACGAATTACCAATTGTATTCCTTGAATCTAGATTTTATATCCAGCTCATTTCTTTTACTTGCTATAAAGATAAACGATGCAATGGTATTGGATCAATCATTTTCATAATTAATTTACATATCTTATTTGGCAATTTCAGGCAATCAAATTCTTCATTTAATTCCTTTTTGATTTCCCATTTTGATGATTTATTCAGCATAATTCTAAAGGGATGGCCAGTTAATAACTAGAACCCAATCAATCCCAATGCTTATACGTCGTTTTTCTAAGTGATTTTTGTTGGTAATTTTAAGTATATGTTTTTTGTTTGAACTAATAATAAATTGATTTCAGATCTATCCTATATACAATTAAAAGTATCAAAATGAATTGCTCCATGACAATATGATTCTGAATGTAGATATCCAATAATATCAACCATCTTATTAAATATGATACCTGCACTTTCTACGCTAAGTTTATTCATTTTTAAATATTCGCTTAATTTTTTCATTTCTTAATGCTCATATAAGGCATAATAATTTTACTCATCATCATAGATGTCTATAAGCTTGATTATAAACTCATGATTCTACATAATTTCATGTTTATACCAATGGCATAGAAATCATTCTATTAATAAGTTCCTCGCTATCCTAAAATTACTTTTTATAAACATAAGCCTTATATTAAATATCAGAGTTGATTTATTTTACAATTATATAATCCAAGCTTTTAGTAATCATCCGGAAATTTTCTGAAAACCCTTATTTTATTGATAATTCAGGCCCTTATTATATGGCTTTACTTGATTATTATTATATTGATCCTGTATTCTAATGGAAAATTGGAGTTTAAACCAACGATGATTTTTATTGAAGTTGGTTTACAAATGATCCCCCATGAAAACTATTATTTTCTTGCCCAACTTAATTGTTATTGTTATTATCTTCTTTATTAAGTTCTTTATTTGTCTTACTGGAACAGAGTCCCATTAAATTTATAATAAATAAAATATAGAAATACTGGTGCCAAAATTAATATTACTAATAATTAATTATCCTCTGATATAGATACTTTAATAAGTTAATATATTAGCATACAATATAAGAATCCTAAATATCACATTAACAATATGTATAAAATGAAAATCACTTTTCCAAACATTTCCTAATTTTCATATTAGCATTTATCAATTTGGACTAATTTTTCATATCCTTTATGTAACTGATGAAGTATTCATTTTGGGAAAGACTAAAGTATACAAATTGTTAAATTTAAAATAAGTCAAATGTAGAATGTAATTAATATAAATTGTGAAAAATGGATAAAAATCAATCAATATTTTGGTCTTAAAGGTAAACGTGAATAATTAGAAGCATAAGTGTACAATAGAATAATTGCATTAATTTAACATTTAGTCCATTTCTTTATTTAGAAATTTGTCTTGAAACTTATTATAGAATTTTAAAAATTCGATTATTAAATATTTCAGTTTTTTATTATGCTCTTTAATTCACCTGTTATGATGCTTATGTATTCACTGAGGAAAATACATTGAAGCAGATTAAATTAAATCTATTTCATAAATGCATGTTTCATCTTTAAATGGCTAGGAATAGGAATGAATTGTTTATAGTTTTTATTGCGCATTTATTAAACATGATTGATCAGATAGCATCAATAATAAATGGTTTAGGTTTGGATAATTTAAATTTTATATATTGAATGATTAGTTTTTATTAACTTTAATCTCATCTATATTTTTTTTATGTTTCTTCAATAGGTTTTTCTCAAACAAATAGGTGAGAATAAAATTTATCGACCTCAATTCATTGTAAAAATTTCCTAAATTTACTTTTTCTAAAAATTAAATTTACTCTGACTTTGAAGTTCAATTTAAAGTCTCCAACATATAATCAGATCTTTTAACCTAATAATTTATAATCTAAGAAACTATACCGAGAGTAGAAATTTCTGATAATTCTTGTTATTTAGTTAAATATTGAAATTATTTTCAGTTGTAATTAACAAACACCTCCATTTCATTATATTACTTTAGTATCACTTACATTATTTTAGCATAGTATTATTATTCATTTTTTAATCATCAGACATGAAAATTCTTAAATGTACAATTTGTAGTGCTTTCATTGTTTCTTTTATCATTAATAAGACAATAATATTATATTAAAGTTTATCTTTTAATTCTTTTGATTCAGTTTATAAAATTATAGATTGAAGAAATACTAAGTAAATTCGAAGGGATGCAAGCTTAAATCTTCATAATTATTCTTCAATTATTCTTAAGCTACTAGTTCATCATTTCAAATCTATGAAGCATTAGAAATAGCTATTACATCAACCATGAATCTTTTTATTTATTTTATTGCAACTATTGGTCATTCTGCATTTTACTAAACTTTTGGAATTTATTTCATCACGATGCCTAAATTAAAACGCTCTTTTATTGAAAATTAAAATAATTTTTGATCTTTGCTATCAACAATTTCTCTAAGTGTTTTGTAAACTCTATTTTTACATAACTCAAATCAAGAATAAATATCACTCAAAAGATAATTCTAATAAGTTAAGAAATTACAGTGAATTTCAAATATGAATAAACCAAAATTATTTTTGATAGAAAAAATTGTGGGATTTCAAGAAAATTTATTAATCATTTTCTCTTCTTAAATTATCAATTATTTAGAATTAGGCATCAAAATAATTCTAAGCAAAACTTGCGCAAGGAGCTCAAACTTTATTTAAAGGACGTGCTTATTTTGATTCCTCTTTTGTTCAGAAATTATTTGCAATTCATAATTTTCATTACATAAATTTAAAATTCTTTTCGAAGATTGAAGGACATATTCTATATTTGTGAATGAGATTTACTTTACAAAAAAATTATAGTATTTTATATTTAAATATAACCAGATAGGAAGGCTTACAATAATTTCCCTTAGTTATTTTAACAACAATATACATCTAACTTTGATAAAATTAGAAATGTATAATAGACTTATTATGTAAAAAAACTATGATTGATATTTAATTCATGAAATCTTATTCAAATAATAATAATCTACTTCGTTATATATCTCTTCTGAAATTAAATCATAATTTTTATCTATATTATTCCTTGCTTAAGATAATATTTCTGCATCATCTTCATTTAAGATACAATTATTTTCAAAAGTTTTTTCTGACTTTAACTAACAAGAGTCTCGCTATCTTTATACTAAGGAAAATTAATCTTTATCCCAATTTAATGAGATTTATAAAATTCATTTCTAAACTTCGATGATCTAATAACAAAATACAACCTAGATATCTCATACAATAAATTCAAATAATTTAGCTTTTATTACATTTATTTGGATACTTTATTAAAAAACTTCCTAAAATTATTTGCATCTACTTCCATCTGATTGAAATGAACTTAAACTATTTTTCCATACCAATTTTTTTTTAGTTCTATTTTTTTAAATTCTGGGTAATAAAAACTTATGAGCTCCTTTAATACCTTTTGATTTAAATAATATTCATTTAAAAACATAATCATGTATTTGATCATGAATAATATAGATACAATAGATCCTATATTTGCTAATAGATCTCCTAAACGCGGATACTCCAATATCGTTTTTTCTTGAGTACCTTTCATTCCAAGAAAAACTGCTCCAATTACATCATTTTAATATGCTTTTTAACAATATTCAAAAGAACTTGTTTAAGTTTGTATTTATGCATCTACAATATATTCCTTATATTCAGATGTGCCAAATAAAAAATATTTCTAAAGCTCAAATAAATTTGTTTTAAAAAATATATATACTGAATAGCAATATTATTACTCGATTTGTAAAAAATATTCTTAGTATCCGCGTTGCTTTGATCCATCTCGAGGATCTATAGTTGTTGAATAAAATTAAAGTAATATCAGATTGTTTGCTTAAGAAAAAAATTCTTCTATTAGTTCTGGAGAAGCGCATTTTTCATCAGGTCTTAAGTATTTTTCTTAGCATAACACTACTTCTATATACATTTCATTTGTAGTGAATATTTAATTATCAACATAGGCAAAACCAAATTTCATATTTGGTATATAAAAGTCTCCAAAAGATGTAGTTGTATGATTTTGTATTACTTGTGCTTCTGTCAATTAATTGTTATTAGCGTAAACTACTAATGGCAATAAAATATTATTTGTAAATGGATCAATCTTGTTTTCATAATCTTTCCAATATGAGACTCTTATTACGTCCTCACTCAAGTCGAGCAGAGAGTAGTCTGATATATAATTCTCACGGGATATTTTTGGATTCATTTAATTTGTTTTCCAAAGATAAGCAACCCAAAATGAATAGGACAAACTTAATACACAGATTGTAATTGTTAGTATTCCTCCTATAATACTTTTATATTTTGTTTGTTGTTGATCAATATTTTATACAAATGGAACTCCAAAGAAATCTGCTCTTTTTAAAATTTCCATGAAATAATATAATTTAATCATTCAAATAGATTTGATAGGACGATATCAAAGATTGTTTATTATTTTTGAAAAATCACAGAATGCCTCCTTCTCATATTATTTTTTTTAAATTGAATAGCAGAATCAAACGAAAAATTAATACTTTAATTCAAAATTTTTAAATTAGAATTAAATGTGAATCACCAGTTAAAACTAATACTTGCTTCATAGTTTTGGAGACCAAAATCATTAGTTAATATACATTTGAATATTTTTTTTCTGAAATTGAAAAGACTCAGCGAATAATTATATTTTAAATTATTTAATTTAATTAAATTATTGAAGTAGTTTATACTATTATTAAAGAACATTCCTTCCAAATTTTAAACTCTGTATAATTTGATATAGATACAAATTTATCTTCTATTAATCATTATTTTGTTGCTTCATTCACAAAATTCATAAAAGGTTACTTGAGTCTACTTGAGTGCATTAATCCAAAACTAATTTATAATAGATTTATAAGAATCCATACTCAAAAAATAATATTTTTAAGCTCATTAACCTCAATATGTAATTGCGCGTTATTGGAGAAATAAATCAATCCCAATTACTATTTTTTATATTTTTATATTTATTTATGGAAAATACTGGGCTGTCACCACATTACTCTAATATAGAAATTTTTCTATTTGAAAAATATATATATAAATCATAATATTCAATGCAAGTTAGCCAGCCATTAGCTCATTATTTAAAAGGTCTATGGATAATGTATAAAGTTTATAAATAAGATTAGTCTGATGTCAAAGTTATAATCGATCAATTCTATTCAAATATTTGCTCTTATAATTAATTTCTTAATATTCATAATTTAAAAAATGACAAATATAAGACTTACGTAGTTGATATTATCATTCCTTAAATTAATTATGGAGACAATAAATGATAAGAAATTAGTTATTACCTAAAATTCAAATTAATGATTAATATCATTTCCTTGTATTCACTAACTTCATCTTTATTAAGAAATTTGGGTTTGATCATTGTAAATAATAAAGTTTGAGCAAATTACAAAGAATCTATAATATTAATTATAAGGATTAATATACAAATATTTAAACAGAAGAATAAGAGACTGGGCTAATATTCAAAAATAATCTAGTTTGGAAGTTTTCTTTAACGAAGAAATAAAATATTTATATTGTACATTATGTTTAGTATGATAATCTAAATTAAGGTGCTTTAAATTATAGTATGTAATCTATAATACTATTATGGGAAATAATTTAGTTATACCAAGACCGAAATGGAATCTCTTATATCTCAATTATTATGCGAATATAAATTTAATGGATTTAATGTGCTTTTAACAGCTTGGAACATAAAAAATGAATCAGTAGATTGTATAGTTTGGCCAGCTGATTAGTAATATTCTAATGTTCCATAGAATGATAAACCAACATTTTTATCAGCGTATGGGTATATATTTTTGTTAGATTAACCAAAAGTAAGTACTTAAGTAAAATGAATAGAGAGCAAAATTAGATATATTGGCTTAAAGAAAATAATAAGTTTCTAGGATTAGTAGGACTAATGAAATCTATAGCCTTTCCAATATTCTAATCTAAAGACCACACTACATAAATAAAGCGATATAGCTATCAAATATTTTATCACTTAAAGAAGTCCGATTCAGTTGCTAAAATCTGCATTTCATTGAATTTAATCCTTAGAGATGTACTACTTTTAAACAAATTGAATAAATGGTAAATTTAATTATAGAAGAAAAAGTGTTTTTAAATTCAATCAAAATAATTACTTTTAAAAAAGCTTACTTCGATAATAAATTAATAACCTTTGCAAATACCAAATTTAATAAATACAAAGAGAGTATTTAGATTTTTAGATTGATCTAGCGATAAATATCTATATTTTTTAGTGAAGAATTCCTTTGAGTTCATAGTTTGAATATTTGTAAATATAAAAATTTACCTTTAACAAGTACATAATATTCACTTTTTATGAAAAGGAGAGAAACAATTGTTATTTGCTTTTGAAAATTTTTGTTAAATGTTAAAATAAAAAATACTTGATTGACTTTTCAACTCAAAAATGTTAATACAAATGAATATTAAATAAAATTCTGTTTACCCCAATATACATATATTTTGTTATTTTATTTAAAAATAATAAAGATACGCTTGATGATTCCAAATAATTATTTATTATTTTTTTTTTCAACAAACTCCTAAATTCTTTGGAAGAGAAATATTTATTAATAATTTTAATAATATTTTACATTACTATTGTTACTTGTCAAAGTTTGGATTTATAATGATAAATACTAAATTTATCCAGAGCTAAGAATATATATAAAAAATTGAGAATAAATGTAGAATAGACTTATAAGATGAAAACTAAAGATATGAATGAAATGAAGGAAGGAAATTTAATATTTTTGAATTTTTTATTAAGAAAATAAATATTATTTATTTGAATTTGTATATAATGAGTAGATTACATATATATTTATTTATATAGAAATGATATCAAATTCAAATGGGTCGCAAATTCGTTTAGAAAATAAATGCTACGTAATTTCATCTATCTACCTTATTAACATATCCAATGATTTGAATAACATCTGGGGCAAATGGCATTGAATTAATTATACAGTATCCATTTCCTAGATACATGTTTTGTAGGAATATGCTTAGGATGACTAGTTACAATAAAGAAACATAACAAAAAAAATTAGGATAATGAAAAGCTAATCTACTTTATTTGCCCCTCAGCTATTCAGGACCAGTTAACTGATTGGAAATCTCAATCAGAATAAATTAATTAGTAATTAAAAGCATATATATTAGATATGGGTTGATTTTGTTGTCCCCAAAATTTAACCTAATATAATAGGCCAAATAACTCTTTCTGATATTTTCTTCTTTGAAACCTCTTTAAGGTTAAGATTTTAGTTTATCCACGACTTATCAAGATCACTGTATATATCTTTGTAAACTATGTATCATTATAATGAATGTAAACAGACTCCAGTCCATTAATTATTGAAGTATGCTGACTAAAATAGATATCTTCTATTAACAATTCAATTTCACGATACAGACATGAGAATAATTAATAGTAAAATTTATTTCATGTTTCTTTAAATACCTTGTTGATACCAAAGTGATTGTCCAAATAGGATGATAGATCAGCCATTATTAAATTAAAAAATAATATGGTTGGTGTCCAGCTTCCACTAGCATATACTTAAATATCATGAGGATCGCTAATAAATCTCAAATCTAGGATAAATATATATTATCTTGTTACTAGATTATTATTAAGAAGTGGCTTTTATGCATCAAAATTATTAACATTATCTCACATTCAAGAAGTTTGAATAGTATTAAACTACTACTACTATCATAAAGATGATAAGATTTGACAATGATGAACTTTCCTTCTGCTACAAATAGGTCATACTGGAGCGTAATGAAGTCATACTTAAGATATATGAATAATAATTCCTCTGCCTCCATAATTGTACTCCACAGAGGAGTAAAATTGGGTTCTAGCCTCTAAAAAAACAGTATCCTGTATCTTAGTAGGAATCAACACTTTTAATACATCTAGGTGAAAATCAAACTATCAAAAGCTAATTAAGTAGAAGTTTTTCATTCAGTATATAAACTAGTTTCATAGAATAATATTTAATCATACATTCCTCTTAGTCGGTTTAGATTTAAAATGGCATTTAATTAAGGTCTTTGAAGCTATTGTGTAGAATAATTCAAAAACATATGTGATCTAAAGAATTTCCTGAAGCATAAGCATTTATTTTATGCAACATTTTTTTTCTGGATCATTTATAGCCTAAGGTTGAATCTCTTTATATTTTGTTTTTGATTTTCTTCTTTTTAGTTGTAAATTTACCTATTTAAATTATAATTAATTTCATCGCATATATAATAATTCTTCTGTATATTTTTAACGAATACAGGATTTTTTTTTTTAATTGAATTTTATTTTGAAAAAAAAATATTACTATTATAACACTTGATTTTCTTATTATAAGTAATTAATCCCAAAATCACAAAAACTAATTTTATAATTCCTAATCATTTATGAAAAATCTCTTTTACTGATTAGATTACTATTCAATAAGTTAATATCGCTTTATAATCTCACAAATACGTAATCTAAGCTTAGAAAGTTTGATACTGTTTCTATCATTATTCATTGTCTACCTAATTGTGTATCCTTTTTACCTGTTCTATTTATGTACTTATAAATATGTTGCTGTAATTTCTCTGCCAATACTTGTAATTGTTTTATCAGGTTACAAGAATGCATATAATTTCAATTTATAAAATAATTTTGAATATATATTTTATGTTTAAATGCTTTTAAATTATTATCAATTATGTTTCTATTCAACAGAGGTCTCTAAAATTAAACTGCCTTTTAATTTAAATAATGATTTTAAATCATATCCATTATAATCTATAAACATTCCTTTTAGGATTATTGCTCCTTATGCTTCTAAATTGAAACTTGAGGGAATTCTAAGAATTGTAATAGGAAAGGTAACTAAATAATAACGAAACACAAATACCACTTTCTAGAAGAGTACCATCAAGAGGGAAAGCAAGAATGTGACCATCTTATTTGGCTTCATATTATCCTGTGTTAACATCCCATAAACGGATAGAGTTATCATAACTGCTAGATGCTAATGTAGAACCATCAGGAGAGAAACAGACTGACATCACATAATTTGAATGACCTTCTAATTTGGCTTTTTATTATCCTGTTTTAACATCCCATAAGCGGATAGACTTATCATAACTACCAGATGCTAATGTAGTACCATCAGGAGAGTAACAAATTGAATAAACTGTTGATGAATGACCATCTAATTTGACTATTAATTGTCCTGTTTTAACATCCCATAAACGAATCGAGCCATCTGAACTACCAGACGCTAATGTAGTACCATCAGAAGGGAAACAGATTGACATGACATAATTTGAATGACCATCTAATTTGGCTTTTTATAATCCTGTGTTAACATCCCATAAGCGAATAGAGTGATCATAACTACCAGATGCTACTGTAGTACCATCAGGAGAGAAACAAACTGACTTGACGTAATTTAAATGACCATCTAATTTAGCTTTTAGTTATCCTGTCTTAAAATTCCATAAAAGGATAGATTTATCATTGCTACCAGATGCTAATGTAGTGCCATCAGAGGAGAAACAGAGTGAATTAACTTGGTTCGTATGACCATGTAATTTGGCTTGTTATTATCCTGTCTTAACCTCCCATAAACGGATAAGATTATCTGAACAACCAGATGCTAATATAGTACCATCATATGAGAAACAGACTGATATAACTGTGCTAGAACGACTATTAAAATGAGCCTTTTATTATCCCGTCTTAACATTCCATAAACGAATCGAGTTATCATAACTACCAGATGCTAATGTAGAACCATCAGGAGAGAAACAGACTGAATTAACTATCCAAGTATGACCATCTACTTTGGGTTTTAATTATCCTGTGTTAACGTCCCATAAACGGATAGAGTTATCATTACTGCCAGATGCTAATGTAGTACCATCAGGAGAGAAACAAACTGCCATGACATCATTTGAATGACCATCTAATTTAGCTTGTTATTATCCCGTGCTAACATTCCATAAACGGATAGAGTTATCTACACTACCAGATGCTAATGTGGTACCATCAGGAGAGAAACAGACTGATTTAACACAAGTCGATTAATTTTCAAATTTTGCTTTTTGTTAGCCTGTCTTAACATCCCATAAGCGGATAGAGTTGTCTACACTACCAGATGCTAATGTGGTACCATCAGGAGAGAAGCAGAGTGTTTAAATAAAACTAGTCTGAACATCACCATTCAGTTTTTATTAACCTGTCTTAACATCCAATAAACGGATAGAGTTATCTCCACTAACAAATGCTAATGCAGTACCATCAGGAGAGAAACAGACTGAATGTACGGTTTCAGTATGATTGAAGAATTTTTATATTTATTTCCGTGTTTTAAGATTCTAAATATACACAAATTTGCCACTGCAAGAAGCTATAATGGTCTCATTAGGCGAGAAGCATGCTGATATTACATTCTTCTCTCCTTTTATTGCAAATTTTATTTTTCCTGTTCTAATATCCCAGAAACATATAGAATTATCATTACTGTAAGAAACTAATGACTTACCATCTGGAGAAAAGCAAACCGACTTGACTTAGCTAGTATGACCATTTAATATCATCACCTCATTTATTCTTAGATTTCTCCATTTACAATTAAATAATTTAGCTCCATTCAAATTCATTCCACTAATAATCACATTTTCAAATTCAGACCCACTTAAGTCGCACCTCACTAAATTTGCTCCTAAAAGTGATGTATCTCTAATTCTAATATTTTCAAAAGATTATTCCTTCAAATCAGCCTTCATTTCAACTAATAAATGAAGGGCATTTGACCCACACTATATGTATCTCTCATCTAAGGCAGTAAGATAAACTATAAACTTTAGCAATTCTATGATCTTGTTATTATTTGATATATTTGTGATGAGATCTTCTTTAATTTATTTGTATTAATCTAGAGAGTAATTAGCTTTATTAAATTCATGTTCTTTAATTTTGTTGAGAAAATTAGTAATTTTCCAAATTTCATTTTTTTTTCCACATTCTATCTTTATTTGTTAAATATTTTATTTCTGTTATAAATATTATTCAACTTTCTGTTGATTTATCTCTTCTTAAAGAAATTAAAGGGAGTCCTCAATCTTTTCTTTTTTCAAGATTTCAAATAAGACAGTGAAAATATATTTGTCAAAGTTTTATACTGAAGCAAAGACTTCATACAAATCTTTTTCTTATTCAAATTTTTACAATTATTCTGATCTTTGAAATATCCTAGAGTTTCCCATAATCGAAAATTTATTTAATATAAATTTAAACAAAAATGCTTCTATTTATTTTTTTTAGGCAAAAAACACTTAGTAAAGATTTGGAGTTGACGTAAATTATAATAGTGTCAAATCACGTAAAATTGTGTATATTTTTTCATTTTATATATAGAATAAAAATAAAAATCAAATTATTAACTAAACTTCCGCACAAGCAACAAAATTTCTCAGTTAAAACATCAATAGCAATGTTTTACTGTATTAATGATTTAACCTAATATTTACAATAAAATATATTAAGTTACTTTATAATAAATTATTCTAAATAAGAATATTGTTATTAAAAATTAAATGGTCCAATTTATTTAACTCTGATATTTCGATACTCTTCCAATAATAATGAAACTATTTCCTTGTGTTACTTGATTTCAGGTTAGAGTTTAAACAGATTCAATTAGGATATATTTTAATATTTCAATCCTCAGGGATTTTTAACACTTTCAATTTTATTTTTTTATCAAAAACAGACTATCAGTTTTTGATTGAAGAACCTGATTCTCGAAAAAAAATCTTTATAATAATGCAAAATCAGATAAGCCGTTATCCATTCCTACTAAATCCAAAGCAAATTTACAAGCCATAGCACCAATCTTTGTCTAAAAGCATATGCAATTTTTTAAAAGTTTCAACATATTTAAAATGAGATTTGATTTTTCATAGTATCCTTTCACTTTAACACTTATAAATTTTATTTATGCAATACCTAATCTACTCTCTGCTTTATTTGGATTCTATTACTAAAAGATTTGTATAAAACTCTTAGATCATTTGATAATTTTTAATCTAAAATGACAGATTCGAATGGTTGATGTTTGCATCAAATTTTTTTTTATATAACTTTTGGCTGTAAAAAATATATTAAATTAAAATACTTAATTTACATAATTCCCTTTTGTATGATTAATTCAAAACAATAATGTTTAAAGTTGCATAAATCCCCAATAGAACCTTTTTACATTTTGTATAAAGTCTAAACTCACATTTATAATTATCAAATTTGTACCTCCATTTTCTAGAAAAGTGAATCTCAATATTTACAACTATTTAATCCATAAATTTCTAATAAAATCCATATAAAATTATACAGATTGAATGAATTATGTATGAAATGTTGATAAATAGAGATAATCAACATTTTATATAAATGAAGGCGTTTATAAAATCAAACAGACAGTCTTGAAGAAAATATATTCTCTTATTAAAAAAATACGATAAAAAGAAAATGATTACTCTATACCCTAAAAAAGATCTCAATTGTGTGAAAATGATCAAATATGTTCTATTTAGATGGGTGCCTTTATGTCAAGAGTTTTGGATAACCTTAAATGATACTTAATTGAGGTTATAACCAAAAATTCTTTGATTAATAATTGTTCATTCATTTGCTCAAGCAATTAAACATAAAATTTAAGAAAAAAATTATAATAATTTTACCCTAGAAATTATGGTTATACCCAATGATGAATATTGTTTAATCAGACATTTTAATGAATTAATATGCAATTTTTTAATAATAACTTTCGTTGATTCATTGTTTTCGAAAGTCTTTAAACATTAGGTAAAATTTTACTAAAAGATTCATTTTTGGAATAAGCTCCTTATTAAAATGTAATATACTTTTGCTTCATTTTGAATACCAATCTAAGCTAAAGAGAAATATCATTAAAAGAAAATTTCAAAATACTTAAACCTATATGATTCCTCTCATTCAAACATATCAAAGACAATATCTTATTTGAAGAAGGGAAGTTGGGGTTTATAACGAACAATTAAGATAACAAATTCTTTTAATCATGTCTTCTTTATTATAACAATCTTTTTTCTTGCGAATTTTAAAAATCATTTAGTTTTCCTAAAATGGAAGAATTGTTCTATTCAGTATTTATGATATTATGAGATACTATATTGGGAAATACTTATCTATAAATTTAACTTTCAACTGCCCGAAATCTTAAAACAGCTTAGGGTCACTTTTTTCTACATCATCAAATGATTAAATCTTTACAGAAAATTAAAAATTGACATGAGTAAAAGAAAAAATTACTTCACAATCATCATGTTTGCCGATAATTTAATTGATTTACACATTCTTTAATTGATCTGAGAAGTTATTTGGTTATCATTAATCAAAGGTCTGTATTTACAAAAATTAGTGTCGCTTTTAATAACTATTAAAAAGTTGGAGAATTTTAATATTTTTAGAGCGTTTTGCTCACTATATTCGTCTTATCACCCTGTTCCATTTTATCAGTTAATCAAAAGAAATATAGAGGAGCAAGAAGTGAATTCTATTTTAGAATAATAATCGTTCTAAATTGCATTTTACTTTGAATAAATAGAAATTGATCCTTTTCTTGAAGCAAACTTCTTAATTTTAAAATAAATTTGAGACCTTATTTTTTTCTCAAGGTTAAAATCTATTTAACACCAGCCTTTCATCTAAAAACTGTTTAAATTCACATGAATTCTTAAAATTTATTAGTCTAAAATCCAGAATTATTATTTATTGTCTATATTACATAATAAGAATTGTAATAAAAAAGTCACCTTAATTTATAATGGATCTTAAAAATGTAGAAAAGCTAGCCTAATTAGTCTATACAAAGTATATTTTTTTAGTTTTCTAGAAGAACAATCTTGTTAAAATCAAGAACCCAATATAAATTTTTGTTAAGATATGGATTTTATAGTGTTCTTTTAAATAAAATTTTATATTTCAAAAATTAGCCCAATATCAATATTTATAATCCAGTTTTTAGAATATAATGTAAAAGTCCAACTTATCTATTTCTTATCTTCTTATGCACTATATTTATAAGAGATATCTTAACAGTAAAATTTTTACAATTTGTAATTCGGTTAGAACCTGATGGTATAACATTTTAAATTTTCTAATCTATGAGATTAAGATCTCTCTCTGATGGTTTCGATTTAAATATACTCCTTTTCCAATCATTAACTATTATTCTTTTTGGCATTTTTCTCATATTTAGATTGTTTCAAATTCTTTTGACTCCATAATAGCCTAAAACTTGTTTTACCTACAAGGTTATTGTTAAGAACTCTCCAAAAAAAATTACTTTTTCTCAAAATAATTACTAGGTTCTTCATAATCTTGGCAATTTCAAATTAGATTCATCTTGTTTTATATAAGTAGATGTAGGTTAATATTTGATTTAGGAAAAACAAAGAGGATGTGAAGAAGAGATTTTTATGCTCGAAACGTTACCTTAATAATCAATAGATAGAAGGCTTTCCAAGCTGAACTTGAAATTGAACTTCTATTGAGCAAATGTTTTATATTTTATTGTACTGAACAATGTTGAATATTTGTATAAATAATAATTAAAGACAATTCTTTCAAATCTTCGAATGAAAACAGAACAAAGTTTGAAAAATATGCATTTTTAGAATGACTGTTTAGAATTAATATAAAGAAGATACTTTTAATCGCATTATAAGATATATTTAAAAGTAAATGTTAGTTAATTCATATAAATTTAGTTTAATATTAAAAAATAATTATTAAACAGAAACCCATACATATTAATTCTGAACACAAGGATTAATCATAAATTAAACATTTTTATTATTCTAGGTTATATATAAATATTATCGAACTTGCAATTTAATAATCCCGTTTCAAAGTTCAATGAAAGATACTTTTATAAACAATAAAATTTAAATTCTTTTTATGTAAAAAATCTTTAGTATTAATATTATAATACCTTACATGTTTTACATAGCTTAGTTCATTCACTATGTAATAAATTTGCCGCGATCCTACCTAAGCTATTTTATCTTTCTCAATCTCTTATTTCAAAATCAAATATGTCATAAGGTTTTGGCATAAATTGAAATTAGCAGATCCTTTTTCACTCCGTTTAATTCAGATGACAGTAATTCGATATTATATAATANAAAGTATATTTTTTTAGTTTTCTAGAAGAACAATCTTGTTAAAATCAAGAACCCAATATAAATTTTTGTTAAGATATGGATTTTATAGTGTTCTTTTAAATAAAATTTTATATTTCAAAAATTAGCCCAATATCAATATTTATAATCCAGTTTTTAGAATATAATGTAAAAGTCCAACTTATCTATTTCTTATCTTCTTATGCACTATATTTATAAGAGATATCTTAACAGTAAAATTTTTACAATTTGTAATTCGGTTAGAACCTGATGGTATAACATTTTAAATTTTCTAATCTATGAGATTAAGATCTCTCTCTGATGGTTTCGATTTAAATATACTCCTTTTCCAATCATTAACTATTATTCTTTTTGGCATTTTTCTCATATTTAGATTGTTTCAAATTCTTTTGACTCCATAATAGCCTAAAACTTGTTTTACCTACAAGGTTATTGTTAAGAACTCTCCAAAAAAAATTACTTTTTCTCAAAATAATTACTAGGTTCTTCATAATCTTGGCAATTTCAAATTAGATTCATCTTGTTTTATATAAGTAGATGTAGGTTAATATTTGATTTAGGAAAAACAAAGAGGATGTGAAGAAGAGATTTTTATGCTCGAAACGTTACCTTAATAATCAATAGATAGAAGGCTTTCCAAGCTGAACTTGAAATTGAACTTCTATTGAGCAAATGTTTTATATTTTATTGTACTGAACAATGTTGAATATTTGTATAAATAATAATTAAAGACAATTCTTTCAAATCTTCGAATGAAAACAGAACAAAGTTTGAAAAATATGCATTTTTAGAATGACTGTTTAGAATTAATATAAAGAAGATACTTTTAATCGCATTATAAGATATATTTAAAAGTAAATGTTAGTTAATTCATATAAATTTAGTTTAATATTAAAAAATAATTATTAAACAGAAACCCATACATATTAATTCTGAACACAAGGATTAATCATAAATTAAACATTTTTATTATTCTAGGTTATATATAAATATTATCGAACTTGCAATTTAATAATCCCGTTTCAAAGTTCAATGAAAGATACTTTTATAAACAATAAAATTTAAATTCTTTTTATGTAAAAAATCTTTAGTATTAATATTATAATACCTTACATGTTTTACATAGCTTAGTTCATTCACTATGTAATAAATTTGCCGCGATCCTACCTAAGCTATTTTATCTTTCTCAATCTCTTATTTCAAAATCAAATATGTCATAAGGTTTTGGCATAAATTGAAATTAGCAGATCCTTTTTCACTCCGTTTAATTCAGATGACAGTAATTCGATATTATATAATAACTTAGATTGGAAATCATACTAGGCTATTTCATTAAATCATTTTACTGATTGTGGGACTTCATGGATTTTTGGAGGTCCTTCGGTGTTTAATTATGAAACAGCGATCACAAAGACTTTTATTTTACCTCCTCATTATAAAATGAAGTTCGAGTTTAAATTCTGGAGGTACATCATCAAATGAGATTTATAGGTTAGATCCCTGGCATGGCTCATTTTATATTTTTTTTATTGATGGATAATAAGCATACAAAGACAATCCTAATCTTTCAACTGGAACGTAAATTTGTGGTAGCGGTACTCTTGGTGAAGTTTATTAAATTAGTAACACAATTAATCACTATGGTAACAGCGCTATAGTTACACTTATTTCTCTACAAATTGGGGCGTCTTGGGGGATTTCTGATCTCATATTTTCAGTTTATAAATGTCCAAAGGGATGTGATTTCTGTGATATCACTGGAAACTGTTTATAGATGAGCAAGGTGCAGACATTTTTTAATAACATAGTTTTAGTAGATGGAGAAGGGTGGAAAAGTGATTATGCTCTATATAATGGGATTTAGTTGTGCGGAAGTATATGAAAAATATTTTTAGGTTTCTATTTTTATGGTAAATTTTAAATGGGTACAATACTCTAAGTTGATTTATTTTTATCTGATCCACATACAAAGGTTCGCATATATTTTGCATTCCTCTGTGCATATGTGACTGGATCTATTACTATGAGAGTAGAGGCTAACGGTGTATTAATAGATAATTCAATATAATCTGTAAGTGTCATTACTACTAATGCTATTATTTGCGGTGCTGGGTTAAGATTAGATAAAATGTATTTGGGTGAATTTGCAAGCACAGATTAAAATTTGAGCCTAACTTTCTAATTTTCTGAATCCCCTGCTTCATCAGACACAACTCATTTTTTTGGTATTAGAGATTTTGAAGTATTTACAGATGCAGAAAAAAAACAAGTTTTAGATGAGGGCATTATTTGCAACGATAATAATATTTATGCGTTTGATGGTTGTTTTTCTTAGATTTATGATTGTAACGAAGGTTGTGTTAATTGTGTCAAAGGTCTCTGCACTTAATGTTTATCACATTGGGTATTGAATACGATATCAGGATAATGTGTTGCTAAATGTGGAGACTAAATAGTTGTCTCTGAAGAACAGTGTGATGATGGAAACTAATAGCCTTACGATGGGTGCTATGAGTGTTAGTTCTCTTGCCCTTTAAATTGTATTTTTTGTAATTTTGGCATTTGTTTGATTTGCAACTCATCGTATTAATTAATAGATAATCAATGTGAATTTACTTGCTCTCAAGATGAAAATATAAGTTTAAGTCTTTATTAAACATAATCATTAGAAGGTCACTTTTGCTAAATTTCTAATTTTATAAGCAATTCTTATTTGCAGCATGTTATAATTAATTCACATAATCAACTTTTAATTGATAATCATCAATGTAGCATTGGTAATTATGGAATATTTGCATATTAATATTAGTTGTGCGTTTATTAAAAGCCTCAAAATTGCTAATTTTTATTTCAAAACAACTGTTAGATTTGCGATGAAAATTTTTAATTATTTAATTAATCATTATGTATACCCATTTGTGGCAATGGGATAATTTAAGATTATGAATAATGTGATGATGCTAATTTACAGCAGTTTGATGGATGCTATTTATGCTAAAGCAGTTGCTAATTAGAATGTTTAGAATGCTATGCTTCCTAGTGTTTTAAATGTCTAGAAGGGTGGAATTTAATAGATTTTAAATGTATTTCAGAGTGTGGGGATGGTAAAATTGCCCTGCTGTAATATGAACAATGTGATGACTCAAATAATGAAAGCAACGATGGATGTTTTTAATGTAAATTTGAATGTGCTCAAAATTGCGTATTATGTAACCGAACTTTAGATTGTGTTTAATGCTAGGAGTATTTTGAGCTCTAAAATAAAGTTTGTACTCCTATATGTGGAGATGGGATAGTCATTGAAGAATCTGAATAATGCGATGATGGTAATGATATATAATATGATGGTTGCTATTAATGTTAGTTCTCTTGCAAAGAAAATTGTTAAATCTGCGATCAATAACAATGTATGGATCCTCCAATATTATAATGTGAAGAAAAGGGATATTATTTAATTGATAATCAATGCCTTTCAATTTGTGGAGATTAAATCAATACATTAAATGAGTAATGTGATGATGGTAATGAAATTCCTTATGATGGATGTCATAAATGTGAATTTTCTTGTCCATTGTATTGCTTTTATTGTGAAAAGGGCCAATGCTTATAATGTGAACATGGTTATTAAGTCATTAACAATATATGTATTGGTATTTGTGGTGATGGTTCAAAGTAAGAAATAGAGGAATGTGATGATTTTAATCAAATATCTCAAGACGGGTGTTCTAATAAATGTGAAATTGAGATGAATTGGACATGTACATAAATAAATCTTCAAACAAGTTAGTGTATTTCATCAAATCCTCCCCATTTTAACCTGTTATTCGTGAATCAAACCTATGATTCCTCATTTATTTAACTACAAATTACAAGCAAAGTCAAGCTACAAGAATCTTTTTAAAATTTGACAACAAGCTTAAAAGCCTCTCTTATTGATATAAACCCTTTTTATTATAAAATTTATTAGTAAGCGATAGTTGAACCAAATGATATTGTATTGTAAGACATTAATTACTTGTTTTAAATTCAATTATTACAGCAAGTAACAACTGAAATAAAGTTTCAAGTATAATTAGACACTTTCTTAATTGATGATTATGGGTTTTAAGTAGAAAATCAAATTTGCACTTTACGATTAAAGAACCCTATAGTATTATCGGAATCATAAAAAATGGTATCCCATAAAATGAGCTCACTCAACATGTATATACTTATTGGTCTTGGTGCAACTAGCTTTCTTATATTGTTGTCTGGTAATCCAGTTGAATGTTTTGAGGTCTTGGACACGATGTAGTATTAATCGAATCTAAAATACATAAATTCTAATTTTCCATAAAATGTCATGATATATTTTGAATCTTCAGAAGTCGTAACGATAATACCAATTTTGGATAAACTTAAGATTCGTGATTTATTTGAAGTTGCAATAGGTTAGGATTATATGCAAGCATTTGGGAAGTTCCTATTTTATGATATCAATTCAGACTTAATAACTAATTTATCAGGATTAGTCGCATAAGTTGGTATGGCAGCAGTGTTATTTGTTTTATCTAAGATTTACTTAAAGCTTTATTTTCAAAATTAGTACCACTAAATCAGGGCTTTCATTTACAATAATAAAAAGTTAAATCTTTCACAACATATTGCTTCTTTTGTTCATAAACTTAATAGATTAAGTTTTGGGATTAATTAAATGATATCATTAGAGGGGCTTGTATACATCATTAAAGCAAATAGTTGGGATTTACTATTTAAGACTATTTTGTATCTCTTTTCCGAAAAAGAGAATAATCTAAGAAATAAAGTTTAGGACATACTTGCATATTCATTTTTACTAACTGTTTTAGTGTTAATTGCCTCTAGTTTTTAAATACAGGCTTCATAAATGAAATTAACAAAAAGGAAAAATCTTCACCATGATAGCTTGATTGTTGCTAAAAAGTTTTTATTTGTTTTAGTTTTAATTGGATCTTAAAAAAGCTAATTAATACAATCAATATTACTATCATTAATCAATTCTATCTACTTAACAATTATCGTATTAGGTAAAATGGTCAACGAAAAGATTGATTTAATGATAATTCTGATTTTTGAAATTCCAGTTATTATGTTTACTCTACTTAATATCTGTTATGAAGAGACTTATGCAAATTTTTTGAGTTTAGAATCTCAAGTTGTCATTGGATTTGGATAGATTGGACTTTTATCATTAGGCATTATGGCCCCGTTAATAAAATATGGATATCAAATCCAAATTAAAATAAAATAATTAATTCAAAAATGGAGGAAGTAAAAAATAAATGAAAAATAATCAACAACATCCTCTCTTTTTATTTGATTCGAATTATATGAGTGATCAAATCGTTTTGCTTTTATTAATTTTATTTTTCTAGCAATAGTAATCATAAATCAAAACACCCTTTATAAAAATCAATATTATCAAATTTCAATGCTTGAATTCTTTCTCTTGCATGTCTTCTTTAAAATTCAACCAAAAAAATTAAATTAACAATATAATAATTATAGTAAAAAAATAATTAAGCAATTTCTTACCTATCATTCATCTAAAATGACTAAACTTAAAAAAATGCCAAATTTACAAATATTTAATTATTACTCCTACTTACTGAAGATATCTCCATTGAAAAAATTAAATATTAGTCTTGTGTCCTCTTCCCTTTTACAAACATTAAGAAGTTTTCCAGATAGATTTAATTAGAGTACATATTTCAGCCTAATTCAAAAAGCATTAATTTCAATAAGATTTTGAGTTAAAATCGAAAAAGTATCCGTTAAATGTGATCTTGAAATAGATTAACCCGAAAAGGGATTCACGATAAATCCTTAAGAAGAAAACTTAAACTTAATGAGTTCTTCAGTATTCAATATTTTATTGTTATATCATTCAGTTTGGTAAGTTGGTAGATTTCTTGAATTTATAACAAATATCTAGATTCAATGTGATTTATTAGATTTGAAGTCAAAGAAATGTTAATTCTCTTGCTAATAAAGAAACTCATTCCATTTTTTCGGTTTTGTTGTTGAATTATTTCATATAATATCAATATTTTTTCAATAAAATAGTTATAGCAATTAATTATATAAACAGCTACATAACTTAAAACAAAATTTAACATTTATCAAATAAGGTAAAAGCAAAAAAAAAGTAGAAGTAAAACGAATCTTTGAGCTTAACCATAAATTGAGATTTAATTAAAATTCTTAGAATGTATTCTAGACCATTATAATTCAAATTTTTTTAAATGAAGTATAGAAGCAATTTTCATTGAAGTTATTTTGAAAAGAAATATTAAAATAATAATAATTAATTCTTGAATACTCACTAATTCAATATCTTCTATTAGTATCCCTTTTGATTATTTTTGAATTTGATTATTCTGGTCAATCATTAATGATTTCTAATAATATAATGACCCTCCTCTATGTTTTTATTAAATAAACCGTATATAAAATGATTTTAATTCAATGCCTAATTCAAAATTTATAAAGATTAAATTTATTTTTCAATAGGCTTATTTAATTTTATTTAAACAATAATCAGTATTGGCTTAATCATATCATTTTGATTCAACCCACCTTTGTTTTAGAAGGAATCAATTTGCTTAGGATCAATCGAAATATTAAATGAAATACAATTTTACGATAATTATACCCTTTAGCGATCTGTCAGGTTTAAAAATAGTTATAAAATAAAAATAGTTATAAAATAAAATTATACTGTTTTATCATAATAATCAAGTTTTAATGTTATTAAATCTAATTGAGTTTTTCTAACATTATATTTTCATAGATTTGAATAATTATTTTGAATTCAACCCTGAATAATAGAAACCATTCTCCTTTATGAAACTAATGTTGATTGCGTTTTATGAAGAATAATTTTTTCAAGGAGCTTTTTCATTCTACTATTGATAATATTTTGCTCTATATTTTAGTAATAAAATATATTTGAGAATGGTAAGCACTATTAATTAGTGTATTATATCACATGAGTTAAAAAATTTTTTTTTTTATGAATATAGATCATTCGAACCTAACTGATCTTAAAAGAAAACAATATCGCCGATTATAATTTTATAATGTACTCCTTCAAAATGTATTTTCAAAATCTAAGGCTCAGCTATAGATATATATCTTTCTTATAAAACGCTGATTATATTGGGATTTCAACTATTATCTATAATTTTGACCTTTAAATTACATTTGCATTTTAAGAAGAAAAGATGAAATTTTGATCTTTTTCGAAAATTTAAATAATTTTATAGAATTTGATCAAAAAGTTATTGTATGGAATGACAAGGCTATTAATAGATCCAAAATTTTAGTGAATTTAAATTAGATTTATTGAAAGTTATTCAGTATTAATTTCATATCAAATTTCTCTCTCTTCTTCTGTAAAAAAATAATGGCAAACTCTAGCTTCTAAATAATTAATATATTACTCCTTTCCCCTCAGTAATATAAAAATATTTGCATCTATGATATATTTAAGGGAAACTTATAAGACGATGGTTGTATGTTAATATTTCTTTTTCATATTTGCTATCAAGCTTATAGATGAGTTTTATCTAATAGGGTTGAACAAAACATACCATTAATTTTGAGATCGCCATAAAAATACATTGAAGGAATAGAAGTGCCTTTATGTTTAATAAAATAATTAACAGCTATAATTTTCTATAACCATTTTCTATTTAGATGTAATGATGATAATTTAATAGCAATGTTGATTGTTTATCATATTTTATATTTCTAATCATATTTGATTTCCTTCATTCCTTTTATTCCTTAGATTTTTTTGAAAGTTCGTACATAAATACGGCTTTAACTAAAGATTATATTAATAATTACCATAAATCTCTTAATACTATTGATTCTAAGGTTATAGAAACACAGCTCTTTTTGCAGCATAAAATGCTTCTTCATGATCTCCAGTTTTTAATAACGTTTTTGCTACAAATATAAGATTAGAATATATACCCAAATAAATCAATGCAACATGACTTTTTGGATTAACTTTTATGGCTTCAGTAAACCAATGCTTGGCATCATCATCTTTATTCATACTCTCTAATGCAATTCCTAAAGTTTTAACTTATAAAACTTACCAATCAAAGCCATAGCTACTTCATCCTATGGGTTTAGTTTATTTGATCTATAAAAACATTATAACGCCTCATCAAATTTATTCAAAGCCATTAAAGTTTCTCCTGATTATTTAGATAAATTTGAATATACCAGCGATATTCCAAATCAAAAAGACATCTGGATTGAGTTTAAGGGCTTAGTTTAAAGCTAAAAGTGCCTCTTCAAATCTATCTTAATTATATAGAGACCTTCCTAATATTGCTATTTTCGCATTTACCTTTCTAAAAAAATGCTTAATCATTATTTGGTTATTTAGAGATTAATAAGTCAAAGGTGTCAATAGCCTCTTAGTATCTTTCTAAAGTAAATAATGCCATTCCTAAAATATTGAGTTAGATTCAATTCTACCTTTTCTCAAATAAGCATTAATAGATATTGGATTATTTTTGATGGCCATATCGAAATATTCAAGGGATTCTTTTACCCTACCTAGTTCGAATAATGTAGTTCCTAAAATGATTATTCTATATTAACCATACCCATATGTAAATTAATTAAAGGATGATTATTTGTTATTTAAAGGGCTAAGTCAAAACATTAAACAGCTTGTTCAAGTCGATTTAAATTATATAATGCAAGTCCTTAATTATTGAGTTTTAAAAAATACCCTTATTGCCAAGAGCAATATCACCTGGATTAATTTAAAGTGACTTATCAGAAAATTCTATTGCTTCTTCATAACGTTTTAATTAATTTAATACTCCAGCTAAAGTAAACTTTCAATATTATTTACAGATGGTAGCCAAAGTTAAATAATTATTCTAATCTAATTCAATAGCTTTTAGACATTATTCGATTGCTTCCTCAGGCCTATTTAAAACTGATAAGATCTTTCCTAATCAATTATTTTTCACTAAACATACCCTTAATTTCATAGGGTATTGCATAATTTTCATCCATTTGAATTAACTTATCGCATACTTCTATGGCTTCTTCATATCTTAGTGACATTTGTAATGCCCTTGCTTAAAATTAATTTTTCCTTTTGATACCCTTAACAGAATATGCAAATTTATCCAGATCAGTATTCTAAATAGTTTTATCACACAATTCCACAGCTTATACATATTTTCTTGAACCAGTTAATGCTTAAGCTAAAATAACAATTGTATTGTAAAAAACCTTTCAGAATATTTAACAACTATGAATTCTCACCATACTTTTAAGCTTCTTCATAAAAGTTGTAAGCCCCAGTATAACCACCCATACTTTCTAGTGCTATCCCTTAATTGAAAATTAAAAAAATTATTACCTAGATAAATATAAGATTCTTGATTTTAATGACTGGTATGAATAAAACTTTGAAAAGCCTCTGAAAATTTATTTAACTTAACTAATGTTATCCCTAAAAAACTTGATAGAAATTTACACCTTAGAGATAATACAGTTCTTTATTTTCTGGATTTAAAGCAAGTGCTTGATTAACACATTCCAAAGACTCTTTATATTTATCTAATCTTAATAAGATATTTGCTTAAGAGTTATAAACTTTACTACATTTATGCATTAATAGCTCGTCATCATTCTTTTTTTCATCTTTGAGAAGTTAGTTCTATTTCATTATTTCTTCTATCTCCATTAAGGCTTCCTCATAATTTCTCTGATCCAATAATTGTTTAACTAAAAATCATATTTTTCATATTATTACATTTGAATAAGTCTTTGTCAACAATTTCTTTTTATTAGTATTTAACTAAGTCAATAAGTTGAGGTTATTTGATAATTTTTGATTGTTATTTTTTTTCTAACAAGTCTTTTTAAATCATTTTCTTTGTCTATAATATAGTATCTTATTTATTTAATTTAATAAGATTTCTATTATTTTTCAATTAAATTCAGAGACATTCTGATGAATTCCGACAATTATTAATAATGAAAACTACTAAAATTGATATACCTTATATTAAAGTTAGGTGAAGCAAAAACTACTCTTTTAAAATCGCCTTTAGAAGTGCCTACTTTAGAGAAGAAATATAACTATTCTAAAACATAAAATAGCCAATAAACTTGCTTATGGATTCTTAAAACTTACTATTTTGTTAGATCTGCTTAAAATGAAACTCTAGCAATATTCATAAATTTTATATCTTAGATTTGCCCCATATATTTCTCTTCACTCTTACAATTTATCTATTTTTTTACTATCTACTATACATCTGTTTTATTTGAATTAATTCACGCGATTGGTTATATTAGATAGGCTATTAGCTTATTAAGCAATCATATTCATTAAATGAGATCTTTTTTGCCCTTTGAAAAATGGAATCTAGTATATTAATAATTTATTCAAACCAAAAGATTTAAAGACGATTTTGATTAATCCATTAACTTTATTTCTAGTTACTTTTTAGAAAGTCATACAGTTTATTAATAAATATTTAAATTTTTAGTCAGATTATTGTTGGCAGCACTACCCTATAAAGGTTTAGAAAAATAAAGTAGGAGATTCGATTTATAAGGAATAAGACCTTTCCTTTAATAGTATCCATTGCAAGTGGTAGCTATATAGAAGAATAAGGAATCTTCCTCTTAGTTGATTATAGAAATTATTCTTCACAAAATGAAAATTATTATAATTAACACATTAAAATTTCTTACTTCTAATGTCTCTTACGTTTTCATTACACCATGCTTCTATGGAATATGGAGATTTTTCTTTTTCTTTATCGTGCTCATTTTGGTTGAATTTCTTTATTAAATTTATTACATGAATTAATGGTCGATATCATTGAATATATTAATCGTATTAACATTGGAATATCAAAATCATTGAATAAATAAAATTAAAACATACAATATTTATGGAACCCCTACTAATATAGGGATACTTGATCTACTGGGAGGAGAAGAAGAGAGCCTATTTCACTATTAGAATTATTATAAAAATGAAAATAAATACTAAATTATACGGCTAAATTCTTATCATTCATGATATAATTTTTTAATAAGACATCTTAAAA